TAATAATTTATATATGAATAATGAACGGGAAATGAGAAACTTCAAATTTTCAATTTCACCAACTAATGAGATATTTTATGTAATTGTCATGAAATTATTCGACTAATGAACCAAATGAAACCAAATCAAATCATACTGAACCAACTGTCACAAACCGATATTACACCTATAAATATTTATGTCCAAAGCAGATATGCCGATTAATAATTATTTTTAATCGAAACTAATAGCGAACCATCGAATAAATAAATCCTTAAAGTAATTATAAGTATGATGATAAAATTATCGTCCAACTTAGGAAAAGTTATCAATTAAGTATGAAGATAAACCAACTAAAAACAAATGTTATTACGAATTGTTTAGAAAGAAAATTAAAATTTATGAAAATTGATTGATCAAAGTCGAAATTTGATAAAATTTCGGGAATGTTCTTCGTCATCCACCACAGGACTTGTTTTTTTTATTTTTTTATTTCGTTGCTTATTAAAGCCTATGATGAATGGCACCAAAAGCAAGGAAAACCAATCAAGGTGGACTGATATAGTCTGGAAAAATTTTGAATGTATAGGGAGACCGATGTATGAACTTAGACGATGGAAAAGTTACTTCCAGCAACTGAGGCATCGAATCGGGCAGCTTGTGGCTTCCTCCCCTCGCAACCAGCGGAGAAAGCCTAGCTGGCAGTGGTGATTAGATGAAGGCGAAAAAGAAATATTAACGAACTTGCTTTTACTTGTGTGCTTTTACTACTTGTTCAAAAAATCGGATAAAAAATTGCATCATTGCTAGTAATATTTTTTCTTTCTTATTCTCGAACGTATTTAAAAAGAATTTTTTGAGAAAGAAATATTTATAAAGTATATCTGATGAAATATTTCATGAATTGTTATTGTTGGCAAAAGAACATCGCTTTTTCGCTTTCTTTCCTTCCTCCCAATATGAATTTATTCAACAACAAATAAAATAATTGAGACAAAATACGAAAAAATATATGAAATTATGGTTGAGTGTGTGCTAATTAGATTTTTAGGATAATCTGCGAATAGATTCTTTTCTTTTCTTCTTCTTCCTTTTTCTTTCTTCTAATACTCTTCATCTACACTGCCAGTTCAATTAGCGCTCCTAAGGTGCGATAAGATCATTTGGGAACAAAAGTACCGATGGCTTTCACTGACACCAGAAACCAGAATTTCACTTTTAATGACCACCTTAATCAAGCCAATTTTTTTAAAGAGCACACACTATTACTAGTTAGACCAACTCTCTTTGCTTGTCGCAGTTGAAAAATATGTCAGTGAGTTTCCTAGCGACAGAAAGTATGGGTGAGTCACCAACATAACCCGGATTTTTGGGCAGGTTTATTCTTACCGGGAGTAGAATCTCATCATCGGCGCTCCGAATTGAATAACACGCTGATCCTACTTTCCTTTCATTTTCCTCCGTTAGGTGACAGCTCAACCCGATGAAAAATAATGTGTTGGCGAATTCGAACAAGACAATATGGTTGATAACTTGAAAATAAAATTACTGATGGCTTTCATTGGCCCAAAATTTCACTTTAATGACGGTCTCATACAATATGGAGGAATTTGCCAAAAAAAATTATTCGCAAATGTTAATTTTATTGCAAGTATTTTATGCCTCACAATTACGAAAAGACTTCGGTTTTCGTAAATGCTTACACAATAATTAGTGATAATCAGCGAATGTAAAATTGAGGACCCTAAAGCGAACTTCTCTTAATCATTGCAAAATGAGTCAAGTGTAATAGGCATAATAATTCGAACTAATTGAGACTCAAGGGAGAAAAAAAAACTTATAAAATTTTTTTATTTTTGTTTAATACCTATTTTTTAAAAATCCTAGACGATTTTCTCCGAGTTTATATTGCTCCTCGACAATTCTTCGATGCAAAAGATTGTGATGAAACCACTTTTATTTTTTACTGAAAAAGGTGAATTTCTATAAAGCTGGAAAACCTGGAAAGTACATATAAGTATTTTAAACCGATTTTTTCTAAAAGCTCACTCCGCTGACCTATCAAAATGCCGCACAAAATTGATGCTAAAAATTCAACTACATGCCGATAAAAGTATAGTTGGATTTCCAGTATCTTACAGATTTTTGAAAGACTTTATTTCCCATTTATTTCTATCGGGAATAGAAATAAAGCATCGTCGCTCCGAAATGCAGGCTATTCTATTCCCCCACTTTATCCCACAATATTTTGATAACTTAATGATTAAAAAGAAAAATTTTATGGATAATGAAGATTTTTTTCTGGTGTCTTTCTATTCAAATTATATCAAATTTCAACGATATTATCTATTTTAATTCAATTAAAATTTTTTTATAAAATAAAATTTAAAAAAAAAACGAAATGAATTTCTTATTTTTTCCGCTAACAATTTTGCAAATTTTTAAAAAATATAAATTTTTGTTAATTCGATTCAAATGAAATGGGTGATTCATTAAGTAATTTTAGTTAAATTATTACTTTCATTCTAAAATCATCTAATTGAACTGAATTTTTTTTTTCGCTAATATTACTAATATTTAGAATATTTATATAGAATTGCTTGATTTTTTTAATTGCTATAGGTGTTTTTTTATAGAAAAGTATGATTGAAAGCGATGAATTAGATTTAAAAAAGCAAAAATTTAAAAGAACGATTCATGAGTTATCTCTGTTGTTTTAAGCCTTATAAATTATTATTTAACCTTTGAAAAATAGGAAAAGCATTCAACAATTTTGCTCATGATTTTCTCAAACATGGTGATAATATAATGATAAATGTGATAAATTTCGAAAAATTAACCTATTAGATATTTAGCAAAAAATTTGCTTTTCTTGTAGATAAAATTATGGCAATAGAGGATAGTAGGATGAATCAAATTGGATTCGGACTAGAGCGTAGGTATTCACTGTTGTATTACGCTTCTTTTTCTATCAGCTCTCATAATCATTGGTTAAACTGGCTCCACAGGCTACAAGGGTACGATGTTCCCAAGCGGCACCGTCTGATACCATCATCGACAGTAATAGAAACCATTCTCTTTTCCATCGTCTAAGTCCATATATTGCTGGTACACCTATACGTTCAAAATCTTTTCTGACCATATCAGTCCAGGTGTTGATTGGTCCACCTTACTTTTGACGCCATTCAAGATTTAGCAAGTAACGAAGTATGTTAGTAAGAAAATTTAACTCCTGTGGCGCACGGCGAAGAACGTGCCCTAATCAGCGAAGGCGACGCTCTGTGATAACATTATTAATAAAGGTGATCTTTGAGCGAAGATGAATACATATGCGATTTTATCGATGGACCAGTAAAATATATCTTAGATATGAGTGGTCAAAAGGAGATAAAATAACTTCTTAATATCCTCCACTCTCATTGGCCATGTCTCTCATTGGCCATGTAACCGTATAGCAAGACCGAGCGAATCGCGGTTATGTAGATGCGGACTTTCATTTTTATGGCGAATTCGGTATTGGAATGGATCCGAGGTATTTAAAATCGAGCGATTCCTCAATTGGCAATGAATTTATGAAAAAAGGTATTTTATCAGCTTCTTGTATATAGGACGAAACGATTTTCGTTTTATTGACCCTGAGTACGATTTTTGCTGCAGCTTTTAACAGGGTAGCTTTTTTTAGTATTATTTGCATCTTTCGTTCAGTGGGTTACTGCCCAATTCCAAGCGCTAATTCTGAGGTTCCCCGCAGGTGCAAATCTGTTTAAAAATCCGGATGATATCAAGGGACTCTGGCATATTTGTCCAGTGATAGCAGAGCGAGTTTAACCAATAATGCTGAGGACTCTTAAAAAAGAAAACCTTTGCTCATATACCATTTGCATAGCAATATCTTCGTCATCGCTAGTTAGGCCATGTTCTTCGTCACCCATCATAAGAGCAGGCTCTCGCTATTTGATAAACGCTGTGATGGATAGCGAAGGGGAATAGACATTAGACTAACCTGTTGAAAGCTTTTTCAACTTCAAATATGGTATCGAATCGAATATTCGAAGAAACATTTTACAGCCTAATGCCCAGTGGAGTTAACCTAACCAGTAATGGTGCGAACCATTAGAAAAAGGAACTTATTGTGAGGATTATGAAGAAATCCCCTAAATAAATATTTAAATATTTATTTGCTGCTTTTGATAAATTATACGGTGAATATAATAAAATCAATTTAAAACTTTTTCGTATATTTATAAATTATAATTAATCGATATTTATAAATTATAATTAATAGAAAACTTTTGAAATGTTGCAGTAAGCAATAAGAACGTTATGCAAATAATGAATATCGCCATTAATGAAAATTTCATTAATTAGATTCTTTCTAATAATGAAAATAATTACTCGAATAAGTGATAATAAACATTGATAAATTAACAGAAGAGATAAAATAATAATGAAATTTCTCTCTCTCAAAACGAATTATTTCATTCTCTCAATAATTTAGCAATATTTTAGCAATAAAATAACAAAAATGGCAAATCGCTCTAATCCATTGCTAATCCATTTTGTTGTGAAATTTTGGAAAAGACACTGTGAATTAGTTGTGCATTATCAGATTTGAAAACTGCAATATTATTCAATTTTCGATAATTACAGTAATTATTATATAATTAATGATTAGTAAATAATTAAATCAAAGTCAAAAAAAATCATTAAATAAAAAATTTAATGAAAATCATTAAAATATTATAATTGAAAATATTATTGCAAATCTTCCTTCAATTTTGCCTGAAATATGAATAATTTTAGATAATTTTCATTTTAAAAATTGGAAAAACCTTTAAAATTTTTTTAATGCTTTTATTTATGCATAAAAATATAAATTAATATTCGAAACAGTAAATAATTTAATGGGAAAATCGAAAAATAGACCAAATTTAGAAAAAATTTGTAGCAAAGTTTTTTTTGGTAATATTTTACTTTCAATATTTTTTGGTAATAATATTAATATTAATAATATTAATACTTTAAACACCATAAAATTCGTTTAAAACACACCGAATCATGGAAAAATGTTTTTTTAAGGATAGCCAATCCTTATAATAAGTTTTATCAACATTCATGTTAGCAGCCCAGTCAGTTACAACCATGCTTAGTGAACTTTCAAACATGAAACTCTAAAATTTTTGAAATGAAAAACAATCGTGCAACAAGTGGAGAAAAAAATTTTAAAAACATAAAGTACAAAAAAATATTTCAAAATCGACCGCATTTATTGATGTATATGTACGTATAGGGATGGGAAATAGAAATGGCAAGGAATGGAAGAAGTGCGGGAGATTTTCTCGCTCGAGGGCAATTCGGGTTTTTAAGCTCGCTATTCATTATTTTAATAAAAAAAATAAAAAATGAAAAATAAATAATTTTGCTGATCAAGCGGCTATATAGACTAGAGTCCACAAGTAATAATGAGCCTAAGCCAAGGCTCAATAGGTAGTGTAAAAATGATTGAAGCGACTAAGTTATCGTAAATAACCTTATTTAATTTTTTTCGGTCAGTTTTCAGAGAAACCTTGCCAGCCTGAAAAAACTTGAAATTTTCTAGAAATAAATATTCGCACACCATAGTATGCTCAGCTATTCGCTGCGGTAGTAGTTCTTCAGTAGATGCTTTCTCAAAACAAGATGCGTCTGGGCCATGTGGTATCATAATACTGTGCAAACTTCCACCACCAGGTTTAAAACCACATTTCTTTGCTTCATACGTACCGATGATTAGCCCCATAAATTCGCTCATGCAATTTCCTGTGAAAAGTTCATTATGTGAAGATAAAACATATTTTGACGTAATTGGAGACTATAGCAACTATAGCACTTCGTGAGACATACGGTGATAATAAGGTGGTCGGAAAGTTTTTTCTGCCACTCCCCACCTAGGTGGGAAAATGACAAAATCTGCTATAGCAGTTCCATATCTGGTAGATTGAGCTGTTAAGACTGTAAATATTGATGGATCCTGAAAAAGAAATAGCCCAACATTAGATATCTTATTGTAATATATATTTTCAAGATATATTTACTGATGCAGAACAGTGGTTAATAGCTCAGACAATCGCTTTTGAGAGTCAGTGATAGGAGTGGTCCTATCACTGAAAAATTGGAATGGTACTGACTGCCCATCTATAATTCCATCTGTGACTCTTCGAAAAAATCCAATTATTTTAATGTTGATATATTTCAAAACTTACGGCATGATCATATGAAACAGTATTGATTGCCATAAATTTTCTTAAGTCATATTTATATGGAACGTAATTGCCATGCCATGCGACAACATCGAATGGCGAATGCTTCTACAAAAGTAATTTGAGTGTCTCAATGGTTATTATGGCAAAATGCTATTTTGAAAGTATTTAGGACCTGTATTGCCGTGAAGAATTTGCCTTGGAATTTACAAATAATTTCATATCGTTCCACTTCGCGATCTTCGAACCACGCTATGGGAATTTGAAAATGCCGAGGATTTGCCAAACCATTTGCGCCTAATAACTCATAATTTCATAAAAACTCAATTTATTTAATCGGTTTAAGTGAACGAAATGGTTCGAAAAAAAACTTACCAATTGGTCCCAAATCGGGTAATTGAAAATGAATGCCATAAATTTCTAAGACATAACCTCGACTTGGCTCATCAATTTCAATAGTATACCGAATTCCTTGTGGAATTACGACTATTTCTTGTGGTTCAACAAATAAACGCCCGAATTCGGTTGAAATTTTTAATGATCCTTCTTGAGGTACTGAAAACTAAAAAATCATCAGCCAAAGTAGAAGGTATTAATGAAAACGAATATCTTTCGTAGAGATTAATCTTCCTAGGATAAAGATGGAGAAAATGTTTTTATCCTTTTTCATCTTTTTGCTCAATCATCAGTCGAGGAAGTTAGCCAACAACTGTAATGAAATTTGCTTTTTTTTCAAATCATTGACAAATGTGTTGAAGTTTATTGTTCCAAATATGTCCAAAAATATGGAATATCTTAAAAAACGACTTTTAAAGTCCTAAATTGGGTCCAAACTAGGAATTCGCAAATGTTGGCAAGTTAAAATCTTGAAATCAAAGCCTATCACTTAAGAAACTGTTTTGCACATCGTTAAATTCTTGAAACAAACCTGTCATATACCATATTTACTAATGACTTATTAATTGAACAAATAATCAAAATCCGGTTATTAAAGCTGGATTAATATTTATCTGTTAATCCCAAGTGGCTGTATCTTACTCTTAAATCAACAAAGCTTCTATGAGCTTCAGACATGAGCTTACCGATAAGAAAGTCGCCATCTGCATTATAAAAGCAGCAATCATACATTGATGAATTGCAGGAATATTGATGGACGGCCAAACCTGTCCTGGATACTACATCTCCTCCACCACATATTGTAGCAAGGCCCTGCAACTTTTTATAGATATTCATTTCAACTATGTTATTCAACTTCCACTCCACAATGAAAAACCTGCTATTATGCTTAATAACCAACTGAAATTTAGAAAAAGTCATTTGTGCGACTCGTTTAAGAGATCTAAAAAAAGAATATGATGGTGATTAGAAACCTACATCTATAAAATTGACGTTTTCGCGATCAGGGAAGGGAAATGGATGCCATCTGAATTGATTTGGTACCGCGTCAAATGATGAAAAATTATTTGTAAATTTTTCTTTTGCCATTTTTTTAAATGGATTATGTATGACAGATGGACGAATCCGATATAACCAGCTGAATTTCATTTTATCATAATTTATCATAATTTTTTTTCATTGTATTCATAATATGTAATCTTATCTCATGAATTATAAATCAACTGATTTATTTCGATCACCTTCGCTGATTCGAATTACGAGGTGCCGTAAAAGGAGACCCACTAAGCTGCTCAGCATACAAACCATATGGACATCGTTGTGGACTATTTTGATTAAGTGGTAATGCACCTGGACAACGTTCATCTTCCGATGCAAATTCGTTACCAAAACCATTCAAATATTTCAACTAAATTATAGAATTATACAATTGCCAATTGCCAATTATAGAATTATACAAAAATTTTAAAATTTTCCCATGAAAAAAATGTTTCAAATATTGATATTTTTTTAACTGATTGATTTAAACTGAGTGATGATGGCGACTCACCTATAATTATATTGCTAAGTAAACCTCTGGTAAAATTTGCCCACTCCGAAAAGCCAGCGGAGCGAGCGTGACCAGTAATGATGAGCTGTCATAGAGTATTATATCATCAATGTGTAAATATTTATCAAATTTTGTGAGGAGACAACGATCACTTTTTAGATTAAATAATTAGGCATGTGACGAGCGTTTATCTTCCCTGGTTAGGCTTATTTCCCAGAATGCAGTGAAAAATTTTTGTCAGCGAGTCACATAGCGAGGGTCCACTACTCACCATCTGAACAAAATTCTTCTATGAAGGATGCACAATGGAAAGTAAGGACGTCATAGTTGTCAATAAATATTAATAACATTTTATTAATTATAATAATAACATTAATATCAATAATCTTATTATAATGTTACCTTCGCGAAATGAAATTCCATTAGAAACAATAAATGAAAGTTTTGTGATTTTTTTCTTTTAATATTAAATAAAACTTGAAAAGATTTGTTGAAATTCTGGTTTCCAACAAAAATTTACTTTAAACTTATACTTATATAAGTATATTGATGAAGTTTACAACACGACCACCATACAATTGCCCCTAATTAATTATTTACTGGGCAAAAATTGCTTTCAACGATCGATCATTGAAGTTTTAATGAATTTTAAGAAATTTTGATTTTGATTCAATTCGTCGTCTTAAAAATAGTACAGTGCTATAATATAAAATATGATTTTATTGGGTCATTTATTTTCGAAAAAAAATTTTCATTTCAATAAGCGAAAAATATGATTGACAAAATTCATTTTTAATCATTTGAAGTGCCCAAAATATAATAAACAAAATTCAAGTGTAATCGATTTTCAACCATTAAATTCAGTTTAATTATAAAAATATTTGACAAAACTCAATTCAATCGTAATCAATTTTATTGTCAATTGCCATAAAAAAGGTTTGACAAAATTTAATTTAGCAACAATTTTCATAAACGTTTGACAAAATCCATTTGTCAAAAAATATTTGACAAAATCCAACTCAACTGCATTCAACTGCAGTCAACAATTTTTATAAACCACTTAAAAAAATTCAATTCAGTTATAATCCATTTTCAATCCATTATCAAATTCAATTGAATTATAAAATTATTTGACAAAATTCAATAGAGGTGTGATAAAACTTCATTTCATTCAAATTTCATTTAAAAAACACAAAATTGTCGAAAATAAAAAATAATAAATTTAGCATAAATTTACCAAAAAATTGCTTTTAATCAACATTGTTATTATTTCAATCAAAAATGTTTGAATTAGAAAAATAGAAATTTTCGAAAAAGAGAAGAAAAAAAAAAGAAATTTAAATAAAAAAAAAAAAAAGAAATTTAAATCAGCAAATGCATAAACTGTAATACAATGGCTCGGTGGGTTGTTGCTCAATTAGGAGCGCCGATGCTGAGGTTCGATTCCCTGCAGGAGTAAACCTGTACGAAAATCCGGGTGATGCTGGCGACTCACCTGTATTTCTATCGCCAAGGGACTCCCTAGCATATTGCTCAATTGCGACAAGCCAGTGGAGCGAGTTTAACCAGTAATGGTCAGGAAAAAAAAATGCACAAACTATTGTTAATATTTTACAATGAATTTCCTTAGTAAATTTATCCATATTGTTAAGCTTTAAGCTTCAATGGATAACCAAATTAAAGCATTCAAATTAAAAATTTAATAACAGCATAAAAATATCAGTAAACATGATAAAAATGAATAATCTATAGGCAAAACAATAATTTTATGATAAAAAATTCAGGTTCAAAATTTTGCTTATTATCAAAACTCAGTTGATGACAATAATGATGCCCGAAGGTGATTGAAGATTCTAAATAAGGCTAACAGGAAAATTTACAGGAAATTTTAATGCTCACCGTGGTTCCTATAATTAAATAACGAGTCTTTTTTGCAGAGTACGACTAATTTAATTTTAATTCATTTTTTTAATTTGCCAAATTCTTTTCCCTAATTCACATAACCGAACATTTCATTGGTATTCGTGAATTGTTGCAGCATAATAAATTTGGTATTTTCCACTTCTTCGTTCTATTCGACATTTGAGCCAGTGGCGGTAATAAATCAAGTTCATCAGATGCTGAATCGCCATCAATTTCAATTTCGTCTGTTAATCTAAAATAATTCTGTCGTTGAGAAATTCCGTTCATTAGCAAATATATTAATTAAAAATAATGAGCAAGGGTTAAGCAAATAAATAAATAAATGCTTAGGAGTAACCACTGCTGAACCGGTTCCTTCCATTAACTTTTAGTAAAAAATTTTGATAAGGCAATTACAATAAGATAATTTTGCTAGATGTTCACTTGGAAATAGAAACCACGCAGTATGGCAGAATATAGACATTCATTGACATTATCATATTAGAGGTATAGGTGCTGAATTATGGCTTCAGGAGGAGCAAATATCATGGATTCTTCCCATATTTTTGATAGAAATAAACTTACCATGAGAAGGAAAACTCATGAAATACTGCTGAAGACCCATTATCATTTATTCCTAAAGGATTCTATGGATTTTAGGATTTTAGCATTCACTGGAATTAGCCAAACCAAAAATGGTGCGTAAGGAAAGAAAGAAAGATATTAATCAACAAAATTTCGCTTATTATTAATAATTTAGGCATGTGGTAATTACTGGCTGAGCATTTTGGGATAGATTTGAAACGTAAAATTAAGTTGCTGAAAATATCCGTGAAAAAGTTTGTTTAACACAAAATTAAAAAAGAATTAAAACCTAGAATGTCCCCTTTGACTATTATCCATCAAATTATGTGCAGAAATTTTTCGTAGATCTCTTTCTATGTCCTTGTCGAAATCATTAGGGGTGATTAGAGGTTTATCTGAAGATTCAGCCGAACAATTGTATCTTTCTCGATGAATCGTTTTGGGAGTTAAATTATAATCATCATCGAAATCTTCGTCTAATGAGAAGTGAGTGCAATCTTTATGGTCTATTCGAAATGTTCCTGAAAAAATTTATTTACTGTTGTTGACGAATCATTATTTTTTCCAACAATTCTCATTTCTGTCGGTCCACTGGTTTTCCGGACCAGAATTACTAGAGAGAATTTCACTTGGCGATAGAAATGGGTGAATCACCACCACTTGAATTTTCGAAAGTCAGGTTTACTCTTTTAGGAAATAGAATCTCAGAATTGGCATCCTAGAATAAGAGTATCATCCCTGGAGCCATTCTAACCCCAAACTATTTTTATTTTGTATTGCTATAAATATTATCGCACAGATATTTCATTGCGAGAAAATCATTCGCTACTATGAAAGAATTATGAAAGAATTTTTTTCTAAGAGCGCTCACCACTATTGATTAGGGCCACTCCGTCGGGTGAGGTAAATTTTCTCATAGAGTCACTCACTTAGAGATAAAAATACGATTGAACCATCTGGATCAAAAAAATGAAAATAATAGTTTTGCTTGATGAATAATTTTCAAGCTTTTATTTTAGCTATATACACGTAAATCTGTTTTTAAGCTTAGAATTCAAATTGGACAAAAGAAATTTTTAGTTTCCAAATTCCTATTATTACTTTTTTTCTTCTAACACCTCTCACCATTACTGGCTAGGCTGGCTCCAACGGCTACAAAGGTAAGACGAGCGGCGCAATATGATGCCATTGGCGACAAAGCTAATAGAAGCCATTCCTTTTTCCATCATCTAAGTCCATATATTGCTGGTCCACCTATACGTTCAAAATGTTTTCTGATCGTATCAATCCAGGTCTTAATTGGTCCACCTCGCTTTTGACGTCATCCATCATAGGTTTATCAAGTAACGAAATATGCGTCAACTCCTGTGGTGGACGACGGAGAATGTGCCCTAACCACCGAAGGCGAGGTTCTGTGGTAACATTATTTATGCAAGTGGTATTTGAACTGAGGTGGATGCGATCACGCGATATTTTATCTGTCAGACGAATTCGTAAAATGTACCTTAGATAAGAGTGGTCAAAGGCAGATAACTTAATATCTTTCATTTTCATTGGCCATTCTCAGAACCATATAGCAAGATCGAACGAATCACGGCTATATAGATATGGACTTTAATTTTTATGGTGATTTCACGATGGCTTCAAAAAGGTTTCGTCAACTGGAAGAACGCATTTTTAACTGCCATGATCCGGGCTATAATATCGTCTTTTGCCTGGCCATTTGGTATTAGAATGGACCCAAGATATTTAATTGGATACTTCCACAACCGGCAATGAATTTATAAAATGAGGCATTTTATCAGCTTCTTGCACATAAGACGAAAAGGCATTGATTTTGAGTACAGTTCTTGTTGATTCATTGTTTAACATTATTGGCAATTCATCATAACTTCAGCAAAAAAGACTACATCATCAGCGCATTCAAGATCTGTGGTACTATACTCTGGATTGATATTTGCATATTGAGTGCTGATAAGCCCATTATCCAGTCATTACCCATTGCCCATTATCGCATAGTTGAATATTGTAGGGGGAAGGACATAACCTCATTGATGGAGACCAGTTTTTATTTCGAAGGATTCTGTCAGCTCCCCATATACACAGACCTGCGCCGACGTGCGCTCATAAAGTGCCTTTATGAGTCGAATGATCTTCTCTGGAACACCGAGTTCCATCACCCTCCAAAGCGCCGCTCTATTAATTAAATCAAACGTAGACGCAACTATTGTTACTACTGAAATATTAATATCAATGATATTATCAATGAGGTTCGAATATTATTTTGCTTTTGGTTCGAATATTATTTTGCTTATTTGTATTTTGCTTTTTCTAATTGTTGCTTGGAAAGCTATCGAAGTCAGAGTGGCAGTAAACCTTCAACCATAGACTTTGTTCATTCCATAAGCCCAGGTTTTTAAAACGAACTTTATAATATGCGTTTAATAAATCTAACCATTTAATCTTTTAGGATGATAATTAGCTCTAATAAATGAATTATTAGTTGACATATTTACTGTATCCATATCCATTTTCTTTTGTAATATTTCATTTATTGCAGAATTTCTTCGCAATAAATCTAAAAAATAAAAGTAATTCAATAAGTAAAGAAAAAATATTTCAAAAATATTCGATCTTTATGAAAAATTTGTTTTTTTATTTGACCGTTTAATGAACAAATATTCACTAAATATGGTACCAGATTGAAACAAATTTTCATAAATGTTTGATATAGTGCCAGGTCGAAACAAATTTTCACAAAATATTAGATATGATAGCAGATGGAAAGATTTAAAATGTCTTCATTTTTGTGGCCAATAAAGAAGGCGAATCATAAATTTGTAAAAAAAATCGATTCCCATTTCCCACAAATATTAATTATTTAGAATAATTTTATTTCTTTATCTTAGCAATAAAAAATCATTTTATAATTTTACTATAAATTACAACTTTAAACAAAAAAATTTAAAAAAGGAATTGAATTTTAAAGCAAGAAAATGCAATAATTTGTGTTTTCACCAAATTTTATCAATTTCGTAAAATCTTTCCTATTTTTTAAAGTTTATAATAACTCAAGTGATATACAACAAAAAGAAAACAAAAAGCAAATGAATTGAATAAAAACACAGAATTCTAATGAGGAACAAAACAGGTCAGCAGATCGGTTCATCGGTTCTCATTCGAAACGCCGAAGGTAAGTTTCCATTCCCGGCTTGATCCTAGCTTGATCATCAACCAGGGATGACATACAAGTAGATGGAGGCGATCCATCTGTACTTCTATCGCCAACTATCTCATTGACAAAATTTCATTCTCATTGTCTCATTGTCTGGTCTGACTAGCCAGGAGAGAGTGAACCCATTTAATTCATCATGGAATATCGCAAAAAATTTTAAAATTTATTAATTTATTAATTTAAAATTTATTAATTCTAAATATATTTTTGAAATTTAATTTAATAATTAAATTCATTAAATTAAATTATAAATTTAATTTATATTTTAAATTTTGAAAATTTTCAAATTTTATACTAGAATTTAAATATTTTATAAATTAAATAAATTTAGTAAATAGTAATTATATAATATTACCTTATTATTCACTTAAACTGAAAAATTATTGAATTAATTTGAATAACAAATTATTATGACGAAAAAATACGAAAACATACAAGTAGAAATTCTGAAAATTTCTTCAAAAATTCTATTAACTTAATCATCTTATCAATGAAAAATTTCATCATTTTATCAGCCAAAAAGTAATCAAAACAAAAAAAATCTAAATGAAAAACGCGAAATGTCGAAATGATTTGTAAGAATTCACAAAAAAAGGTTAATTTTACGGAGAAATTCCGTAAGAAATAAAAGAATTTTATTGAAAATCCGGAAATATATTGAAAGAAAGAAAAATTCAAAAAATATTGATTAAAATTGAAAATTTGTTTTTATTTCGAAAAGCGTTTATCATTTCTGGCTAAGCTGGCTTCGTTTGCTCACCAGACTATGCAAATTTTGCCAGAGGATCACTTGCTGATAGAAGTATAAAACACCAGCGTCATGCGGTTTTTCGAAAGACACGTTCACTTTTGCTGGGTACCAGCATCGATGCTCCGAAATGAGTGCAACAATTCATTGAGTCATTCCCACCCCCCCGCCCATTCTATTAATATTATTATTATTAATTTTAATATTAATTTTATTATTAATATTAATAATTTTAAATAAATATAATAAAAGAAGCAAGAATTCGATGAATTTTTTTAATAAAAATTATGCTGGAGTAAATCAGTATCTAATATCCAATTATGCGATAGACTGGGCACCGCTTGTCAGCATTCAAGGGTGTCCAAATCAGTCCAGAGCATCGTAACAGATCTTGAATACGCTGATGTAGTCCTTTTTGCTGATAGTTATAACGAAATGCAAGTAATGCTAAATAACGTGCCAGAAACTTCAATAAGAATAGGACTCAAGGGTCAATGTATATAAAACGAAAGACTTTTCGTCTTATGTGCAAGAAGCTGATAAAATGCCTCATTTTATAAATTCATTCATTGGTTGTGGAAGTATCCAATTAAATATCTTGGGTCCACTCTAATACCAAATGGCCAGGCAAAAGACGATATTATAGCCCGGATCATGGCAGTTAAAAATGCGTTCTTCTAGTTGACGAAACCTTTTTGAAGCCATCGTGAAATCACCATAAAAATTAAAGTCCATATCTATATAGCCGTGATTCGTTCGATCTTGCTATATGGTTCTGAGAATGGCCAATGAGAATGAAAGATATTAAGTTATCTGCCTTTGACCACTCTTATCTAAGGTACATTTTACGAATTCGTCTGACAGATAAAATATCGCGTGATCGCATCCACCTCAGTTCAAATACCACTTGCATAAATAATGTTACCACAGAACCTCGCCTTCGGTGGTTAGGGCACATTTTCCGTCGTCCACCACAGGAGTTGACGCATATTTCGTTACTTGATAAACCTATAATGGATGACGTTAAAAGCGAGGTGGACCAATCAACACATAGACTGACACGGTCAGGAAAGCGCATATAGGGGGACCAGCGATATGTGATCATAGGTGATGGAAAAAGGAATGGCTTCTATTATTATCGATGATGGCATCGCGCAGCTTGGAAACCCTTACCTTTTTAACCAGCAGAGTCAGCCTAACCAGTAATGATGAAGGCTGTTAGAAGAAGAAGATGCTGAAGTAAGTTATTTGAGAAATCGATATTTTTTTTAATATAAAATGTGAAAGAAAAGAAAATTTGACTCTTTGGGGAATTCTCTTTGGGGAACGAGACGAAACGAGTTACAACCACGTTTTTTTGTTTATGAGATGAAACAGCAAATAACTTCCAGCAAATAACCTAGTAATTTTTGTTAAGTGTGAAAAGTTCATTTCGTTCATTCGCAGCAAACAGTTCCTTGTTTAAGTGAACAGAATGGTTCAAATGCCGAGTGGTTCAAATAATCGTCTATCGACTGGAAGAATTCTGCGCCTTGCACCCTCGGCAGCAGTCATAAACATGCCATTAAGGAATGCAAGTGCTGCCTATGACCCATCTATGCTTCTACTGCCAATCCACTCGCCAGGTTCAAAAATTTCTGACTCAATCAAATGCAGTAGTAATAAATTTGGAACCATTTTTAAAAAATTTACACCAATATTTATAGTCACCTTTTGTTATTTAATTTTAAGAGAATAAAATGCAGCAGGTAAGGCTGGATTCCAGCAATTTTATCTTTATTCGCAGGTGAATGTCTAAAAGTCTTCACCATTACTGGCTAAACTCGTTCCACTGGCTTGTCGCATTGAGCAATATGGCAGGGAGTGCCTTGGCGATAGAAATACAGATGAGTCGCCAGGATCACTCGGATTTTCGTACAGGTTTACTCCTGCAGGGAATCGAACCTCAGCATCGGCGCTCGCAATTGAGCAACAACCCACTGAGCCGTCCTATCCCCAGTGTCCTAGCAGGTGAGTGACGGATTTATTAAGAGATAAGGGGGTCCGTTTTGAGATCGAATGGAACTATACAGGTTATAAATAATAAATATTACTAGAAGAAGAAGAATTATTGATAATAATTATCGATAATAATTATAGTTTGATGATAAAATAAGAAAAATTTATTAAATTTATAAAATTTATTTCAATAGATATTTGATTTAAAAAAAAAGACGAATTATCGAAAAAATTTGATAAAAATGGGAGATTCTGAGAAGGAATTTTATAAGAAATTGTCTATCTTAATAATAAATAAATATTCTTAAAAATAAAAAAAATATTAAAATATATCCATCAAGTTCTCAAAAATCCGTTATTATTATTACCAATAAATTGCGTAAGCAATGCTGCATTAATAATGAATACAGCGCTGTGCTATGCCAGTGCTACTCGTATTCTTTGCGATGTTCTTGCGATGCCAACACTCTTCTCCTCTTCTTTATTAAATTCTACTTTTATCTGATTTATGAACGACTACTATGTACGATGTTTAAGGATAATTGATTTTGGATAATTGATTATTAATAATGAAAAGTTTTGGCAAAATAAAATATTCAGTTGAATAGCTCAGTGGATTGCTGCTCTTACTTTGGAAGCGCTAAGGAGAACGCCGTTTTCTTTAAAGAGCGTATCTCAAACGAAGGACGTCTTTCAGAAGATCCGTGCTGGCGACTATTTCTACTGCTATCGCCAGTTGACTCTCTGATAAAAAACTTATCTGATAAGCAAATGAAGCGAGTCTAACCGAAAAAGGATTAGCGCTCTCTTAGAAATTGTTTGAGAAACAGCTTTTCTATGCATAATTAAATTAAATAACGAAGAAATATTGAGATGAAGAAAGAACAGTTTAATGATTGGAATTATCACCTGCTTATCAACATCACATTGGTTAAAAACAAATGGTTATCAAAAAAAAAATTTTTTTCTTTTTGATTTGAAATTATTTTCGAATGATTCCTTACAAATTTCCAAATTTATTTCAGTAATTTCAGTTGGTGATATTATTTCTGGTTATACCGATTCCACAGAGGAAAAACCGCTATGCACCTCTCAGTTATCCGCTCTCCTCTCAGTTAACCTCTCAGTTCAATGTCAAATTAACAATAAAACAAATATAACAAGATTAAAGTAATGGAAAAAATATCAAAAAGCAAGAAATCGTTGAGTTTTGTATGGATGCAAAATCTCTAATGCATCATTCGAGATTCTAATTTGACATCATCGCCTGTGATGCCATGCATGATGAAACTCGTCACGCACTGTAAGGCTTCCTTCCCTATATGGTTTAGACCTACCAAGACTGAGAAGAATAAAGCAGGATTTGGTAGCAATATATGAAAATTTATGCGGTTGTGTGGACTGCTCACCTGAATGTTGCGAACTCAGCCTGAATTAAAATGTACTAAATCTAATGGTCTGAATTAATTAAAGAATATTTGGCAAAATAAAGTTGAGAAATCATAACTTCTTCACTTGCACTATTAATCACTGCAATAAATTACCTTAAAGATTAAATCGAGATAAATTTTTTGTTGTCATGAATTGCTTTTACGATTTCCTTAATGTTTAATCCATGTGTTTATCTAATCTGCGCCTAGCAAAAACCGTTCTCTTATTGTTTTTGTTAGCGTATGAAGTGAAATTCGGGTGGATGCAGTGGCATGAGATTTTATCTGTGAGCGACAATAGTTGGTACTTTAGGCAGAAATGATGATTTCTTAATTACCTGGCCATGCTTTCTGGCAGAATAACAGCGCAAAATTTTATTGACCCCTATTTCTTGACAGTTCTTCCACAAAGATTTCGTCAGAACTAAGATTTAATATTTATGATCCAACACCAATTTAATATTTTGATATTCAATATGGATTTAATATTTAATGCTGCTAAATATATAATTTTGAAAAACTTTTCCTAAAACGATAGGCTGATGTCAGTAAAATTTACTATTGCTTCATTTCATCTTTGTGGGTTTAGCGAAGGCGAATTGTTTCCATTTTTCCTCGTCATCTTTTAACTTTCGATTAATCGTTATATTCGTGTTATTGCTGGTGATTGTCAGTTTTTGCCGTGCCCCTTCTAATAATTAGCATCATTATTGGCTAATTCCGCCCGTTACAAGGCTTTTTAAATTTTTCGTTCAGAAGTCATATCTGAAAGAAATAAAATCCTCAATTTCTGTGCGTGTGAAATCTCTTTCGGCCTCATCTGTCGAAGTTTTGATTTGATTTCCGTTTTTGACATCATCCATCATGAGACTTGGCATCAACGAGATATCAGTTCAGTGATGGGCGATGGAAATATAGCCCATATGCCCATATAGATAGTTTTGAAGTTAAGGTTAAACCAGGAATCCCCAACGATGTAGAACGTGGTGATTGATGGATATCGAAGAACCGATAGGGGATCAGTGAACAAGTCAAATAATTGTTTTTTTAAATTTCGCATAAAATACTGTAAAAAAAAAGTAGGAAGAACTCGGATGCCGAACGTTGTTAGTTGTTTTAATGTATAATTTTTGTTTTCCATGTCTTTACAATTTCGTTTAAAACAATTTTTTTGCAAATATTATCAGTAAATGTTCGTAAGTAAACCAAGATTAGTTTTAACCAGATGTACAATTAAAAAATTCTAAGGGGGTCGATATAAGAAAAAGTTTGGGGATTCTCGACTTGGAATTTTACAATTACAATTACTGCACAATTTTTTATTTTTTTCCTTCTGCTACTCTTTATTTATTTTTGTTGTTTTTTAATCTTGTTATTGATATTTCTTAAAAAGGCTTTTTCATTTCATTAATTTCATTAATTTTATAAAATAAGAACCGTTTTCTATTTCAGATGGATGTTGAACTTTTGAAAGAATTAAATTTGAATTCGAAATTGCTTATTCTGTTTGATGAAAAATCTTTTAGTTAATTTTCATTTAATTATTTCCATAATTAATAAAGGAAATGAATATTGATAAAAGTCAGTGATTAAATGAAAGAATATAATCAGATTGAAAAAAAATTTTGCTGACATTTTAATTGTTTGATATTTTTTCGGCAAAATTTAATCGGTTTTATGCTAATTTTTTTTTTCTTTCTGAATTAATTTTATTTATGTAAATTAATTAATGATTAATTTTATTTGTTTGAAAATTTTTTGATGGTATGATATGATTGCAGATAGTGGTGATAACACGATTGCAAGTTTAGTACAGTCTGTTAAAAATAAATTTATGAATGTGGTTTCTCATCTGGCTAAAGGTGATTGATTATCTTTATTAATTTGATAAAATTGATACTTGTATTATGCAGAAGTTTTAAGAATCTGATTCAAAAGATGAAAAATATGATCATGTTGTTATATTCTCGGTTAATGACACACTGGATCTGCTGCTTCGATCAGCTTTTTTATTCGCGAAACCTTGTGTAATGGTTAACATTTATTCTAAAGGTTATTTTTTCATTACTAAAAAGCATTTCTTTGCTCATTTTGTATGATTTTGCTTTTTCACTTATTCACTTATTCAGTTAAGTTAAAAAGTTGTTTGATAAAGAATTATTCATAGATTTTTTAATTACTTTCTATGAATACCATTAGATCAAGGTAGTTTTTTTTTATTGTTCTTCATCATTCTTTTTTATTTTATTTGAAGCTATTAAGATTTATGGCCTTTGGCCTTTTGTTACTAATATTGAATTATCGAAGCATTTGAAAAATGAAAATTATTTGAATGAAGCGATATTTTCAGCAAGTAAATTTTTGAAGTCGAACTTCGCATATACATATATTTTTCTAATTTTTTGTAATTTTTTGTGATTAATTAATAATGTTATTAATATTCAGAAGAAAATTTCACAGTAATTGCCAGAAAATGTTTAATAGCTGGGTTTTTGGATTTCAAGAAATATGAAACGCATTATAACTCATTCTCAGTGTATTCCGCTAAAAAGGTTTTTATATTCTTATGATCAATTTTATTCTCGGATATCTGATAAGTTTCAGATAAGTTTTTTTCCAGCCGGATATCAGTGTTGGAGCTTCCATTTCTTTGAATTTAGCTGGAAAATCTTCAAAGAAAATCTGGAATTTGGATGCTGATGAAATGATAGATGAAAATGAACTATTAACTAAAGAAGATTTCAAGAGGCCTGTGCCGTCGAGTAAATTTAAATATTTTTTTTGTTGTCTCTCAAATTCAAAACTCTCAAATTTATAAAATATATATTCCCATATATTTCTAGGTGATTGTGGCATATCTTACAAAGGGAAGAAGAGAGCGTGTAAAAATTGTACTTGTGGCCTTGCTGAAATGGAAGCTGCTGGAAAGAGCCAGATTTTACCTCAGTCTTCATGCGGAAATGTAACAGATTTTTTAGCGCAAAGAACCTCAAATGTTTCAAAACTTTTTTTGAGTGGAATTATGGTGTTATTAATTATGGTGTTATTATGGTGTTATTAATTTATAATATAACAAATTAGTTTTAGTGCTATCTCGGTGATGCGTTTCGATGCTCAAGTTGTCCTTATCGTGGTTTGCCACCTTTTAAACCGGGTGAAATCGTTCAATTATCAATTGTCGATGATCTTTGATCTATTAAATTTTTGTAAGATTTAAGTTTTATTCATAGTAATATATAGTTCAGTACTTGAATATTTCGATATTTCAATATGGTTTTACTTCAATGCTTAAAAAAATTTAAAAAATATTTGAGGTATTTAGAATATTTAGAATATTAAAATTTTTTTAGGTCCATTTTTTTTATTTGTTTTGTAATTCTTATCCCGTTTCATCCACTTTTTGTATATTAAGTTTTGTTTTTTATTTTTATACGTTTATATATTTTGTTTTTTTTAAATCTTGAAAAATCACTTGCGTTCAGTTTTTAAAAATTTTTTATCTCTGTATATCTGCAATTATATTTTAAAATAATAAATATATTTTTCATAAAGATCGTTATTCTTACAGTAATAATGTTGACACTCGAGATTATTTTATAAAATTTTAATGTTTTTTATCTATAATTCCTTTTAATTCCTTTATTATTGGTAGGAAATTGGCTTTTTTCATTTTTTTCAATACTTGTTTATTTTTCTATCATTTTCTCTTTTTGCTGGTTGGTTCATCCTTTTTCAATTAAGATTTACACAGAAATTATGGCATCAGAGACGAATTCCTGTAGCGAATTTCTTAAGGATCTTCCATCGAATGATGAAGGAAATTTTTCAAAATGTTGTCGTTTTTGGAAGGTCTGATTTAATTTCAAACCTATAGGAAGAAGTTTTGTTCAAAAATTCGATACATTTTGTTCTTTTTTTTCTTTTGGTTGTAGAAAAGTAACGATGTATATATTGCTCATATTGTATCACATAACAGTGATGAAAAACGCATAACTATGGATAAAAGGCCATTGATTTTGAGATATTTGGAAAAGAAATGGCAGCATTCAGAAGTTCGTTCATTTTTATTGTAATTTTCTGATTCTTTTATATTTTTTAATTATTTAAGGCTTTGTCTGACCGTTTGAAATTCAGAATTTTTGCAGATTTATTTCATTTCGAATTTATCAAAATGAAAATTTCTAAAGTGCATAAAATTTATCCAATTTTCGTTTTGCCTGTTTTTGTAAAAGATTTATTAAAAGTTATTTCAGGAATCAGGTAAAAATCTCAAACGTACAAGTGATTCATCAGTAGAGAGACCAGGAAATGCCAAAATACGCAAATCTAACTAAACATTACCAAAATAAAATTTTATTAAAATTCAAAAATTAAAATTCATATGCTTTAAAATAATGGTGCGTATAGCTGTTTAGATTCAGATAGATTTTAGATTTTTATGTAAGAATTTAAAAAAAAAGGTTTTTTATAAAAAGTTATTAATTGATGGCAGATTTACAGATTTACTTAATTTTTATATTAGTGAGAATTTTTATATTAGTGAGCTTTCAATTTTTATAACCTTTTTAGTTTCTTATTTATTCATTTTATTCAAATTGTATTTATTTTTTAGTTTCATTTTCTTAATTATATCGAAAAATAAATATTATTTATGAAGATTATGTATAAATTGTTGCCGCAGTCAGCTGCTTTTGCTTATTTTTATTTTTGTTTTTGATAATTGGTTTCTTTTAAATATATTTATAAAATGTTTTAATATTTTAGAGTTATTTTTATTGTTTATTAATACTTTAATATTTTAGCATTGTTTATATTCAATATTTTAATATTTTTGAAGGTGGGAAATAATATACCTTTTCTTTCTTTGTTCAAATGGCCGATGATAATATAGAACATGATGTAAGTGATGCAGCATGTAAATTGGGTATTATTATGCAATCATCATATTATTTCATGGAAAACATTCTTCGTAATATGAGTGGTGAAAATGTACGAAGATTGCAGAGGTAAATTACATTTTTGTTGATTTTCAAGAAATTTAGAGGATGTCGAGATGTTTTTTGTAAAAAATTGTAAAGAATATTGTGAAAATATTAGGTTATTTAGGATATAATGTAGCTTTTCTCAATATAGCTTTTTTTCTTTTTTTTGAAGTTTTTTTACTGTTGTTAATTAAACTCGCTCCTCTGGCTTGTCGCGCTAGACAAATACCAGGGTGATGGAAATAGCGGTGAGTCGCCAATCACCTAGTTTTTTAGACAAGTTTACTCCTGTAGGGAGTTTCATCATCGGCCTTCCGAATTAACAACCTATTGAACCATTCTTCTCTTCATTATAGCTAAATATTTTATTAAATATTAAATATTAAATTAAATATTGATAAAGTATGTAACATTTAAAATAGGTCCATTATAAGGTTATTTTCTTTAACCTGTAATTTTTGCAGGGTCTGCAAAAATTTTTATCTGTTCTGCGAGAAATTCCGATATGATAATTGCGAAACGCTTGTAATTTGGCGTAAAAGAAAGGATACATATGATTGGAGCTGGAGTGATTGTGATGTAGAAGGAGTAAAAGATTTCTTAAAAGTAAGTTAATTTCAGTATCATTTAATTTAAAAAGTAAGTTAATTTCATGTCCGAATGTGCTTTAAGACTATATTTTTGCGATTTTATTTTCCATTTTTATGGGAATATTTTGAAATTTAAGTGAAATCGAACAAAAAGAAAAAAATTTTTTTTCATATGTTTTGTTTTTCGTTTTCTCTCTATTTTTTCTTTGTCCCTTTTTTCCCTTTTTTGTAATGAGTTTGAAGGGTTGTACCAACATTTAAACTCTTTATGGCACTTTTGATTAGATTTTTTTCTCTCATTTTTCTTCTTATTTTTCTCTTTTTTAAAAATTTACCTTTGTTTTTTGTAGTTTGGCGCTTAATCTGATTTGATGTTCAGTTTGATATTTCTTCAAATTTTTACATTTCTTCAAATCCAAATTTAATACAATAACGTTTTCAGGAATATTCAGCAATTCCTCGATTTATTTTTTTATTTAGCGAAACAACCGATTTGTCAAATGATTTGAATTCAATTTTACATTCTTCTTCATCTTTTTTTTGTGGCCTCACGGAGAATAAGTTCAAATATAGAAATCTTTGTCGTTAGTATTTTGATGAATTATTGAGGTAATTTAAGGTAAATTTTTTGGCCAGTTTGGTTTGTTTCACCTAATTATTTCTAAGATTCGAATAAAAGAATAGTCGAACGGATTTTGCATAGATCATCAAATCCGGCGGGAAAAAATCTCTACCTTCGCTTTTACTTAGTGAATTCTTGGCAAAAGTATTTAGTGCTTCAAATGGTAGAATGGAGCCAGAAATGAATGCAAAATATTTATTTTTTTTACATGATTTTTATGATGCAATCTTAAATTCTATAAATTCATAACTTTCATACATGATATTAAGGAATAACTGCTTTATTAAGGAAGAGGAAGGGCGTATTTTAATGCGCTTAAGGCTGGTATTAATGGATTTATTTTGCCCTATGGTCTTTTGAATCGAATGGATGTATGCATTAGAACAAAGGCATTCACGTAAGTCGTTTATATCTATTGCAATGATGCTGAATGCATTTATCTTAACGATGATGGAAAATGGGTGGAAAATAATCGAATGGTATTTTGTTATTTCTGCATCACATTGGGTTCCTCTCTGTTTGAACAAATTCGGTAAACGACGAGTGAATCTCTCAATAAAAATGAAGTCCAAGTGCTGGTGAGCTTAATTCTTCTTGAAGGCTTTATGGCGAAGAAATTTCATCCTAATAGCAACTCTAATTAGAAATGATTTTTATCAAAAGAAGAAATAAAAGAAGAGCGCTATAACAGGATCTGTCGCGTAATATGAACGCTTACATATGAAGCTGTTTAGCAGCAACTCATTCATTTGAAAATTTGGATTAATTGAACTGAAAAAAAAAGTTCATTTGATTCTGCGGCCATTTTTGTTTCAACGATATTGTAGCTTTCGAAGAAGAGGCAAAACATACTGTGACGAAGAATCAGTCTACTGGACATCTCCGGAAAATTTTTCCCTGCCCTTTCGCCAAATGCTCATGGCAATACGAGATAGCAGAATGGTCCTAATCCAGCTGGATTTAGATCGGAATCGGAATCGGAGTGCTGACCAGATATTATACTAAGAAGGAACATCGTTTCAAATACCATCAATCCGCCGTCACTTGCTTTATCGATTTTGCTCATTTCGATTAGTATGATAAAGCAGCTCTGGAAAATGATGGAGTGTGTCTCAGAAATGATCATTCGGCTCATAAAGGCATTTTATCAGCATACCCTGGCGTAAGTCTTTTTATATGGAGAACTGACAGACTCCTTCAAAAACAGAACTGGTGTCAGGGCTGCGTCCTTTCCCCTACAATATTTATTTACAATATTTAACTATATAGACTGGAAAATGGACATTACTTGTCGTCACTCAAGAGATTTGCCAAATCAGTCCAGAGCATAGCATCATAGACCTTGAATGCGCTGATGATGTATTTTTTGCTGAGAGTTATAAGGATATGCAAATAATTTTAAACAATATATTTAAGCAATGTATCAACAGTGTAACAACTTCAGCGAGATTGGGTTTAAAATTAATGTAAGTAAAATGAAAATGTTTTCGTTTTATATGCAAGATGTTATTTTTATCAGTTCATTACCGGTTGAGAAAGTGGTTGGCTTTAAATATCTTGTATCCAGTCTAATTACAAATGGCCAGACAAAGGACGAAATTGTAACCCGAATTACGACAGCTATAAATATGTTTTTTCCGGTTGATGGAACCTTTACGGAACCGTCGCGAAATTACCACGAAAATCCACATCCATATAGCTGCATTTAGCTCGATGTCGTTATATGGCTGCGAAATATGGTCCATGAAAGTGGAAGTTATTAGCCTTTGACCACTCTTGTCTGACATACATTTTGCGGATTCGTCGAATGGATAAAATCGCACATAATTGTATTCATCTTCATTTAAATACCACCTATATTAATAATTTTATGACAGAGCGTCGCTTTCGCTACTCAAGGCACGTTCTCCGTCGTCTACCATAGCAATTGCCGCATATTTCCTTACTTACTCGTGTTGGTTGTCATCAAAAGCGAGGAGAACCAGTCAAGACCCGAACTGATACTGTCAGGAAAGATTTTGAATATATAAGGGAACCAGAGATATGTGATCTTAGACGATGGAAAAAGGAATTGATGGCATTATATTGCGCCGCTCGTCTTACCCTTGTAGCCTACCCAGTAATGGTGAGGAGAGGCTTTGAAGAAGAAGAAAGAAGCTTTCAAAGATCACGATTTTGTTCCAGGGAAGACAATCCGTCATTTTACTAGCCAGTATTCAACATATTCGATTATTTTTGCAAATGTATACCATTTCACTATGTTTTGTATTTGAATTTCCAATTTTTGCTCATGATTTGGTTCCTGACAGTAAATCAATATAAAATCCATCTGAGTAATAATAATTTTAATAAAAGTAATTTTCTAGCTGAGAATTTAATTCACGTCTGAAAATGGTAGAAAAGGTTTCAGATGAAACCTAATCGAAGAAATATTTTCAAAGTGGAAAGCGTTGCTGAGAACGCTAAATTCTAAATATATATAGAATATCTTTGTTAATATTAATTTAAATATTAAATATCTTTTATTCATTTATCAATTTAAATATCTTTGCTTCTTTTTCTTTAGCTGCAGTAGAATTAGACTGAATAGATGGAGCAATCGGGATAATATTTATCTATGTTAGTCTAATCTCACTACACTCAAATATTATCCTCTAATTGTAAAAACGTCATCAAGAGTGATATATAAGATTCCCTAGGATTGCTTGACAAGGCGTGGATTTTCTGCAAAAAACAATGTTTTCGAGATTAATAATCCTATACAATGGAATAAAATTAGAAATACAAGTTTTTCTTGAAATTTATCTTTAAAAGGCATTGTAAGTTTTCGGCTGATGCTGATGGCTTTTTTGGTTTTCGCGAAGTTGTTTGCAAGTGATGTAAAGCTATCTAAGCGTTGCGAAGTTTTAAATTTTAAGTTTTAATATGAAATAAGAAATAAAATAAATTTAATAACGAACTATAGCGAATGTTAAGTGGTAGTATAGAAACCTCATAAAATTTTTATATATATATATGAATAGGTAGTCTTATTTTTTTCTTTATTCTGGATGGTGCTGGCGACTCACCTGTACTTCTGCCAGACTCCCTGGAATATTTAATCCGACAAGCTTGGGCGAGGTTAGCTAGCAATGGTGATTGCTCTCTAAGAAAACTCTGATTTTTTAAATATTACTGATATGAAATAGATCATAGCAAAGCCTGTTTTATGCTGTCTGATTGATTCTCTTAATTTTTTTGATTAAACATTAATCGGTTTTTTTTTAAAATTGCAGCGTAAATGAGTTTAATAAAGAGATCAAATCGAATAGAATGGATAAAGAACGTTTCTGTAAAATATTCAATTGGCCAAACGAAGTTATTTTTTCTCAATTCTCAATTTAAATCCTATCAGAATATATTTGAAAAATTTTTTATTGAAAAAGAGTTATTTTGGTGAAAATAAATTTAAAGTTTAAGTTAATTAAAATTTTAAAGTTTTAGTCAGGAATGTGAATTGAGTTGCAGAAAAAATTCAAATGTTTAATGATATTTGTGGGTCAGTACATCGCAGTCGAAGAACTCGGGTGTTTCTATCAGTCCGTTAAATCGTTTTCTGAAGGAGATCAGATTGTTATCGTTGGTGGTCGTTTGCAGTCTTTTGTTGGTTCGTCTTACACAGCGTAAATCTTCTTAGTCTTTTTTCGTCTTCCACCATTAAGATGGCTTCACTAGCTGTCGTGATAAGACGTTTCCAAGCTCATCTATCCATGCCCGATGTTAACATTTCACTGTCTAAATTTACATATCGTCGGACCACTTACGCACGCAAAATCTCTCTTTTCAGTCTAAATCCTAACCACTTTTCTTTTTATGCCATATGCTTTGGCATGTAGTGAGGGCTGCGTCAATTCCAGAGTGGTCGACGAAGAACATAGCCAGCGGAAATGACTCATTTTTGATGATATTAACTTCCTTTAGTGTTACAGCGATAATGGAATGCAGTCTTGCGAGATTTTATCCGCACGTTGAGTGCGCAAAGTGTATACCAGGCAAGCATAGTCAGAGATAATTCATGTTATCATTCTCTGGCTAAGTTTTATAGTCAGCCATATTAAAGGATTTTACAAACTATAGATAGATAAACTGTAGATACCAACTTCTCTTAGAAATTAGCTTTAAAATTCCATCTTTTATTTGGTCAAGTGTGGGAGTGAAAAAAAAGATTGGACGTTTCTTCACGATGAAGGTCATATAAAAATTAGTAATTTGTCAGTCCCTGGTTTATAAGAGGAAAAGAGTCTCACCAAATTTGATTTGTAATTTTCGCTACTCTTATTCAACATCTTCCTTAATTTCAATGTTAATTCTTGGTAAGTAACAACAGCGAAAGGGATATAATCATAAGCTTGTCTAAATAGCTTTTTGAGTACCGGCGTTTTTTCTTTCTAAACCAAAATTTTCAAATTTTTAAGAAGTGATTGTTATCATAAAAGTTTATTTATAATTCATATTCGATTTGTAATTTTTTTTTCCTTAAGTAATGATGAGGATTTTGGAATCATTAATCGTAGAAGATGTCAAATCTACGTAGCGGCATTTGGAGGAGAAGATGTTGTGGCATCTTCATTAGTAGTATATGAAGGAATACAGCAGTCATGTGACATAAAATTAAACATGAATCATTGGAAAGTTAGTGATTTTTCTATGGTGTTGATAAGTCTTCTATCGAAAATTTCGGAAGAAATTTGAATTTGAAAGAAAAATTTGTGCCTTTTATCAATTTGTATGGATTTAAAAAATTCCTAAATAGGGTAGGGAAAGAGTGGCTTTTTTTCGGTCAAGGCTGGGGGAGTACATCTTAGACATGTATATATCCTTAAAGTCCAACTGTTTGCTAGGGATTAAGGATTTATTTTCTTTTTTATATGATTTTCGGTGAGAGCAAAAGAAGGAAAACAAAAAATGCATTTTTTCTAGATGAATGTAATATTTAATGTATTCACCTTGGATAGTTTATTATAGGCAGCTTGTATTGATAAATGGCCATCAGATATTTCGAAAATTGGAATCTTTTTCCGATGCGTAGCTCGATGTAATGATTTTCTTAGGAATAATCCTACGCTGGAAAATTCAATTTTTTTGTAAGTTTCTAATTTTTTGAAAGAAATGTTTAAGAAATTAATTTAAGAAAAAATGAAAGTGAAAATAAAAAGTAAAGAAATGAAAACTTGTTGCTTTTATAGGAATAATCTGGTTCTCTTTAGAATATTTGTTCGAAATTTTCGTGTAGATCATGCACCAAAAGTACCGTATTTTTACAGAGAAACATTTTCGGATGTGGAACTATGTGGTTGTACAACTCTTGGTGAAATCGGATGTTGTGTACCAAAATCTCCTCTTGTTGATTCTTCTTTAAGCGAAAAAAATGTAGATTATGATCTAGCTTTTAGTATAGTTTTTGCAATAATTGGTTTCAGAAAAGCGAACTATTAAATATTTTATAAATTATTATAGTCAAAAGTTCCAGTGATAATGAATTAGGAAAACTAAAAAGGCATTAATCTCAAATGAGCAGAATATAATGTAATCAATAAAAATGGCCAAAGGTTTCAATTGGTATTAATTTGATTTCCCAACAGTGAACTGGCTGATCGATTGTCGACATTGTTGAACGTACTTTTGAAAAGTGCACTAAGAGAGTATTAAATTTAAATTCAAAAAACTGGTATTTAAAGAAAAACTATCACTGGCAGTTCCGAAAGGCCAGCAAGGTCCACGTAATTGTATATTCGGACTAGGTTCGCTACCTGTTGTTTTGTACCTTATCGAAATAAACAGCTTTGTTGGACACGTCCTCTTAAACATGGAGTTACTTCTTGATGCGTACAAATGGCTTTCTAACAATCAGCTTTAGATTTAATGATAACCTTCACTCCTGTGGAGAGATAATAAAGAGAGGTCAGATGAGGAAATGAGGAAAATCTTCAAAAATAAAACTCCATGTCGAAAATCTCAAACATAGTAGTTAAAAGCCACGAGAATTAAATAAAATTAAACAATACAATTTAACAGATGCAGTTAGCCATTTCTCAATCTCCTCACCCGTCTTTCCCCACGCTTTATAAAATAATATTTGACGGAGCAAATATTGTAGAATGATCGGATATTCTCTCCAATACAAAAAGAGAATTGCTAACTGATTTCTCTATCTAGTAAAGTACCACATATTCTAGAAGTCCCGACATTACACCAAAAAATTACTAGCTATTAGCGTCAATAAACAATCGTAGAACAGAGATATACCTCAACATAAACGCCTTAAGCTAGGAGCAAATGGTGGCAGACAAATCAGAAATGGTGTATGAAAATATTGGATCGATTGAGCGGTATATCTGATAAGCTTTATGCCATCGTTTTTGCAACTGTTATATTTTGATAATAAATTTTCTGCTAAAATTTTTCATAACCCAACCAATAATCAACAAAAAAATCCTTCGTGGCGAAAATCAGCGTATAGAATTTTAGAATAACAGTGCATTCAGTTCCTAGTTGTCGGTGGAGCCAACCAAACTAACAAACAATGGTGTACAGTGGGTCTCGCCTGAGGCTATTAATGCGATCTACACAATGTATGGATAAAGATAAGTGAGAAAAGCACCTTTTTAAAATTCCGAGTCCTAAAACGAATTCTTTTAGCGCCGTTTTTCATTATACTGTGTGTTTGATATTGTACGTTGAAGAGTTCAAAGGTTTGTAGGTATAGATTGGCGGGTTTTTCAGTTTCAGTGGGGTGTTTTGGTTCCTTTGGTTTCAGAATTGAAATGAATCGTTTGCAGGTGTAATGTTATTGCTGAGTGCTTTCAATTATATCGATAAATGGCTGAATAAATTTTTTCTTTTAATTTGCAGTTTTTTTTTAATTAAAAACTTTTTAAAGGGAAAGGGTCAAAAATATAAGGTGGAAAAGGTCAACAAAGGTCAAAGGGATTTACTTAAATTTTTTTCGAAATAATCGAAATGAATAGAGGACAGATAGCGAACATATAAAGTGCACAAACCGAATTGTAATTTATTTTTATCAGATGGGCTAGACAGCCATTGTTTTCAGATTTCCTAAATTAGCATTCTGAGCATTTTTTATATCAATAAGACTTCTGTCTTATCTGTGAAGATGATGTTCTTACCAGCGGAGACTGTTTTATCAGTAAGGCTTATCAGTTTAATACAAATGACATTTTTATGCGACTGATAAATAATTTGTTTTAAATAAACATTTAAAAGATCGTTTTTCATTAAATTCAACGAGAGAGCCGATTTACCGATATAATTTAATAATCTGGCTTTATGATATTTTGGAGACACAATTATACGATAACATTGGTTGAGCAGTTGCCGGTTGGTCACAATGAGATTTATTTACTTTGTAAGATTACTAATGGTTCTGCTAGACGAACTGGATATTGCTTAGATTATTAAAAAACTCACCATTTCCGGTTAGGCTCACTCTGCTGACTTGTCATTATAGATAAATTTTGCCAGAGAGTTGATAGAAGCACAAGCCAGTCATCATCTGTTTTTTTACTCCTATTAGGAGTATAATTCCAGCATCCGAAATAACAATAAGCAATAATCCATTGACCCAATCAACCCACATTATGCGTTTGTTTATGCCAATTTTTTGAGGATTTGAGGATTGTCCGATTATCCATGTTTCTTTGTGAATTTTCGTATAGTACGAATAATTATTTATATTATTGTTATTTTCAGGTATTTCTTGCCGAAGGCATTCATTTCATTGTATTTAACAATGAATTTTAACGTTGATTTTGAAGCTATTGGAAATGCTTTTGTTCAACATTATTATAGAACATTTGATAATCCAGATCCAAACGCAAGAACAGCCGGTTTAAGTGATCTCTATGATCCATTAAATTCGTATATGACTTTTGAAGGTGTACAGGTTAAAGGTCGACAAGCAATTTTGGAAAAATTTGCTGTAATTTTTATGATATTTTTTATTTTTTTTATATTTTATTTCAGCTTTTTTTTCTTTGCATTTTTTCATGAAGCCAATCGATTAAGAAAGCCAATTTTTTTTGCGCTTAAATAAAGCAAAAATTGAAGAGAGATTCGAAATGAAGAAGATGGCAAAATTTTAGAGTCTTCCATTTCGATCAATTAAACGGGCTATAACAAAAACGGATTGTCAACCCTTTCCTGATGGATCAGTCATTATAGCAGTTATGGGACAGCTTCAAGTATTTATTTCTATTTTTTTTATTTTTTCAAATTGAATAAGTTTCTTTATTACTTTATTAATTTTTGCACCATAACTTTTATTTTTATTGGGGTATATGGTTGGCCGAGTGATATGGTTGCTTTGATTCGCGTCGAGCATCATATCCGGGTGATGCTAGCGATTCACCTGTACTTCTATCGCCAAACTGACTCCCTGGTAAAATTTTATAACGGCCAACGGAGCTAGCCTGACCAGAAATGGTGAGCGCTAACCTCTTATTTAATTTGATGAATATTTTTTAATTTTTAAGTTAGGTTTCAGTCCAGTACAGTTTTTAAATCGATTTATAGAATTGCAAAAGGATGAAACATTTTCGATTATCCACAGTTTTTAAATGAAATAAAATAAAAAAAGTGAATAAAATAGGATTTTTGAAAAAGAACGAAACTGAAAGAAATTGAATTGTTCTATGTAAAATAATTTAAAATTTGCTTTACTGAATACCCCATAAGGTTATGGGTTTATCTCATGAATTTATTGAACTATTTCTCAAAATCTTATCAGCCAAAAAAAAAAACATATTGAATGTCCTTTAGTCTTTTGAGGCAGAAAATTTATTTTTGTGATTCTGTTTCCCATATTTGAGTTGTGATTTTAAATTTGAAATAATTCATTATCAATTTATTCGTTGCAATATGATATATAATATAAAATATAATAATGTGAATATATTATATATATATACTATTATATATATATATATATATACTATATATATATTCTATATATACTATTATATATATATACTATTATATATAAATATATATACTATACTATATACTATATAAATATACTAAATTTTTTGTAGCAACTTTAATAACAATTTTTTGCTTGTTTTCGTCGGAAAATGTGATGAATTCAAAATTAGAATATATAATTTTTCGAATTTGTTAGGTCTTGTAGTTTATATTTAAATATATGATAATATATGGTAATAATAAATTTATAAATATATAATTTATAAATATATGATAATAATTTTGCCGGTGAATAATAATAAAATAGCTTAAAAATGATTTTAATATATATTATTTTAGTTCCATTTTGTTTGTGGGCAAACAAGAGTTTGATTACCGTCCTTTAGCAGAAAATCTTTATTAAAAGTGAAATTTGCCTCATTAATCACCTACTTCTTTATCATATGATGACGAAAATCTTTTTATAAGTGGTTATATAATATATCATAGTTATATTCTTTAAAAAACTAAGAAATATTTGATAAAATTTAATTTAAAAAATCAAATATTAATAAATATTAAATTTATAGACAGATGAAGATCCTGTTCAATCATACAATCAATTTTTTGTACTTCGACCGACAACTGGATCTTTCTTCATTTCAAATGAAATTTTTCGCCTAGTTTTGCATGATAATTAATTTTATTACTTTTATTTTTTCATATTGTTTAATTTTATATTATTTGATAAAATTTATTTGAATTGCTTTTTAAACGTGCTTTTGCTAAAAGAAAATGGTAAACAAAACTTTTATATTTTTTTCTTTGTAAAATTTACTAAATTTATGTGGAAAATATTCAGTTGATAGTCATTTGCTCTCAAAATTTGCAAGGGGATTATGTTGAATGAATTTACTGCTTCGGTTTGTTGATTTATGCATTTTTTATAAAGAAATATTTAGGTGGTGAAAATTATTTATGAGCCATTTTTTTACAGGTTTTATTGGAGACTTGTAATTTCTTATTTGAGCTTCGTTGTAATGTTTGCAATGAATACAAAATTGGGGAAAACTGCTACTCGAGGGCAGAAACAAATTCATGAAGAAAACATGACAGTATTACGCTCATATTCATTAGCATCAGGAATTATTATTGTAAAGTTTTTTTATTTTTTTTCACCATTTCTTCACCGTTGGTTTCATCATTGATTACTGATCTTTTTCATGATCCTCACCAGAAAATTATGGAGTTTAGAGGAATTGCCCTGCATGAGTCTCAGACTTCTAATAGCTGATACATTTCTATTAAAAAAAGAAAGAAAGAAAGAATTAAGAAAGAATTTTTTCACTAATTTTTTAATTTCAGGTAGTTTATATTGCTTTCGCATTTTTCTTTACATCAAGAACATTTTGGCAATGGGTGCGTTGATCTTTTGGCATTCTTCTGGTATAAATTCTATATTATAGAGAATGCCGAATTTGATTATTCTTACATTGAGGTCTATAAAATTTGAGTTTACTGGTTTATAAAAATTTAGAATATAGAATATTTATAGAATTTCAAATTTTCTCAACTTTGTACATTATATATGTTTATTGGCATTACAGCATTTTTTAAATCTATTTCATAATGAAATTTAAAGTTTGCTTTTGCCATATGTGTTATATTACAAATTGCATCGCTTTTGACGATGAGATCTATGGCTAAATGTGTCAGAAATGAAAAAGGTCAAATTACTGATGCTGGACTTGACCTAAATCAAAATGATTCTTTTGGCGAGTTCGTTTATTTCCATCCATATTTATTTTTATTTTAGTTTTATCGTTTTCATCCTAAAGTCTCGTAATTGATTTTTATGTTAACCAATTTTTATAATAAGCGTTGTCCATCGCAAGGAGATATCTGAATTTTATTTTTGCAGATATTGTAAGGATATTATTATTATTTGTTGTTTTACACTTCTGGTTGGATGTTTTTGGTCGAAAATATTTTGGCTATTATTGATTATACCAGCGTTTATTTTTTACAAGCTTTGGACTACAATATTAGCTCCTTGGTTCTTTGTGCAGCCAGTTGAAGAGGATGATAGTAAAAAATTAAAGAAAAAGGAGAAAAAACTACGTAGAATGTGAATATATTATTTTTTATTATGTTTATTCTTTGCTGTATTTCACTAAATTTCCAACTATATTTCCGTTGAATATTTCTTTTATTTGAGAAAATTCAATCAATTTTTAATTTATTTTGAATTTTTATCATGGTTAATGCAATGTATTTAGTTACTTTTACTTTTAATGTTTTTACGCGCTTTTTGAGTTGGCTAGATTAACAGTTGCAGTGCGTTAAATAAGTTTTTCTGAAAATTGAAAAATTTTTCTGAAAATCTTATTTGTTTCTTTATTCTGTTCTTGTTTTGATAAAAATTAGAATTTTTGTCGGTTTATTAATGGTGAAATATGTGTTTAAACAGAAAAAATATTTTTAAAATTGATAATTTATAAATTAGAAAATAAATAAATTAGAAAAAGATAAATAAATTAGAAAAAAATTTTAAATTTTATCTATTAAATCTATGGAATTTTGAAATTTCTTTTAATTGCTTTACGGTTTGTTAATCTTTCAAGCATATCAGAAGATAATATTTATTATTAAATTTGATGAAATATTGTTTAAGATGGATTTCAATGGAAGTATGACGCGTTTGAGCATGGTTTGCGGAGAATTGTTGGCTCGAATGAATAGTCAAGTTTGTATAATTGATGCTTTTTTTGTCAGCACCGTTGTTGAGCAGTTATTTTGTGATCCACAGATAGATCTTCTAGCCGTTTTTCCAACTTCCTCGACAGAATACGACGAGTATAACCAAGTTTTGGGACTTGTTGGAGTGAAATCCAGTGTTTTTAAGGTTTCTTTTCATTTTCAAGCTAAAATATTTGATTTTGAATAAATGTGGTGGAACATTCACAATATGTACGTATGCGCAAGCACAAGTTATGGATCCTTATTCCTCATTTTTTTGTTTCTTTTTTTAGCATTTTTTGTTACTTTTCAACAATTTAAATTACTGATTAACCTAATTTCATTGATTATAAAAGAAAGAGGCATTTCCAAGTTCAGTTTGACGCTATATAAGGGATTTCTTTTTTCATCGTTTAAACTCTTAAATCTTCTGAATAATATCAGTCCAAGAATGATTCTTTTCGCTTTTGATGCTATCCATCACAAAGCTTGCCAAGTAATGAAGTGTATGCATCAAAATGATCTGACCAGTGTAGGCGGCGTTTTGGCTATTGTTAATACTGGTGATATTCGCATAAAGATAGATGCAATCAGGTGGAATTCAGTCTAAGGGCAAGCGAAATGTATTGCAGAACATACTATAGGTCAAACAAGAAGTGATCAGAGGAGATACATAATTTCTTGACATCTTCCATTCTTTTGCATTACGTTCAGCAGTAATAAGTTGAATTACATTTACTGTTGATTACCATTCATTATCTAGCATCTTTTATAATTTATCATAGCCGACAGCAGAACGGATCATTATCGACGTATTCGATTTATTATGTTACAATTCTCTGGGCTATTATACATATCTTCTTGAGTCGTCAAGCCGTCTCTCCATATTTAATATAGGAGGAATAGGAACCTGACGGTTTTATTTTGAAAGAATGAAAGTCAATTCTCCTATGATGGTTGCGTATATAAAATATTTAAATAAGTTGGACGATTTTCGGAGCATCATCGCTTCCTATCATACGTAAAGCGCTGCTCTATCAAATGAATCGAAAACAAACCAAAAAAATATATCATGGTGGGTTGACGATATTTGAAGCAATTTTTTAACAATGTTTTAATCGTCATCTTCCGTGAATAGCGTGAGATTTAGTATATTTACATCCTAGAGGCCATTCATGCAGTCATAAGTCTCTATTCAGCAAAAGAAAACCGAAAATTTTCTAACTGCGAATCTAGTAAACTCCTTTTTAATTATCTCATAGTCTCGATCGTTTTGAACGTGATTGTTTTGTCCCATTCATTTATATTAGTTTTAAATCCTTCGAAGATGTGAAAAGCGCTGAACAGCACTTGAAGAGACCAGAGATATCTTTCTTGAGAATTTCGATGGTCTTGAGTTTCTAAATAATGGAGATTATTTCTTGCCTGCTGCTCTCAATTGCAGTCATATGGCAATCAAATCAAATTGTATCACAAGAGCGTTTAAATAGGTTAATAGATGGCACATCAAAGTTCAACAATTCTTAAAAATCTCTCGCTGTGCATTGCGATCTCTGAGGGTTTTATCGGCACCTTAAAAGTAATCTAGGGTTACCTTATTTTAATTTCACTTTCGTTTCGTTTTTCATTTTTTTCATTTTCGCTTTCTTGGGATTTCAAATATTTCATGAAGGTTATTCTCATTAATAAATGTAAGGATTTTGCAAATGGGGTTGGATAATATATAGCGGCTGGATTATTGGCAAAAGTTTTCTATCATATTTGCAGCTAGTGGAGCTAGACTAAACGGAAATCCGGAAATGACCCACTTACTACTTTATGCAAAATCAGTTTTAATTTTACAGATACACTGATATCAAATCTTATAGAGAGACCGTTGCCATGAAAATATTGAGGCATCTTAATTGATCCCGTATATATACAAATTTTTTTTATGTTGCCTTTAGATAATTCTCGAATTGGATAATGAAATATTCGATTATTTCATCTCATCATTTTGTTCGCATGTTGAAAGAAGTCGATGCTTAATACCAGTGGAAGAAATCAAGAAAAGTGTTTATATGGCGTTGTTGGCAAGTTATATTTTAGTGTTAATGCCAGTTGATGATGAATCGACTTTGATGGCTCGTGAACTTCATGCAGTTGATACGAATAATTCACTGCTATCGCCGCTGAACATTTTTCGTGAGGTTCAATAATTCGATTAAGAAAGTAAATTTTAAATGGACCTACTACGGTACCTTCCTTTCCTCAGCCTGTTTCTATACTTTTCTGTAACTGTGATTCAAAACTTCAAAAATAGTGATTTATCTGTTGAATTCAAGATTTTGGCATAGTCATATCATATCTTATAACTTAATTCTGAGTTTTTTTCTTAAAGAGTCCTCACCATTACTGGTTAAACTCGCTCCACTGGCTTGTCGCACTGGGCAGTATACCAGGGAGTCCCATGGCGATAGAAATGCAGATGAGTCACGAGTATCACCCGGATTTTTGTACAGGTTTACTCCTGTGGGGAATCGAATCTCACCATCAGCGCTCCCATTTGAGCAATAACCCATTCAGCCATTCTCCCCCCGAATTTTTGAATGTTTATTGTATTATATTAGGTGGATCATTAAGGTCTTTTTCTCGAAATTATCTTTCATTATAAAATATATTTTCCTCATCTAAGAGCATATTCCATTTCTGATTCCATTTTTCAAATTAACTGAAGCGACTCCTTTGCTCATCGCAAATGTCCGTACATTGTTTATATGCCTATGCGTTCAAATTTCGCCCTATTCTTTTTGTCCCCTCCAGATTTTCCTTTTTGCTTTTGATGCCATTAGTCACTAGATTGACGTGCATCAATTCTTTAGATGAACGTTTAAGAACAGGGAATAATCGGCCTAGCGATTTTTTGTGTAGATATCACAACGTCTGAGGTTTATATCATGGGTTATGGAGTCATAACCCATAATATATAACACTCATGATCCAGTATAATAACGAACAGAAATATATTAATTCACATTTTAAGTGGTTGCGTCAATTCCTATTTATGAAAATTTATTTTGCTGATTTAATAAGTCTGGCAATTTTTTGTAATGACCATTTAGCTGTAGTATATTTTATCCATGAAGTCAAAAGCAGCGATCTCGATCAAATTGATGAGATGAAGTCGAGAAAAGGTTTTGTAGAGTTTATTACGATGGTATTTGTTTTATAGGAAGCGTTAAGGCGATATGCGCTTTCCCCTTCAAATCATTCATTACGTGTTCTTCGTTCAGTTTCAAGATCGTTATCTCCACATTTTTTATCATTCATATGCGTTCTTATACGATCATATTCTTCGCTTTCTGCATGGCCAACGATACACAGATTAAATATTTTGAGGTTATTACTTTTGCTCAATATTTATAGTATAGCTTCCGGCTTGAAAAGATTCTAACATTTATGTGAAAATTGAGCAAATTTTTAAAAATTGTACTTTCAAATTAGCCAAATAAAATTGTGAAAAATTGTGAAAAATTTTTTTTAGTTTCGTCTTAAAAGAGGTTCATTCTTTCATCATGGCCGAAACAGAAAATTTGAACTTGACACAGATGCGCTCACAACTTCAGTGTAACGCACCCTTTGCCGATTCTTTGTTTAATTTTTTTCAAGTTCTTCTCGAAAAATGGCCGGCTAATGACTCTTTCGAAAAGCTTTTCGGTTAGAAATCTTGCATTAATAATGGATTTGCTCTCTACAAAATTTTCTCCTCATTTAAACTGAAAGTAATTTAAATTTTAATTTTAATTTTTAATTTCAAAATATTTATTTTATTTATCATTAAACAAAACAGTTTTTTGAAGATGTTTGGATTACATGGATAAGGCCTTGGTGTTATTCATGTGGTCGAGATGGTCAAAATGTTAACGATATTCATCACTTTTTACCTTTTATAATGGCAAATCAACGTTTTTATACTGATTTAACTGGTATTTTTTGGCGACGTGATTTTGTTCTTAAACAATTAACGGATGTTGTATGTATCACCAAATATATTTGCATTCTTACATCTGCTGAGTTGCTACAGGTTTTTTCGATTTTATGCCTCTTTTCGAAAAAAACATAAGTGAATAATTAACTGGAATTTTTTTATTTGTTTTGTTTTTGAATTGCTTTTATAGTTATATTTTGTTAATTATATATATATATATATTATCAATTTTTCATATTTTGGCTTTTGGTTTTTTTTGAGATTTATGAAATGTTGGATTACAATATTGAAGAAGCCTTGCTGACTTTCGTTAAAACGTTAATGATTTGTAAAAGAAACCTTGAACAAACGATAATTGAAAAAGAAAAGTCGCTTTCTTCGTTAAATTGGCTACAGCGATATTATATTGCTGAAGGTTCATTACTATTCTTTAAAAAGCGAAATTATCATATATCGTTTTTTTTTTATTGATTTTACCTTCTAATTTTTTTCTCTAAATAAGTCAACAAATAAATTTTTCAAGGCGTTTATTAATCTTATCTTGTTGTTGGTTGCAAATTCATTTGTTAGTTAGGCTCAACATTATTTTTTGTACTTTTATTTCTAGTTTTTGATCGTCTTTTATTTATTGATAAGCACGTGACGTTATGTCATGCTTTTTTTATTTACATATAGATAAATTCTAGTTATATCTAATCAGTTCTAGTTAATTTATCGGCTCTTACGATGGCTCTTTAGATGAAAATTTATAGATTCAATCCTTTTGTAAATAATGAAAATTTCCCTCTGACAGAGTATCTTGCCAAAAATAGAGGAAAAATAAAATTTTTTTTATTATAAAAGCCTCTGTATTTCTTGAAATATTTTTTTTGCATTGCAGTACTTAATTTTGATTCAGAGGAAGAGGCGTTTATTGTTGAAAAGAAGAGAACGTTAGCAGAGATAAACTCACTTTTATTAAAGTTTAAAAATTCATATGGAGAATCGTCTGGAATTACTATTGAAAATATGGCTGAATTTTTATCAATGAATAAAAATTCTAATGAAGATGAAAATATAACTTACTGTGATAATTACTCTGCAAATGAATCGATTGAAAAATGTTCGAAATTGCTAAAAAAGCACCAGGTAATTTTTTTATCATGAAAATTTATTAAAAATTTAAAAAATAAAATATGAAATTTTAAATTGGTAACTAATTTATTGATGAGCCACTTGGAGGATTAAAGAAAATTTAGCATTAAATTTCTAGATTTATAATTTGATTCAGTATTTTCACCAAATTTTTAATTTTTTTACTTTTATAAATTTCATTTTATTTACAAGTAAATTTCTTGTGTTCCAGGTTCTGCAACGAGATAATCGTTTCAGTTCTTCAGTCGTATCGCAATCGATTCCATCAATTTTAGAACCTCTGCGTTCTGATGAAGTTTGGTGGTTGGCAAGGCGCCTCTTCATCATATCATGCTTTCTAAATGAAACAAAATTGATACGTTTATTATCTCGTTCATATCATGATTCAAATTCTCTTTTTGGAATTATTTCCAGGTTTTGTTTGTGTTGTGAAGCTTCACCAAATGCCATAAGATTGTTGAATTCGACTATACGAACAAATGAACCGTTTATTAATTTTCGTTATTTTGCTAGATATAAAGTTATTATACCTGTTTGTTTATTTTTCGTTCTAATATGGCTATTGCCTTTCTCTTACTCATTTATTATTTTTAATCTAACGTTGATATATATGCATTTTCTTTAGTTTTTTGAATGTTTAATTTTTCCAGTGGAATCCAGTGAAATTGAATAATCTCTACTGTTTAATGATAATAATTTACAATAAAAAATTGTTTTTAAGATTTTAAGAAACTGCTAAAAATAATCGTATTTTTTACATAATCATATTTTGTTATTTTCTGATTTTTGGCGATGATTATGATGTTAACCTTCGAAATGATATTGAGGTAAAGTGGTAAGTGAAATGATAAATATAAAAAGTAGGAAATATGATGAAAAAATATAATCTAAAGAAAGAAATTTAACTAATGTTCTATTTTTTTACATTCAGTTGAATAAATAATTTATTTCTTATCGCTATTTTTAAATAGATTATAACTGGAAAAAATGGGTATTTTGTTGGAAAAGGTTTTCCAGATGAAAGAGGGTGTTAATTAGCGAATTAGACCAAATTTTTTACTAGTTATGCTCAACGGTTGCTGTTGAGGACATTGGTGATAAAAATGGATTTTAATAAATACCAAAATTTGTTTTTGATAAGGTTGTATTTAAATTTGTTTTTGATAAGGTTAAGTTTATAAAGCAAATAATTTTTTACAAATCATTCACAAATCATGTATCCATAGCTTTTTGAGTTAATTTTAATTCATATTGAAGAGAGGAGCGAATGCTTTGCGATTCAAATGAATATATTGATAAAAATTCGTTAGATACGTTTCGAAATGAATATGAAGGTAGTGAACATTGGTTAGCAAGAAGAAAATTTATCGAAAGACATATCAATGATTATAAGAAGAATCGATTATTATGCCTATCGCAGATATTTATTAATATCAATTTTCTTGGATGCTGGCTAGTTTTTATTCATTGAATTCACGAAATAAAAATAGCAAAAGTGAATAAAAAATCGGAGATTTAGGTGAGAATAAAGTTCTAAGAAACTATTGCGTAGATTTCAGTTATGATGCTGAATTGACTGCAAAAATCCGAGAAATGGGAAAAGGAATTTGCGAAGAGATATTTAAGGTTGCTTTTTTCTTTCCTTTTTTTTGCATTTTTTCAGTGTAATAATTTAATTTTACTTTTGAAATCCCGTAAATCAATTTTTATGAAAAACTTGCCATTTAGGATCGAAGAAGAAATTTTGAAAAAGGTTTTACCGGACCATCAAAAACTAAAAAGATAAAACTCGATATACAAAACGAAGAGAAAATTACGACTAGTCAAATCGAACTTAAAAATAAGGCTTGTTTCCATTTTCTGTGTTTATAATCTAAATATGGCATATTTTTAAATGAGGTAAATATTACTTTATTAAAAGTATGTAGGTGGTTGCATTATTTTTGGTTAGACTTACTTTGCTGGCTGTTACTGTTGGGGATTATTGTCATAGATCCACTTGGCAATCGAAAAAAAGCAAGTTACCTTCACCATTCGGATTTTTTAATGACAGCTAGTCCCTGGCGGGAGCCAGAAGCGAATTTTCAGAATGATAACCTAAGCCATTTTTTGTCTGTCAGCTGTCATGCCATTTGCTTTATTATGAGTATAGCTTCTTTTTTAATTCTTGTTTTAGCAGAACTCCGATATTTTCTAGGTATTTTTGCTTTTGAAAGCACAAATGACTGAAAATGTTTTATCCAGTAATCCAGTATTAAATCTCAATACAGTGACATCAAATGTTAAAACTACTTGGGATATTGTTGAAGATGCTAATGGTAAGACAATCCTTCGTGTAAACGAAGTGGTTATATTAAGAAGCCGAATCCCAGCAGCAAATAAGGCTGATTCCAAGCAGTACGCAGCGATTTCAGCTCTCGAAGCCATTTCGAAGGTGGGATTTTTTTTTTGTTATTTTTTGTTATAGCGAAAGGTCCTTGCTGGTTTAACGTTTTTCTAAAAGAAGTATTCGATGAAATTTATCCATATTTGTTTCAGGAGGACTCTGAAATTAGACCAATTAATAATATATTTGAACTATGGCATGCATCCATTGGACCAGAACAGTATTATGAAAATTTCATTATGAGGATGTTGCTTAAAGCAAAGGACAAAATACCTCACGAAGGAGAACCATTTACAAGATTACAACTTGCATTTGATACATTACAGATGCCTATCACATATGTAAAGGAGCGAGGAATAGGGTTTCATTTAGCGAACTTTCAATTCAGACTTGTAATTTGATTCAATTTTATGATATCTGAAAGTTTTTTTATTTCAGATGGAACCAGACCATATCATTAAGGGTACAAAATATTGAATTGGCAAACATAGTTCTAACAAAAGGTGACTGTGCTCCATCAAAAGAAAATGAGAAGAAACAGGAACTCGCTTTCAAGGCAGTTAAAGTTATTATGCAAGCAAACAACCTTGAACCATTACTGCTACCAAATTATAATTATTTTTTTTTAAAAAACACGATTAATTGATTGTTTTTGCCTACTATTTGTCAAGAAAGTTTGTTTATTTTTATTGTGTTTATTTCTATTTAGTTGAGCATTTCAATAAAAAATTTTCATCATTTTAAGGGTAAAACGAAAAAATAAATTTAATAAAAAATTAATAAACAGTAATCAAATTGGGAAATATGGGAAATACTGTATTATTACTATTGGATTATTGTCAAAATTAATAGATTTCACCATAGAATTTCCATCTGATTACAATACTTTATTTATTTATTCGGTTTACAGAAGCAAACTAATTAGGTAAGCAAAGTAACCGAAATAAAAAACTTTTTAAATCTTATTGTTAGCTATTTAAGACGGCCGAATCTTTATAACTGCTTAAAAGACTTGTAAAAATCTTTTAAACGCAGTTAATGGGAGTTTTAGCATTGCTTTTTTAACTTGACAAAATTCCGAAATTAAAAATTTATTTTGGAATCATATGTTCTATGAGGATAAAGCTTTTCGTAAAAATTGCAGGACCGTTGCATCGCAGAAATCATTAGCATTTGAAGATCGTATACCGTGATGTTCTGATGGAAAAATCTGGAAAAAATAGTAAGGAAGACTTGATAGGTTGAAAATTAACAATAAATACATTAAGATTAATAAAATCAAAAAACAAAAAATTAGCCACAATTAAACGAATCTATTTATTGCAAGAGGAATGTAAAAATGGTTTCCACTCATTTCAAAGAAAATCTGCATATCCTCATTCATACCGTTTAATTTTTCTAGTTATATGTTTAAATATAAAATCTGTATTTTAAAAAACAGCCCAAAGTAAAAAATCGCTAAAATCAATAAATAAAAATATGGCAAAACCTGTAAATTATATGGTTTTCCAGCAGCAATTAATGCTTCGATTAAGCGTTGCGTATGAGAAAAATGAACATTTTCGTCTAAAAGTCCGTGAATAAGCAATAATCGATTTTCTCTAAAAAAAGATGAGAACAAAAAGTTAAATGAAATATAATGGCTGCAAAGTTCGGTTTTAAACAAATCTTACTCATCTGGAAGTTGATTGATATAACTGAGTACTGATGCTTCCTCATAAATAAAAGAAGGCAACCCTAAATATCGCTCAGTATAGGCCGTATCATATAAATCCCAGCATGCTACAGCTGCACCAGCAACACAAGCTCTGAAAATTTAATCATCTATTGGTCATTTTATATTTCATTATTCAATTCTGGTTCTGATAGTGTGAAATATGACTATGGGAATCAGATTTCATCGTAAGCTTTTAATAAGAATACCTGTAAATGTGAGGATATTTAGCAATGGATAAGAGTGCTAGATAACCACCATACGACCACCCTTTAATAGCAACTCGATTTAAATCCAATAATCCCTTGGCTCGTTTAGCAACCTCATTTAAACCTTCTATTTGATCATCGATTTCCACTGTTCCCTATTCAGAAAACTAGCCATTTTAAACACAATTATTTAAATCGAATAATAAATTAATGAAACAAATGAAAATAAAATAATTCAAAAAAGTTATTACTTTTATTATTACTAGTTATTATTATAAGTTATTATTACTAAAGAATAAATTATAAAAAAATACCAGTTTATATTTTAAATGGGCTTCGAACGATATTCCACGATTAGCAGAACCGCGACCATCTACCATCACTACAGCATATCCCAAACTTGTAAATTTTATTAATTCTGACCAGCTAAAAAAATGGTCCTCAAATTAGTTCGTCTCGCTTATCGTAAAATATTTTGTGATAAATACTTTCTTGATAAGTAAAAAGCAAAAATTCATAAAAACATACACAGCCCATATATTTCGGACGAGCTGAATACCAGGTCCGCCATAGACAAATTGTATCACAGGGTATCGCGTTCCCAATGCAATATTTGATGGACGCAATAGCAGTGCATAATGTTTCTTACCAGAGTTTCGAGAGTCAAATTCAATTAACTCCGGAAATTGTTGAGATGCTTGAAATTTAAGAAAAAAATAATTTTGATGAATTTTTTTGATTTTTAAATTTCATTTTTTCTATTTAGTTTTAAAAATGAAAATGGAATAAAATTATATATAAATATATATAAATATACTAAACTTTCAATTATCAGTTATCAATATTACTTCAAAAAATCATTATTAATTAATAATAATCATTTATTATAAAAATTCAAAATTAATGTAAAAAATATAGACAAACTATAAACCTATAAGTGAAGAAGGAGGTTCACGAGGCAATTCTCCAGCGATTTCCAGCACGTGTTGTAATACTGCCGATGGAAGACATTTATCATAGCTTTGCAAAATACGATAAAATGAGCAACGAGGTGGCATTTTCAGTGAACTCTCCCAACAAACGAATCCTATTTCTGGATTTAACCAATGACTATCGTCAACACGTTCACTTCTGTAAAATTTAAGGCCATTATTCCGAAAAAATTTTATATAAGAAAATTCAAAGAAAATTCAATGCTTTTAATGATTTTAATTAATCTTTATTTCGTGTTTTCTGTGACCAGAACAATTCTTCCAGCAGCAAACGGTTATTCAGTTTGATCGTTGTTTTTTCGATAATACTGAAGCTTATTAGATATTAAACAATTTTTAAATCTTTAAATCCTTGTACCGAATCTGACAATGCCCTCTGGATCTTTTATAAAAAAATATCTCAAATATCTTCTAAATATCTCTTTGAAATATCGGTCTCTCTGAAATTCATTTATATCGTAATTTTGATCTACAAAGATATTTTAATTACATTTTTCTATAAAATTTTTCCCTAAAAATTGGACATTAAATTACTCCTTCTATTTTTAGACTATGACAAATGTGATAACTATCATCCTGTAGAAGTGGTAGTAGCAAAGTACTGACATACAATAAATTTAACGATTGACAGCTGCCATGGGATGAATAATTTAATGTCCATAAATTAACATGATTTCTATGGAAAAAAGTCTACTATTGTTCAACACCTTGCTAACCTTTATGAATGGTTATTTGTTGGAATGATTATCATTATCTACTGATCGCAGCCAATCTATATCTATTCCTCATTTTGATTTAACCAAGGCTTTCGACATTTTTTCAACGTTCTCGACGTTTTGCATGGTAAATTGAGGAATTTGTTTTTAATTTCTAATAGCTTGATTGATTATTTTCAAGATATTCGTATTTGTAACTCTTTTTCTGACTTCTCTCTTGATAAATCTACTTCGAAGTATCCTATATTTACCCTTCTAATATATTTATTACAACCGATGTTAGTTTATTATATAATAAGAAAACGAATGATTTATCTGCTTATCTACAGAGATATCTTAACTGCATGGGTAAAAAGTTATATTTATAGGTAAATTAAGTTGTCTACAGAAAGATGCAAGATCTTGCATCCTGCCATAATTGGGAAGTAATTTTAATGACCAAAAAATCTAAGGTTTTAAATTATTTATCCAAAGGCCCTGAAAAGAAGTGTAGAGATTCCTAAAATTAAAATGTACATCCGTCAATTAAAATATTATCTTTCCCATGATTTGGCAAATCAATTAAATTGAATGAAAGTTTCAAAAACATTTCTTGCGCCGTTTAAATTCAGATGCCAGTGGCTACAATACAAAAACTTGAAGTGAATTACTCCAATTTATTAATGGATAAACAAGAATAAACAAGGTCTAACTTTTAAGACAAGACCATATTCATAAGCCTATATTCATATTCATATATCGTATATTCATAAAAGACATTCAGCTATGGCTCAAAATTTTTTCATTGATAAATTAGATTGCTTTCATCATCAGCGCCTAGTTTTAAAAGTAAATAAAAATATAGTAGGATGTCTATAATAAATATTTAATGCAATATACCTTCTATCCACTATGACTATTACAAACTATTTCAATCTTTTTTTGTATTTAATCAATTTTATATGTTTATTTTATACATTAAACACAAAATATTAGAAGAAAACCTGCAAGAAAATCCAGTTTGTGTCAAAATTTTTGCTTCAGAATACGAATCGTATTTAGCGACAAGTCTAAATAATATTTCCAAAGATCAACGTCTCAATAAAAAAAAAAAAAAAAAAAAATGATATTGAATATATTTTTGTTGAAAATATTGAAAAAATATTTTTAAGTAATGAACATTATATTTATTGTAGGTAAATAAAATTGCCTACAGAAAAATGCAAGATCTTGCATCCTGCATTAAAGACTTTGAGAAGATCTTAAAGACTTTGAGAAGTAATTTTCATGACCAAAAAAATCTAAAGTTTTAAATTATTTAAAACCTTAGATTTTGGAATTACTTAAATTATTTATTATTTAAATTTTTTATCCAGAGGCCTTGAAAAGAAGTGTAGAGATTCCTACAATTAAAATGTATATCCATCAATTAAAATATTGACAGTTATGGACAATTAATAAAAAGCTTACACATTTGTGTCGGCTACATGATGTTTATTAGCGAGAAAATATACATGATGTCTTTTGGTATCCACATGCAGAGCGACATTCTTAATAATTGACCAATCACCCCGTGTCACCTTCATTTCATCAAAAGATACACAACCATCGAAAGAATAATGAGTTATAGCTAATTGCTTATTTTTATATGATGTAATTAAAATAAATCCGTACGGCAATAAATTTAAATAAAAATCGCATTGCTAGAAATACTTATCAAAATAAACTAAAATTTGGAAAAAAATTAAATGCGAGGAAAATAAATTAAACAGCACGTTCGATACAATTAAAAATACATAAAATCTAATAAGAGAGGAAAAAATACCTTCAAAAATCTTGGCTTTATATAAAGACAAATGTGTATGGTCCGTGAGACTTGATGAATGCAGAAATGTAATAGCACCATCCACTGGATGCAAAAAATGAGTCAAATTATGCACCTAGAACGAATATATTTAAATTAACAAACTGTTTGACCAATTTTTGTTAATTGATAGATTGATAAATTGATTGATAGCATTTAAATTAAAAAATTGAAATCGTACTAGTGACTCGCCTATATTTTTATATTGACTAGTTGGAAAAATTTCTCTGCGTCCGACAAGCCAGTGCAGCGAGCCTAATCAGTAATGGTGAATGCCTTCAGAAAAAAAAATTAGTGGAAAATCAAAATTATTTTAAAAAATTAATAACAGACATTGAACCAAATGTTGGTTTCTTCGTGAATTAGCGAAATAATATCCTTCAAATTGCCGGAACTGGCTTCGGTAAATAAATCTTTTGGTATAAGTATTAATTCATAACGTTCTTGTAGACGACTCATTAAAATTGCCCAAACTCTTAAAACCACTGCTTTAAATAAATCGATGAACTGATTTTTATGATTATGACTTTTTTTCCTTTTTCGAAAAATCTTAAATTTTAAATTAAATCTAAAATTTTATAGAAAAACAATCAACCAAAAAAAATTTATTAAACTATACTCAGAAAATTATGGAAATAAAATATTTTTGAAAAGGTTCCATTATTTCAATTTCCTCAAAAATTTGCTGAATTTACTAAACAAAAAAAACTTCAATTTCACTCTCCGGATTGCTTGAACAACTGGAGCGTTTATTTTTAAATTCGATAATTCATAAAAGAATAAAAAATTATAAAGAAGATAAAAATAAAATAAAATTAAAATAATAAAAATTTTAAAAACCATCAGTTTAATAATAAAATTTATTTATTCATGTAAATTTATTTATTTATTCATAAAAAAGAAGCAAAAAAATTTTGTTTTGCTAGCGCAAAAAAAAACTAGCAGAGCATTGCTGGTGCCAAAACAATCAATACAAAAGTGTGTTAGCAAAGGAAAAGGAAAAATTAGAAAATAAAAAAAGGACAAATGAGAAAAATTCAAGGGAAAGATGAAAAAAAATTTTAAAAGGAAAGTTAGTATGTATCAGTTAATTTATCATTTATCATTAATAAAATGAATAAATTGAAACTAAATATTCACAGCATGTACTATATTTACAATATATATAATGATCTGTATAATTTGTAATTAATTATAAATATATATTTTTTGCCAATAATGAACGGTGCAAATAAAAATACTTATTATTTTATTCCACAATAATCATCAACCTATATATTTAACCTATCATAGTTCAGATAAAATTTAAAATAAGAATTATTATAATATTTATTTAATTTTATATAATTTTAGGATCAAGTCATTTTTAATTCTTTAGATCTTCTAATCCGATGTTAACTTATTTAAACTAAATCTAATCTAAATTAAATAGCTCAAGCTTTGCAATGTATAATATAAAATATAAACTAAATCGATTTTAAAAAACACATCTCAACTTAACCGATATCCTGATTACAAATCAATTTGGTCATCTAGCTACTTGGGATGAGAAAATGTACCTCCACGAGTGTTATAAGCAGCAAGTAGCACTGGATTTTCACAATTTTTCAACAACAATTTTTCAACAAGACATACACTATTTGCAGTATTTTTACCACTCATATACTACTGAAGTACTTATTGAATATTGTATGTTAGCAAAATCTCCACATTAATATAAACATTACTTAGCACAGAAATTTATTTTAATTCCGAATGAAAATAAGAACCTACAGTAAAAATTTAGTTTTAGAAAAATCTTTTAGATCTTTATATGCAATAAAATTACTTTTCAATATTGACTCAAATTTATAATTTTCTTTACTGACAATAAATACAAACGTTTTTACAAGTTTTCAACTTGAGATTTTAGATTTTTGAATAATAAATCCATTCACTGTGGATAAATATCATCGATATAATATTTCGCGAGTTAGTGGTTATAAAAATTAGAATTCCATTATAATTCGGTTTAATAACTTGAGAAAAGTTTAAGAGAATATTTATCCCCTTCAGAAAAGAAATGTAAACTTACGCGCTACCATCGGCTGTCCAACCCACTCGGGCTAAGTATTCATACCAAGGAAACCTACTTTTGAGATCAACTTTCAACTCATTATCGAAAACCTTCAAAATAAACTCTGTGAGAGAAAAGAAATAATAAATAATAATAAATAATAAAAAACTGAAATTTATAATAATCACCTAAAATCACAAGAACCAATAAAATTTACCTCTGTCGCACTAATAACAATTAATCGTAGTGATGATTTCGCGTTGGCCATGCCAGCCAATGGATATCGCATAATAGGTGATGGCATATGTCCAGGACAAGTAAACTGTAATTCAGTAACAAGTTTTTCATCAACTTTTTCATAAAGTAACATTTTTTCAGGTCCCGGACTCCACCAAATTGCAGTGAATCTATCAAATTCTTCTTGAGAAATGAATGATGGTACTCCATTTATTACTCCATTATTTGATTTCGTTGAATATATTATTTTCCCATTACTAAAAAAAGAAAAATAAAGAAAAACGATATGAAAAATATTAAACGATGTACAAATCTTGAAAAAAATCTTTATTAAAATCTTAAATTTTAAAAACAAAATTGAAACCTTGAGAAAATTAAAAACTTAAAAACTTGTAAAAATAAAAAAGGCTTTAAGAAAATTTTAGCATCATTAACCAAAAGCTTAAAAAATCTATAAATCCATAAAACTTTGCTCAAACAATAACTGTGCAGATATAATAAAATTAACAAACTAGTCGATATGTACATTGGAATTGGCAACGAATGCAATAATATTCGGATCAACTGGACAACTTTCGGCGAACAAAGGACATCCTTCGATTTTACATCCAATAGATCTTATTTCTTCATCTTTCTAAAATAAAATAAAATGAATGTCTTCAACATTAAAATAGTCAAAAATATTTTTAAATGATGAAAAAAGCACTAATAAAATTTGCATAATAAATACCCGTTTACAGAATAAATTCCATGAATCAGAATATAATAAATTTTGCGTAAATAAATCATAATTATAGAATGAAAGACCGCAAGTAATAGTTGCTCGTTGTCGTTCACATAAATCAACAATTTCCATAGGAGGTGGACGAAACTAAAAATTATTCCTAAAGAAAATAAACTTAAAATGTTTAAAATAAACTCTGACAAAAAATTTTAAAAAACAATATTAAATAAAAAATTTACATCAGAAGATTGTTGAGGTAAAAATGGCAGTAATGGAAGTGTTGAAATAGGTTGAATAGTAGTTGATGAGTTTATTGCTGCACGATATAATTTTTGCTGTTGACCGAAAACTCCTAACGCCATTATGCAGTCCTCCTCGTTAATATTATCATAATAAACGGTAAAATGATGCAGTGAATTATCAGAATTTTTCCTAGATTTTCATAATTAATAGAAATCGGTGCAATGAGCTCTCCGAAATATATCCCTGTTATGGCATATTTTGCTAATCGTTTCAAAACTGCAAAAACTCTTAAAAAAATTTTTTGGTAACAAATTTAATAATATTTAAGCTAATTACCAGAGTTTTGATAAGATCAAGTAATGTAATACAATAAAAAATTTAAAACCTATAAAGATTAAGGTCTTACACCCACTTCATGGTAGCAAGAGAAGAGAAAAAAATTTACGATTGCACGACATGGATCTTCATTCTAGCAGAAGGATTAAGAAGAAAAATAAAATAATTAAAATAATTATGCTAGATTAAAACGAATAAGGATATGGTACATATAAAAATAAGCCAAAAAATAGCCGAAAAGGAATTTAAGATTATATCCACTAATAATTTTAATCTCCCAGGCTTGTAGCAGATGACCGGAGGTTGAGGATGATCATAGTTATGACTACCCATAGGGAGGGTGAGAAGTTTTCTTAAATAATTTAATAACTAATCAGTATATATGGATTTTCATATCAATTTTTTAGACTGAAATCCCTTGACATTACCTAATCAAATACTGCGTAGTACACTCTTTCCAAGGGGCACTCTTTCCAAATCAATTCTGATAGGACACAAGCTGCAAAGGGGTAACACAATGTTATTTACGGCAACTGAGATTTTTTTCTGTTAACAGCACCATTACTGGTTAGACTTGTCCCTCGACTTGTCGCACCAGACAAATATGTCAGAGAATCCAGTGGCAATAAAAATAAGTTGATTTCAGACAGGCTTAGCCCAGCCGAGAATGGAGCACCATAGGCATAGGCGCTTCGGCAAGGACCCACTAAGCCACTCTATTCTCTTTTGCTTTTCAGTATTAAAAGGCAACCCCATGAAGAGTGGTGCGTCGGCGGATTCGAACCCAAGCCTCGATTCCCGGTAACGATTATCTTACCATCAAGCCGCTAACTGAGAGGAATGGGAATTTAAAAATGTTTAAGAGAATCTGAAGAGAATATAATGAGTTCTGCACGATATTAACGAATACGCCAGGGTTTGAAGACGATTCTGCTTAAACGACCGCTCATTTGAATAAGAAATAAAATGTAAATATTCCTAATATTAAATTAAAGTATTAAGAACAATTATGGACGAAATGCTGCGTGGGTTGTTACTCTCATCTTGGAGCGTCAATGATGGAATTCTATTCCGTGCAGATGTCTTTCAAAAATCCCGATGGTGCTAGCTACCCATCAAACTATTATCGCCAAATTACCATTTGGTAAAATTTCCGAGTCCAAAAAGCCAGCGGAGCGAGCTTAATCAAATATGACTGGTGCCTTTCTTTATATCGATATGTAAAGAACTAATGAAAAAAATATGGATAACCTTGATAACCTTGAAATATTCCTACAAAATCGTACATGGTTAATTAATTGATTCCAATTTTTATCTTCAATAATATGTTCATCACTTCGTGGTGCCATTTTTTTCAATATCTCCACAGTTCCTTCCTCTACTTTCAGTTTTTATTACAAATATTATATTGTTCCAAAAACTACCTGAAAATATATCAGTAAAATAAAAATCATGGTTCCGACGGTGAAAATGGCAGACCACATGTACTGGTTCAAACTGGTCCTTCTCTCCTCTCCCCTTTCATCAGTTTTCCCTTATCCTTGGTTCTCCGATTATAAGTCCCTCGATTCGTGGCCAATCCTTTAGCTAAGTAAAGTCCAATTTTTGCTCGAATTGATCGAACCATCCAAATTCTGCATTAACTAGTTCCAAAGGAAATATCCAAGTTCAAGTTGTTAAAACTCAACTCAAGAATATCTTATAAACAATGTTACCACGAAGAGTGAAAAGTGAAATACTAGCAAGCATAGTTGACTTTACGTACTTACGAGCCTCAGGTGGCCGATCTGCGGCTGATTTCTTAAAATTTGCGGTCTCGAACGTTTCTATCTTTCTGTTATTGCTATCTCATTCAAAATTGTTTGCGCAATTTAAGGGGCGCTGGAGTGGTGATTATCGCTGGTTTGTTGGGTTCAGAATAGTGATTTTACTTATTGTTATGACTGTTATCAATTGTAATTATCGCTAATATCACTTCATTGGTGTTAGTATTTTTGAAATTGCATTTCCTTTTCCGGAAGTGCGCGTCTTTCCTCGTTCAGCTGGCTTGTCGGCGACAAATTTGCCGGAGATCTGACTCATTCGGCGATGGAAGCACGCACGAGTCGCCAGCGCCGCCCGGATTTTTGAGAGACGCGTTTGCTGCTGCCGGGAGTGGACTCCTAGCATCGGTTCTATTATCCATTCGAGTGAAATATTTCATTTCGCGTTGTTTATTTGTTTGTTTTCTAATTTTCAGTTCGTTTATTTATTTTTTTAAGCTAATTTCTGGTTGGCAAACAAAAAATTGAATGTTCGAATGAAGCTTTGTGATGTCGTGGTTAGCAAAAGTTTCCCATATTGCTGGTAGAGCAGAGGATTTTCTGAATAAAATTGATCAGAATGCTGCTGAAGTAAATACTGAATTTTCAATAATTTACAATTTATTTATTTATTTCTTGTGTAAAGGTAGGCGTAAGGCCGTGGAAAATTTGAAAATTCGCTAAAGACTTCAAAGATTACAAGATTACAGACTACAGAAAACTCTAAGGTATTGCAACACTCCACTAAGCAATATTGCTGTTCTCGCTATCATGCAGTGCGTTTCTTGTGTAAATTTAGTAAATTTAGGTTCTGCATAGTAATTCCCATCTCTCAGTTTTTGTCTTATATACTGTTTTTTCCTTATTTTCTGGCGGTCCTTACGATGGAACTTTTTATCATCCTTTCACCGTCTAAGCACGTATGTCTCTACACAAACCCTTCTAATTATATCGGTTTTAACTGGTTCTCCATGTCAGAGGGTTTAGCAAATAGCGAGTAATTCTTTCGATGGGCGATGAATGTGACCTAGTCAGCGTAGGCAACACTGACGACTATATGTTTAATGCAGATGGTCTTCGAAGGTAGATGCAAATTTTATCCGTTCGGCCACTATGTAGACTGTACCTGATATGAATGGTTCAAAGGTAGAGAAGCCTCTTAATATTCTTCCACTCTCACTGACCACTTTTTATAGCAAGATATATACTGCAGCTAGTTAGACACGGACTTTCGGTACAAGTCCGATGAAGAAGTGCATTTCTTGCTATCTCTCGTTTATCCAGGGTGCAATTTCGTTTTTCTCTTGGCTATTTGGTATATGAGTGAGTCCGAAATATTTGAAATTTGTAAAGTCTGGATTAGGCTTTTTCTTGCTTTTCAACCCGTGATTGTTTATTAAACGCATGTTGTCTATCTTTGTATATCTAATATATGTTAGTGAGTAATGAATGATAAAGGAAAAGTCAGAAAACAATATAATTTAGTATAATTTTTATTATTTTTATTATGTTAAGCTTTTTTCTTCAAAAAAATTTTTTAAGTAATGTTTTGGTGCAAGTGCATAAGATTCATTTTCTAGTATATATTGTTATTATGTTAGATTAAATTATATCTTCACTTATAATTTTATATTTTCAGGCATTAAAGAAATCCAAAGTCTCGAATAGTATTAAACTCCTTGTTGATAATGATAATGATAATAATGAAGATTTTGTTTGCAATAAATGTCCAGAAAATCTTCCAAAATTTTCAAATAATATTAATCTGTTCGTTATATTTTTTTAATTGTTAGAACTGTGAATGATTTATAAATTTGTTAAATGCAATTTATGATAAGTTGGTGGATTTAAGAAGAAAATTAAAGCTATCGCTGATTGATTGGAGGTTAAGAAATTGATATTATTATTAAGTGAATCTATTTTAGTGAAATTTCAGGAAAAATTATTTTTAATTACTTTTTTTTTGAAGCATATTATTTGAAATGTTTTCACTTTTCACTTTTTCTTCATTTTGACTTATAAGTTTCTTAGGAATCATATTGTGCCTATAAATGGACGACCAAACAAAGCTCATATAGAGAATTATAATACTAATTTTGAGCAAGTGCAAACATGTAATCAATATTCATCAGTTATCAAAGATTTATTGATAAGAAATCCTACTGCACTCGGTTTGATAATATTCTAAAATTTATGAAATTGATAAATTAGTAAGGTTTTTCGAATTAATTTAAAGAGCAAAAAAAAAAAAAAAATTGGCAAGGTTACCAATTCATTATTTCAGTTACAACATTAATGAATTAAAGAAAGAAAAAGAATTCTTGCTAGAATTTTTTTAGAAAATATTGAACAATCTGATGTAATCACGTCATCTTGCGATACTGAAAATGAACGAATAAATTTATTAAAGTATGTTCAATTAAAAGAAAATCAAATTGCCGTGATGTGTGTTCGATTACAGGTTAATTGGTCAGCTTAATTTGCAGGGCTTTAAAGTCTGAAAAAGTTGATGTTGAAGAAATAAATATTTTTTCTAAAAAAATATTTTTTCACTAATGTTTAAGGAAGCAGAAGAAGCCTTGATTCAAAAGGATATCAAAGCAGCAGAACTGATGAGAGATATGGAACAAAAAATAGAGTTGAAATCCAGAAATCCCGATAATGAATTATCAACTTTGATCGGATTAGAACAGTCCTATAAAGCGGAAATAGACCAATATAACAAACGAGAAAAAGAACTTTGCAAGCGCTTACAAATATCTTCGGAAGAAAAAACTGCTCTTTATAATGAACTGCATGGTTTAAAATCGATTGTCTCTGAATTGGAAATGTATAAAAAGCAGTCAGATGATGAAGTTCAATTTACATTATTTTTATAGACAACCAGTTTAAGAAGTATTGCTATTATTTTATCATATCATAAATTATTTTTAAAAAGTGAATTTATTTACAGATTCTCTTAATGAAGCATAATTTGGAGGTACAGAAGAATGAGTTCGATGAATATAAGCAAAAAGCGCAAAAGGTTTTGAATGCCAAGGAGAAATTATTAGAATCGCTTAAGGAGGTCGAAATCTTTTTTTGCTATACAAAAATTTTTAGATCTTAAAATCATACATTCTATTTTCTAGAATGTGGATGATTTCGATCAAAATACTCTTTCTGTCCAACTAAAAGCTGTAAGCAGTGAGTGTGAACTTCTAAAAGAAGATTTACAGCAGTCCAATTTAACGATTTTAAATCTTAAAACTTATGTACAGGTTATTATTTATTATTTATTCATAGGACTATTCATAAGACTTTTTTTATTTCCAAGATGAATTGAAGATTTCCAAGAAGATTAATTTAGATGAGATTTTCTTATACTTTTCCTTATTATTACTATTGTCATTAAAACATTTTATTATGATTATTAAGATATCAAAGATATTTTCATCCATTTTATTTATTATATTATAGGAATTGGAACAATGCCTCAAGGAACAAAAGAAATTGTCTGGTTCTCATGTAGAACAACTTTTAGAAGAAATCAGTCGAAGCACCGCTCTTGTTAATCAGTTCAGAGAGGAAAAAGAGAGAATTCAACTTGTATCATTTTTTCTTAAAATTTTTCTATAATTTTATGAAAGAAAAGAAAAAATAGTTAAGAAAGGCATTATTTCACGAGTATGAAAAAATATAACAGTGTTTCAGGAATACGATTTTTTGCATAATGAATTGCAAAGGCAAGAAAAAGCTGTTGAGAAGAAATTAATAGAGAAAGATGCTGAGTTACTTAAATTGATGGAAGAAAAAAAACAAAGAAAGAGATATGAAAAAGGTGAAATTGAAGAAAAAATTGCAATGATGGGCGAAAAAATTATCGCTAAACAAACAGAAATTGAACGACTCGAAAGTGAAAAGCGAGCACTCGAGTTTCGTTTGGAACGTTCTGAGGTATAACTGATTAATTATCTAATAATTAAACTGTTTTTCATTTTTTTTGAGATATATCTTTTTCATTTATTTATTTACTGGTTTGATTTTGAGGAATATTTAATTTAATCACTTCATTAAATTATGTAAAAGAAATTATGTTAATATCATTCCATTTATGGCGATAAATTACGATGAAAATTTTATTTTCAGAAGGCTCTTCAACAGGCAGAATTTGCTGCTATTAAAAATTACGCAGTGGAAATGCGTGAAAATTCCACCATTAATCGTAATATAAGTTTCCTGGAAGGAACACCATCAAATCATATTTTAGTTGAAATCTGCAAAGCTATTTTTCGGACTTTTGATCGAGCTGGGTTTGTCTTCAAATAAATTAAGTAAAAGTTATCTTTTTTTTATTGAAAAAGATCATTTTATTGCCAAATACGCTAGCAATATTGCATCTGATATTTATTTTTTAAAATTCTAAGCCATAGGTAAGCTAATTCCATACTGTTTCAGTTTACGATTGGTCACTTCGATGCGAAATCCAGTTTTTCGTATTTTTATCTTAATTTATTCTACTATTCTTCATGCTTGGGTCTTCTTTATAATAATGACTTACACTCCAGAGATGCATTCGCCGAAAAAACCATTCTTTAAATAGGAATGTTTTATACGCACAAATTTGCCTTAGATTATTTTCGAATTTTATTTAATAAGATTTAAATTTTTTTTTCTCTAATAATTTTGTGAATAAAAGTGAATTTTATTCAAAATGTTATTTATATTTTATTTACCCTTTTGTTATTTTTTCTTAAATTATTTAAAAAATAGTTGAAGACAAGGAGTGATTGCCAGCATCATTTTTTATCTTTTTTCTAAATGGTTCAGCTGGTTTTTCATTTTTATTTACTTTTAAATTATTTCTTTATTTTTTGTCTTTATTTTATTTTGCGAATTATTTGTGAATAAAATTGTTTCTTTTTAAAGATCTTTTTTATTATAAGATTTTCTTCTAGTATTTTTTTTTTCTTGTGTAGTTTCTATATTTCGAATACCAAAAAGAATACTTTTTGGTCGATTTTCGGCATTATTTTCAATAATTTTGATCACTCTTCGCTATATCAACTATGTTAAACTAGAAATAATGCATCAAGATTTCGTTGCTAAAGGTTTCGTCAAGCTTTTTAAATTATTGGAGTATTCAGAAATTTTTTTGGAAAATATTGATGTTTTTGTTGATTTGTTTTTGAGGGGATGTTATTTTAAATTGTGTCGTAGTTTAAAGAATTCCTTCATTTGGTTTTAGTTTTCTGGAAATGTCATCAAGTACGGTTCCAGCTTCATTACATCAGATTGGGCATTACGTTAAAATTGCCAATGAAAATGAAAAGCGTGATCCGGTCATTTATTACTGGTGTATGGTTATTTTTCTTACCATTTTTTATGGTTTTGTTTTTTAATTTCTTTCCAATTTTTGAAAGTGTACGCCAAGATTTTGAAATTTTTAAGATAATAGTTTCATAGATTCTTATGAAACGTAGGGAATATTCTGTCGAATTTCGACTTGAGCGAAGAATCGTCTAATTTTGATCAAAAAAACTTTTAATAGCTGCAAGCCAAAATTTTCGTTTTATTCTTCACTGCATTGACCAATGCATAATTAGCTTGGATAAGCTGTTATGGATATGGATATAACTTTGCATTTTTACTTGTATTTTTTCGTACCTTACAATATTGAACAATTTCAGGTTTATATTATGCAGTGAAGAAAGGAATGTCAATTGATAAGAGTTCACCAGAAGCTTTGAATTATTTAACTGGTCTTCTTTCTGTTCTCGAAATGGTTTGTTTTCAATTTGCTTCCTTTGTTTTTGATTTATTTTTTAATATTTTCTCTAAATTTGTTAGTTTGCTTTTATACATGGATTGGTGGAGTGTGCTTTTCTTCAGAATTCAGTTCTATTTGTTTAGTAAAAATCATTAGGCTTTCTTGTTAGGCTTAGAACAAGCCTTGCCAAGGAATCACTTTGGGTCAGAAATAAAATTGAGGGCAATATTCTGATTTTTTAATTATTTTGCTGCTGGAGCCATAGGCTGAATCTTAGTAGTTGCAATTGTCTTTTATATATGAAATATTTTTTTTTCGCTCGATTTTTTGACATAAGATAGAGAAAATGGGGAAAGGAACAGATCTGAAGCAGATCTTATTATAGTCCAATTGATGATGTGGATTCACCTCATTTATCCTTGTTAATTGCTGATTTTAATTAATTATTTGGTATAATGGATGAGAATTAAATGTACCAAAGTTTTATGGGTTCTTTTGATGGATCTGTTTTAAATAAAACATGAAACTTATCTGTCTTTACTCCCGAAGTTGAGGGTAATCCATACCACCCGCAATGGGGAAGAAAGGGATTCCTTTTATATATATATATATATATATATATACTTTGACTTTATTTAGACAAAAAAGCGATATAGTAATTTTGAAGCCATTGCGCAAGATATTGTGGCTCAATCACATATTGAAAACTTCGCATTAAAATTATTTGATTCTGCCGATGAAATGGATAGAAAATCCATGTTTTCAACGTTTGTTTTATCAATACAATTTTATTTTATAAACTTTTTTTGATTATTTGGAAAAATATTGATGCTTTTTTCTGCATTTTAGTAAGCTATAAATTCTGAATAAAATTGCTATATTTTATTTCTTTAAATGTGCCATATTTTTCTATTTTCATATTGAAGAAAATTGTTTATTTTTTTATTATGTCTAAAAAAGTAATTTTGCGACCTTTTTTTTAAAGAAACGTCGTGAAATTGTTTTATGTAGCTGGTCATCTCATAGATGTTTTAACCTTGTTTGGCGAACTCGACGAGTCATTAATATCAACTCGTAAGTACGCGAAATGGAAGGTAAGTTTTGTTTCTTTTTTATTTTCGTGACACGTCTTGTTATCTAATTCAAAAAATGAGCAACAATTAATTCTTATATTATTTTAATATTATTTTATTTTATTAAATTTAAGGCAACGTATATTTACAATTGCCTTAAGAATGGTGAAGTGCCTCATGCGGGACCAGTGGATATGCGAGGTTATTCAGAATCTGATCTATTTATTATTAGTTTTCATCTTCTTTTATGATGGAACTGTATCGTTTTAAGTCGTCTAGTCTTCGAATTTACTATCTTTATCGTTTTAAGTCGTCTAATCTTCGAATTTACTATCTGTATCGTTTTAAGTCGTCTAATTTTCGCCGACTACTTTTATCTTATTCTTTTAATTTTCTTCTATTTAACCACTTTACTTGTTTATTTAACCAAGATGTCGATTCCAAATTTGCAGATGCTTCGCAGCAAATTCCATCTGCAGTTGCTACCAAAGATTTAACGACAACTCCTCGTCACAGCTCGATCTGCGCTGAGTTCGTAAGTGATCCTCAGTCAAATTTGAATCAAAGTGAGAATAATAATGTTCCAACAACTGAACATAGCGCCTTATCCACCCAAGATTACATCGAAGCACAGAAACATGCTAAATATGCAGTAAGCGCATTAACGTACGAGGATCCAAAAACCGCTATCGAGAATATGAAAGCTGCTATAGCGATCTTAACTAAATATGATAGACCATTTTGACTTTTTCTTTTGCTTTCTTATTATTATATTTTCGAAAATCTTTAACTGTAAATACGTCAAATTTTATTCAATTCAAACACAAGCTATGAAGTTTCAAATAATTTTTTTGATTCAACATATACACAACACAACGCCACGAACCACTGTCTCCAATTGAATTTTGAATCAAAATTGAATTTTTTATTATTCTCAAAATTAAAATTTTTTAACGAGCGAAAAGGAACGAGCAAAAACATAAAGGAATTTTCGTATATATGCTTATTTTTTTCATTTCGTTGAAATTCATTATCACCAATATGAATTGTATTTTATTTTGTAATCATTGAAGTTAAATCAGTTTCAGATGATATCAAAAAATCCTCATTTTTCAAAATAAATCAAATTTAAATATTTATATAAAAACTTTGCAATTCCATGAGGTTTTGTGGATTATTTTTTACCACTTGATAATAAATCGAATTGAAATTATACGACTAAAACAAGTGGAGAAAGAAAATCAAATTTTATTTCCGCCGTTTCGGACTCGATCCTCGCCCTTTCGACAAATTTTTGCGTTTTTGGCTCATATGACGATCTTTGTTACGACGTTCTTCTTCTCCTCGGTCACGGGCTTTGTCAGCTAAAAAACCGCATAAATAACATGATAAACTGGTTCCATAAAAAAACACAATGTGAAGTTTAGAATACCTTTTTGTGCTTCTGCTTCGAGATCGCTCCAATCTTTACCTTCGCTTTCATCGCTATCCATACTTGCTTCTGAATCTGAAACGCAATTCGCATTGTTCAAATGGATTTATATAATAATATAATGAATTCCAATGAATTTTTAAAAATTACATTATTTACATTAAATATTTTGTTTTACATATTTTGAATAATCGACAATTTGAAATTTTTTGTGAAATTTCATAAATTACCAAATTCTGACGTCGCTTCGCCAGATTCTTCTTCATCTTCATCTTCGTCTGAACCTCCTGCAATTAAATATAGATATTACTGCGTATTATTCCGCAAAGTAAAAATTTTATTGTTTTTAGAGTCAATTCAAGAAATTTTATAAGGAATAAATGAAATTTTGTACCGCTTTCATTTTCGGATGGTGAATATGCTTCACTTTCTTCGTCTTCTTCTTCATCTTCGTTCTAGAAAACAGTTTGATAAAATAAAGTATTGCACGGAAATAATAAGACACAAAATTTTTAAAGGACTTACATCGCTATTAGCAGAAAGAAAATTCCAACCACCATTCGCGAAAAATTCTTGAGGATCTTCCAAAATCGTTTTCATTATTTTTGCCCAATTTAAAGACTGAAGGCCTTCTGAATAGTAGATATCACAAGAACTGCAAAATCACAAATTTTTAAATTTTTAATTTGAAACTTTAAATAAATGCAAACGATCAATTTTAACATGCATCTTACTTAAGCCATTCCTTTACGTTATCCAGTGAAGTCATTGGTATCTGTTGTATCATTTGAGTCTTACGCGAATAATCTTTGAAAACGAATACCATATCAAAATTCTTCAGTTGGAAGGAAACACGTTCAAAGTGAACAAAATCCACTTCTTCAAGTGTTACTACAAACGGAGGCTGTAATTCAAAATTCGAGCGATCAAAATTAAAATTAGTAGAATGACATTAAAAAAAAAGACAAAAAATACATATACCCATTCAGTTAGATTTACGAGACATGATGAAGTTGGCTTCAACGTACAAGAAGATCGGTAGGGTACGCCAAAAAATGCTAACTCATTAAAAGGCGTATCGAAATCGAATGCTTCATTTGTTAATCGAACTACCTAAAATAATAAATAATAAAATGAAATTTAAAAAAATCATAAATCATCGCCACATGCTTTTTTAATAAAAGCTTTTTTAATAAAATAAATAAATATGGTCAACAATGCGAAAAAATTCGATATATGGAGGAAAAGAATATATTTATGCTAAGGAAATCGATTAAAAAATTATGCGACATCATCGAAATCAAATAAGCAAATTTTTGATATAAAAGGTTATTAAGCCAAAGTATAACAATAAATAAAAAGAAACAATATTGCATTTTAATTCTTTCGAGCTTTTATTTATTGCAGCATTACTTTTTTTTTGATTTTTTAAAGTCTATATTCTGTTTCAACCTTTTTACAATGGAGCCTAAGAAATCTCGAAAAAGTTCAATCAGTAACTGAGATATTAGTAGTCATCTCGATTTGATATAATGAATAATTCTTAATAGAGAATACACAGTTATGATCTGACATATATGATGTTTCAGGGAATATCCTGGAGCAACACTATGAGATGAAAAAATCCCGATTAATTAAAAAAGATTTACTTACGAGAAGTAAAGTGGTTCTATAGATTAAATTTTCTTAATTATTCTGACTTATCCTTAAATTCTAATGTGATGAATTGGAATTATGTAAATTATTTCTATTACATTTCATTTTTAATCGGAATTTAGACCCAATAATTTCCTAAATCGTGGTACCAACAAATAATGATATATAAAAAGCTCAAAAATATGAAAAAATCACTGACTTTTTCGCAAAAATTTTGGAAAGCTTGATTAAGCTTTTTTCTCATTTCTCGTTCCATTTGTTCACTTTGCACATCATCTCGATCTTGCATGTGGTGATATTTTCCAAGGTCCGTAGTTATTTCTCCAACTTCGGTATAAAATTGAATATCCTGATACTTTCGTTTTCCCCAAAGAACTGGATTCTTGAAATTTTCAAATTTAATTCAACTTCGAACAATATTAAACTAAATTTTTTTTGTTCAAATATATATTTTGAAAAACTTACTTTCAAATTGAAATGCAAAAGAATTATCATTTCATTATCGCATGGTTGGAAGAATGCATGTTTGATATTGTTGTATAGAACATCGATTTTATCACCACGCAATGACGTATAGCGAAAACCTCAAAAAAGTTTATCTACAGTGAAAATTTAAGCAAAAATAATAGCAATATTTCAACTACAAAAATAAAAAAATTATCAGAATGAAAATGCAATATAAATATGAATATAATGAATTTAACATAGAAATCTTCGATTCAATAGCATATAACCTCCAAAAAAATTTGGAAGAATTACCATTGGTATGAGCTTCTAACGAACCACTGACTCTTTTTGCAATGATATTTGGACGAACAAAAAGATCTTTCAATTTCGGGTTACCCTTTGCTGTCAACAAGATCAATTTATCTTGCTTTACTGCTCCTTCCTTTTCACGCTCTTCTGCTTCCTTAATAAAAATTGGTAAAAAAATAAATTACTCAAGAACATCATGAAAATCTGTCTGAATATCTATCTACTGAATATCTGTCTACTAAATAACTAATTCAAACTACAACATATATTGATTCTATGAAGCTAGTAAATGAGAGGGAATAAAATTAGATTTATATATCTGTTGTTATCATTCGAGCCTCTTCAATAATGAGTGAAATATTCAGTAGTTAAACGAATGCGCAATATAAAGAAGCAAAAAGAAATTAAACTAAAAATGGCTTGATATTTGATATATTAAATGATTTGAACAACATACTTGTGTTCGATACTTTTTTTGCATTTCTTTAATTAGACGGTAGGACGTACTAAGATTGTTACTAGGGGCACTCAACTCACCAGGTTCCTTAATATTGCTGCTTCGGAAAGTCCTGTAATAAAACTAATGGGCAAATATCATTATAAGGGTTTTAAGCGAATTCACAACAACGAACTCATTTTATACAACTCATTTTATTTTTATTGCATTTCTTTTTCTTCAATAATTAATTCTAATTCACATTGGAATTACAAACTTTCTTTTTAAATGAAAATTTTATTGTATTTTTTAAATAAATGGTAATAAAAATTCAAAAAATACAAAAATCCGAAGAAGAAATTTTTTTCCAGCATTTCCTGTTCGTCATAGAAAAACAAATTATTCCTCAAAAATTTAAAAAAGAGAAATACAGCAAAGAACAATGAAAAAAATGAAAGTAACTTACAATTCCTTAAGATGCGTACAAAGCGGATTTGGAAATTGCTGCTGATCTTTACCAATTTGCGAGCCTGGATGCATGAAATTAATGCGCAAATATGTAAAATCACCTTCGACAGATTGGCTTGTATTTTTTATCATTGATATATGGAAAGGTGTTGGCACGCCAAAAAGAGGCAAAATGACAGAATCATGACGTCGATCTAAATATACACACTCTTAATAAATATACTTGTTTTCTCAAAATAAATTAGATTATTTTTCAACGACTCATAACTAAAGAAGAAGAAAGCTATTTTTAATAACTCGATGGAAAAACATAAAACAAAAACAAAGTACCTACCAACATAAATATTCAGTTTATCAACCTCATTGTCTTTCGGGAATTTTTCATATGATTTATAGGATACATTAGATTTTTTGATTTTTTTAATAGCCTTTTGATCAGTTTGCTCAGCTAACCGTTCTCGAGCATTCTCATTTAGGCGCCTTTCTAAATCCTTTTGATGTTCTTTTCGCTTATCTTCATTTGTTGTCTTGTTCTGAAAAAATACATAAAACCATGCAATTCCAGCAAAATCGGTCTGGGTAAGACTTCAACATACACCAAACTAATAGCAAATATGCTCGGCACTCCCGAGTGTTATCACAGCACGAAATGTAAATAGAATTTATTATATATAAAATCAGTTATTTAATTAAATTTGGTCACATTAAATTTATAATAAAAGATTAACGAACTCGGGTTTGCTCCTGCAAAAGCACTGATCGCTTTCCACGACCCATCGTTTCAATTAAATTGTTTTCCTTAAATGAATATGATGAATATGATATAAGTGAATATGATTTTATCTGGATAATAATTTAATTTAGAAAGTCAATAATTTAATTCAAAATAACTAAGTTAATACTGCTAAATACTGTTGAACCAAACAGGAAAATTCAAATATATCCTAATCCTAACCTTATTATCATCACCTTGTGAAGTTTCTACTTCGTCCTTGAATCGAATCACATTAGATTTTAAACGAGATTTGGCCTTTTCTGTTAGCACTTCATTTGTACCTGTCTGAAAATAAGTAAAAATTAAACTGGTCAACACCAATAAATTAATGGAACGAAATAAAAAATAAACTTACAGAAGATATCAATACAGTATCTGAAAGCAGCAATGCGGCACTTTTAGACTCATTATCCTTGGCGTCTGGATTTTTTAAATCTTGAAGACCAACATAAACCACAAAAACCATATTCTCCTTGATTTCCAATTCACATTTCGGACTGATTAGCATAAATGATTCGCGAAATTCCAGACCAGTGAGAAAACTATAATAAATACATGCAAAAACATTAGTGTTACTGAAAATTTAATAACGAGTTGTCAGTTGCCAAATGAGTTTTCTTCCCGGTTGGAAAAAGAAAACAAAACTGAACTAACCCAAAATTATTCTTTACCAAATTTTCCACTAGCTTTGGCTTCTTATCTTTAAGAGTTTTTAAGCCTATTTCATAAACTTCACGAAGCTTTCTGCCCGGTCTCAGTGCCTCGATTATAGCACTTTCCACTTCTAATAAAACCTCATAATCTTCTTCAAGTTTTTTAGATGGATCAACAAGCATCGTTCGGCTCAAATTCGAACAATATGCCTGTAAAGTATATCAAAAAGTGAAAAAAACCGGCAATAACGTTGGCATAATATTTGCCAAAATTATTTCATTTCGAAAGTGCATAAAACTCACCTGATATCTTGCACCGAGTGAACAAATAATAGTCCCATAATGCATTAGTTTATCATCGCTGTAATAAATATTTACTAAAAAATATTAAAAATTAATAAAAGTATGAAAAACCTTACGTAAAACTAAATTTATATTTAATAAAATTTTTTCATATGCAAATATGTAAAATTTTAACGTATTAAAAGATATGAAATGAACTTCAGTTCTCGTTAACATTAGCGATTGATAACTTTCACAAACCTTTCTGCACTCAATTTCAATGCATATTGTCCACCAGATTGAATAATTGGTGTATAACACGATTCAACATTTCCATGATGAGATTGGAATGAAACCATTGCTTGTTCGATATCCTCTGCCAATCGACTATGCTTTACTTTCTTCAAAAACATTTAAATTAACAAAATGATATAATTACAATTTCACAGTTTCTTTTTCTTATTCACAAATTTTAATTGAAAACTATGGGTAGAAAATGGGTTGTTGCTCAATCCAGAGTGCCGAAACTGAGGTTCTACTCTCTGCAGGATTAAACTTGTTCAAAATCCGGGTGATGCTAGTGATAATTCTATCACCAAGGGACTACCTGGCAAATTATAACAAGTCAGAGGAGCGAGACCAATCAACAGTGAGGACTCTTAAAAAAACTAGTGACAGAATTATATTTCGCTTCTCAATTTCAATAAAAATCCTAGACTTGATCTAGACATTTATTTTTAAAAATCCAAACAAAACATTAAAAAAAAATTTCTAGCCAAATAATTTTATTAAACTCGAAATATCAATGAACATTACCTTTGATTGATCAACGATATCAACAATTTTTTTTCTCAGAACTGACCATGTATTGACACTAGCTGCAGCAGCTCGCTTACATTGATCGCTTTCATGTGAATCTTTTTCGGCAAATAACTTAGCGAATGATAAAGAAACGTCCACACTCTTAAATATATTATAGAATTAGAATAAAAACAAAAAGAATAAATTTAGCGTTTACAAATAAATTGGTAATCATAGTAGACAATAGACGAATTTATGTTCTCTGATTGGATCTATCATAAAAGTGATACCTTGGTGTCAAAAAACTCCCTTGCGAAGAGAACTCGTCTAAAGAGCCAGCAGTCAAACTACATTTGTCAGAAGAGAATCGAACAAAAAGAAAAATCAAAAATTAAAAGTATTACTAGACTTATATCAGCTTTTTGCATTGCATTCATCCATAATTTAGCAAATTCTGTTCCAAATGAATCCTTCGCAAAATGTCCATAGATACTACCAGCATTTTTAATAATATTAACCAGTTTCTCAAAGTTTTCAGCATCTTTATCGGCCTGAATGAAACAATCATAAACTTATTATTTGTGGCAAACTTGATGATATTTATGGTTAGAATTCGCAAAATACAACGCGAATTTAGCAACAGCAAATAATTATTTGAATAATAAAACAAAAAATAAATAGGCTAAGATGAAATAAATCTTACCTTGTTCCTCGTTATAACTTTAAATGGTGGTACAGAGCCATCAAATTCGCTGGATTCAAGAGGTTCCAAGAATTGCGCTTTTCGAAGACTTGCTAGGAAATATATTCCACTTTTTGTAAAAATCGCTACTGTATCATTTAATTCATACGCATAAAGCCAAAACTGAAAATCTAATAAGTTTTTTTTTGATTCACTGAATAAATATGAATCATCTTCCTGAAAAAACTAATAAAAAAATTTCTCTACAACAGAAAAGAATATTAATTTAAGATAAAAAACACCTGCAGAGCATTAGACTTCGAATACTGTACAGTATCATCATCAGCACCAACTAAAAACACTAAAGCTTCGACTTTAGATAGAACATCATCAACTCCACTATTCTACAAAATATCGAAGATGAAAAAAAAACTGGTACAAAATTCATAAAAATAAAAGAATTAAAAAAATAAAATTAAAATATGGAAAATAATTCACCCAATAATCATAAAGCTTTGTGGCTCGGCATATGAAAATTTCTCGTTGTACTTTAAGTTTTCTATCAGCCATTTTTGAAGAACAACCATAAAATATTATATAGCACAAATCCTATAATTCAGTAATAAATGTGAAAATGTATTTTTAAATATGGTCAAAAAGAAAATTTAACCGAGTCTATGGACTGTGTATAATTTTATTTTTCATAGATTTTATAGGCTAGCAAATAGGCTCGAAAAATACAGGATAAATATTTTTTCTATAATATTTGAAAAAAACAAAACTGAAAAATGACAAACGACTAATGGTGTTTCTGTTACCTGCCGACTTTAACGTAAATATACCATTCTAATACAAAAATATTACAATGTACAAATTGAAGAATTTATAAGTTAAATTTTTTGCAGAATTTTTCTACAAAATGCCAAAAATGTTAATATATATTGGACTTTTTGGGTAAGATGATAAGGAAACTAACTTGGTTATTTTTGCTATATTTTACTTTGATGCTCGACATTGCTAAATCATCTCCTGTTTATTTCTATTATCTGTTATCATTACCTAATAGCACTCACCATTTCTGGTTTGGTCGGCTCAACTATTACGACGACAGTCACCAGGGAGCCACACGCTGTTAGGAGTACAAGTGAACCTCTAGTATTACCATCAGCAATATTGCTTTCCATTCTGGTATACTTCTAAGTAGCCTTTCGACCATCACGTACCTCTTTTTCAAGAAAAAGCCACTTAATAATTTATCAAATCCATGTCCCCTTAAGATCTCATTCTATTCTTTAAAATCTCTAAAAATCAAGCCATTTTTTACCAACAAAAAAAAAGGATCTCAAGTATCGTTAAATCCTCGTTACAATTTAATTTATCAACCTTTCTTATACTTCAGAATGAAATTTTCTCTTATTATCCTTTGAAATCTCCTTAGGCTCAAAATCTTCAAAAATGCTCGTAACTCAGGTGCAGTTATTTGCCACAACATTACCACGACAAACCTTTCTGCCCAATCTTAATATGCCACCTGTGCCACCATTTATCTCCTTAATATTCACCTGAGCTCGCTCAATATTAAATCAGACTCGCAATTTTTTATCGACTGCAAAAATCAGTCGAAATAAAGATCTAAAATAAAGATCGAAATAAAGATATAAAGGTCCAAGCATTATCAGCTGCAATACTACCTTTGAATTGAAGCTTGAAGCTTCCTACACAGCTGTTTGCCAATAATAATCAATTAATCTATTTTTCTCCATGTTTTCCTTCGCTCTGGGACGTTAGACTTTTACTACCATAAATTATCTATATAATAATTATAAAGGAAAAAAAAGGTGAATAATTACACAATATTTGTAGCCACACTCGTTTCGCTTTTTTCTATTAATGCAATCTATGCCATCGAATCATATAAATAACAGCACAAGTGGAACCTTTTATAATAACAAATTTTCTCTTGTTATAGGTCGAACCACCGTTTCTCAATGCCATTTGGTAGTTCCATGTCCCATCCTGAAACCCATTTATAATCCATTCTAACTTTTCACTAATGTCTTAAAATTTATTATCCCTCTTCCTCCTTCCCTTTTCCCTTCCCCTCGCCCCCCCCCCCCTCTCCTTGCATATAATCCCTTTATTAATAATGCTACGAACTATGCACAGATTGTATAGACTGCCAGATCCTATCAGTTTTATAATTTTCTGGTCTTCCAGCCAGTCCATTTGTCTATAATTTTTCACCTTTTCTGTTCACTGTTACAATGGCGATTTTTTAAAATGAAAATCAGTTGCAATTTACGAATTAAATAATCAAATCAACGACTAATTAATTGAAGAATTGACTATATTATTGCTTCGGCAAAGTAAAGTGGGCTCGACTGCAAAATGCCTCGACATAATGCCAATCCACTCGCTAAATCCGCCGGAGCTACCGGTGACATATCTACGCTTCTGTGCCCGCTAACTGACATACTGGCCAGAGGACCTTACAGTGGTCATATTAGCCCAGCTTAGCCTAGCCAAGCCACAAATTATGAGTGTTTTAATAGGACGAGAGAATTTCTATGAAAAAATTGGACAAGAAAAATTTTAAAAAAAGCGTGCAACCAGGAAAAACGATCAAACTCACCAAATAAAGGCACAGACAAGTTTTCGGTGCCTTTTTTAAAAATTTTCCGTTCAAGAAGCCAAAAACTTATTAGAGCACTAAATCAGAGAAACCTATTTTTAAACCCACTCAATTTATTGGAATTTAAGCATATCAAACGATTGACAAATCATTTATCAAATGTTCATTGTTCCTTGTAAAATTTTCATTGAAACTGAATTTTTTAGAACCAAACCAGTGGTTGTCGAAATGGCCTCTGTGGACCCTGTGGGATCCGTGGGATCTCGTATGGTGTATGGGAGTTTAATTCGATTTATATAAATTACAGGTATTTATTTATTAAAAAATTATTTTTAATAAATGCAATTTTTAATGCAATTTAATTTCATGCCAATTTATACATTTATTCAGAATTTATTTATTCAGAACTCTTAAGTGGAAAATTTTAATAAATTTTAGTATTTTAAAGTTTTAAAACTTGAAAATGTTGGGTCATTTGGATCTTTGCGGTGCCATCTAAGAGAGGGTCCATGGAAGACCCAGCAATTTAAGTAGTCAATGAACAAACGAAGGGTGAGGAGCGCCGAACTAAACCGTTCAGTATTCAAGATTTTGCAGTCTTATAATAATTTATAAAGAAATTCTTAAAAATTCCTAAAAATTTTTTTTAGAAAATTAAAATATGCCCAATGCACAAGTCGTTGGAAGTAGAAAAATTAGGATCATTCTCATAATTCATAAATTCTTTTCAAAATTTTTTATTGAAGGATGACATCCGAAATATTTTGCAAATCATTTACACACGAAGGAAAACTCGCTTTTCTCAAATTATATACGCAGCATAAATTACAGGTATTTATTTATTATTAACTATATTATCATTTATATCATCGATGCTGAGGTTTTTCGGAAGGTCTGGCAGGAGCAAACCTGTGCTCCAAAAATCCGAGCGATGCTGGCGACTAATACTCCTATCGCGAAGAGACTCGCTGGCACATTTGTCTAGCCAGCGGAGCGAGTCTAACCAGTAATGGTGAGTGAGTGCTCCGTTTTGGAAGCAAACATTCACAATTTACTGCTTTCTGCCTGAACAAAAATTTGAAAACTACAAATATATTTTAAAATGCAAAAAAAATATTCTTTACAAACAATGAGTATTTATTATTTATTTTTAATGAATTCTTTTGAAACACCATTACTCGCTTCGCTCGCTCATTAGATCCTATCGCTCCACTAGCTTGTCGGACCTAGGCGAATTTTGCCAGCAGTAAATCTCAAGGAACTACTGGCCATTCCTATCTTATTTCCCACATTTGCGTAATATATTAATGCTGTTATACTATTATTACATACTATTATCTATACTATTATTATCCAAGCGTAATATATACTAATGCTATCACAAGTATTGTTTTTCGTAGGTCAGACTTATTGAACTTCGTTATATGCTAAGCATGGTGATGTGATTTTAGCTACGTTGGAGGGGAGGGGGGAGGAAGAAATTCCTCATTGTAAAAGCCAATGGAACCAAGCCAGAATGGTTTGCACTATCGGAAAAATATCTTAATATTTGTGAAACAAATACCGAATCCTTAGTAACAAATCTAGTTAAAGCTAAACCTAAAGCACAGTTGCTGACGAATATTTGGAATTAAGCTTGGTGCAGTTTTCACAAAATGGCGTTTATGGTATTTACGGAAGAGAAAAAAATCAACACCAAAGATGCAACAAAGTATAAAATAAATAATATAAAATTTTTTATTTCTTAAAAATATTTGTAAAAATTATAATCGTTTCAAAAAATTAGCCAGGTTTATTGTTGCCGCTTCTGCAAAAATTTGTTAACAACTTACGATTGATAAGTTGAAAAATTTCTTTTTCCATCACTCACAAATGCAGAGAGTATACAGATTGTCTCTAATTTTTTTCCGGAACCATACATACCAGAGTCCTTAACTATTTTTTTTAAATTTGAATTAAATAAAATTACGTAATGTTGAAAGATTGGAAAATTAGCTTAGAAGTGGTGCCAACCATATGGTGAGGTAGTTGGGTGGTTGCTTCGACGGAGATTAACATCACAAATTTGGTTCTCATCCTTTGAAAAAAGTAGCACTTATTGAAGGCGAAATCTGGATGGATACTGATGATGTTTCAGCATATTTATTTCTATTCTCCAGTGACAAGACCTCTTTCAAATTAGAGAAGACTTATTTTATTGGAACTGGAACTGAGATAGAATAATAAAATTTGATAAATAATTTGATTAATTGAAGATTCCTATTTATAAAGAAATATACCAATATTGAAGCAACTTGAATAGGACCATATTTAACAAAATGGCCTGCTATTTGGCCTTCTTCAATAAAAAATGGTAATATTGTGGTCGTTTGCTGCAAAAAAAATTATCAAAAATTATCACTTTTATTACCATCAAAATTTTTTCATTAAACATGAAATTCCTAAATAATACTACCTCATATCCAAGTTTATTCGCAAATCTTTGTGAATGAAGCATGGGCGATGTTAAAGACAAATCGCCACCAAATAAAAATAAGCGTATATTAGAATCGATAACCTTTTTGACCACTTTATAGTTATCCTCAGGTATTGCAAATCTGTATGGAACCGATCTGTAAATTCGTTTTAAAATTCATTTTAAATTTATTCTTTGCTGGAAATAATAGTTTTATACGTTGGTTTGCCTAGTTCTCTTGCCTATGAGGTCAGGACGAAGCTTTTTCATGAAAGAGCCATCTGGGAGTAGGCGGATTCACAACAGGACTCCACTATTCGATTTTAATGGAAATTTTAAACTTTTATTCTCGTCAAAGGGTTGAAATCGAAGTGATGGCTTGATCGATGTAATATTCCACCAATATAACCAAAAACAGATAGAAATAGTTGAAAACCTTTCTTTCATATAAAATAAAGTTAGCTTTCATCATTTTTAGTTAGGCTACCTCTGTTGAATAAGATTAGAAATTTTTACAATATTAAAAGACTGCTTGGCGACTGTTAAGTACACTTGGTGGCAGACATGATAATTAGGGTCGGAAAATCAAAATTATGACATTCCACGCGAATTGACGATATCACTAGGACATAGTGGGTTATCATTTATGATTTTCAGTGGTGATTTTCCACCTAAAAAATAACAAAAATCTTTGCAGTGCACTTAGTACTTCTAAGGATTAAATAAAGTACGCGGAACATAAACTGAAGCAATGCGAAATAGTTCCAAATATTACGGGAATAAAATCGACTAGGCTGATCATCCATTCTAGCTTAATAATGGCGAATATTGAAATATCTACCTGTACATCTCCCATGACCGAACATCCTCAGGTATATTCAGAGCTCGTCGCACATCTGTTCTGTTTAAATATGTGCTATATGGAATTTCATCAACACATTTTACATCGGCTTTCTAAATTAATTTTAATTGAAAGATACTTTTAAGAGCAAACCATATGGTATGGTTAATGGTTAATCTTTCTTCCTCTATTACAGCATTTATCACTTTTTCAGATTGGCTTCACCTGGTTTCACTGGTCTTAGGTAGATCTTTTTGTCAGGGAACTGGGAAGTTCCTGGCAGTTGCTGCCGGAAATCGGCAATTTGAAAGAGTACCAATTAATGCCAAATAAAATCCAAAATTAATTTAAAAATGAGATTTACCTCAGCATAGAGACTTATAAAATCTGTCAATCCTGTTAATCCTTCTTTAGCAAAATTTTTTTGCAATGCATCTATCACTTGAGCATCTTTTTCACATTTTTCGTTCAAATTAAACATATTTAAACCAGATCGTCTCAAAAATAAATAGAAATAATAATAAAGAAATAGTAGTAATAACAGTAATAACAATAGTAATAATATAATAATAATTATATTATGATAGAATGGCTCAGTAGGTTGTTGCTCAGTTGGGAATAAACCTGTACAAAAATCCGGGTGATGCTGGCGACTCACCTGTATTTCTATTGCCATGGGATTATCTGGCATATTGCCCAATGCGACAAGCTAGTGGAGCGAGTTTAACCAGTAATGGTGAGGACTCTTTAAAAAAATAATAATTAATAATAATAATGGTAATAATGGCAATAATAATAATGGTAATAATAATTAAAAACAATAATAATATTATTTAGTAATAATAATTATAAATAATTATAAAAAAATGATAATAAAATAGTTTTTAGTAATATTAAATCAAACATTTATTAGCTGCTCAAATTGTTTTCAAAAAATTCAGGAATTATTTTTTGCAAATTTGGATGGCAACATACTCTGCGAAATATAAGATGTCGAAAAAGAACTCGGCACAGAATTCCGAAACGCTAATAGCGTTGTGAATCTCACATTTGTCAAGAACTCCATTACAACAATTCCTTTGAGCAGTTTCATAAGTCCTAAATTTCGTTTTATACCAAACTATAATCACATATTTGTACGAACTAAATCGTTTGTCTTATGAGCTTCCTACCAGTACAATCACTTTCTACGCATTAAAAATATATTTTTTATACTAAAAATTTGAAATAATTTGGAAAAATATATATATTCATATAAAATATATTTGAATTGTAAGTTTTAAACAATTTTTAAAAGTTTGAAACTCATAATGATTAAATTATATCGTCAATATTGGCCTTGTTTTATTTTTTTCATCTCCTAGCTCCTAATTTTTTCCAGGTTAATAATTTGTATTTTAGAGTAAATCCTATGAGAACGACCTTTCATCGACGAGGCCATAACTGTACATGTACATAGCTAAGTCAATCGAAATTTCGTCCATACTTAAAATAGCATTTCCGATTATCAATCCCTGAAAAGAAAACAATATAGCACATTAGCATAATTTTTGGGCTTACAAAATGAGAATAGATTTCAATTATTTTCAAACTATACTCGAAATTCAAGTTTCGAATTTGTGCTACTCGAAATTTTAATGAGAGCAGAAATTCATATGGGTCGAACTTTTGCCATTATTCTTTCCGTATCGCCCAATGTATACGCATACAAAAACAAATAACTTAGGCTTAGGGCTTAGGCTTAGGCTTAGGCTTAGGCGCCGGTACGAGGGTATCCTTCCAACACTTTATATTTGCACGTCTGGCACCAGTGAAACCCTCATGCGTTCATCATATATGAAGTATGCCGTTTTTTTAGTACGAACCTTGCAGCGTATAACGCCACTCTCCCGCTATAAGATTCACATAACGTAGTACCTTTTCTTAGACCTTCCCAGGAGTTCTCAGATAAGCGACCTTAGTGACAGAGGTACAGATGGGTTCTTGCGTTTTTTCGCTTTTAACGAGAAATTTATTCCGGAGTCCACGAAAAGAAATCAAAACCATAATCACTGTGTCTTGGCCAAAAATATTTTCATCGAATGAAATGAATGTCGTAATTTTTACTTTTAAATTTATTTGATTTTCTGCTTTATTTTCTGCTATTTTCAGTGCAATAAGTGGTGCATATTGGCCAGTTCCACTAGAGCCACCAATGTATAGATCATTCGCCTGCAAAAAAAATCCATAACAATTATTGCATTTTAAATTCTAATATTTTTTTTGGTTGCATATTTGTAAAATATATAAGATAACCTTAAATTCGGGAAATTCTTCAAAAAATTTTAGTAATAGCTTGTATGTAAAATCACATCTAGTGTAAACATCAAAGGTTTGATTATTTTCTTGGCCATAAGAGAATCTGAATATGGCATAATTTTACGTCATTTTTTTAAAATTTTTGTTCTATATTTCATATTCAACACAAGAGATTAATTATTTTGTTGTGCTTAAACTGAAAATTTAGGCAAATATCCAGAGAATAGGAAGAGAGGAATCTCTTTTATGATGTCTCTATGATGAGAAATATAGTGTAGGAGGTCTCAAGAAATTAGTCCAGACCCGTCACAGACCTAATGATGTTATATTTTTCGCTGAGGAATTACAGTGGACGTTAAAGTGAATGTTGACTGCAGCAACGAAAATTGGCCTTTAAATCAGGAGAATCTCTACCAGATATTAGATGCTGAGAATATTGCAATTTCTAAAGATTTAGAGGTATACGACAATCGGTGGAAAAAAGAATGGACATAGATCTAGATTTGGCATTGAATGAGGGCTTGTTCCCGTCGTTTTATAACCAAGGGAAGCAAGCTGTTAGCAGAAAAAAAAAGAAATACTTGGTTTTTATCATATACAATTGCCAAGTAAAAAATTACCCAGCTTGAATGGAATTATCGATGAACAGCACATTACCGACTTTACTCCATGCATCATTGTTTCTTTCCAATGAGCTATTTGAAGAACGAATTATGTAGGGTCCAAAAAGATGGAAAAAGTGATGCATTACTGAGTGTCCCATTGAGCTACCAAGCCAAACCAGAAGTGGTTTGGAATTAGGATCACTTTCGGCTGCAGTAAACCTGAACTTTTTATTACTATTTCCTGAATAAAAAATGGTCAATGCCACTTAAACTTATTTCTGGATGAATCAAAAATTTTCTTAATTAAAAGAGTTGGAAAATAAGTAAAATTAAAAATTCTTAAAAAAATCTTAAAAATTCTTAAAGATCTTAGAGATACCAATATTAACTAATCAGTACAATAAAAGAAACTGAAATTTTTACATATAATGAGCATGGCTATCATCTTCGAGATCCAAATATCCGGAGTATAGTACCACATCATTATCAGGTGCATCAGGTAAATTGATGGCGATATGTGGCCGTGCAGCATCTACAATGGTAACGAAGAGAAAAAGAAATGCTTTACACATTTTATCAAGTGAATTTTTTGCATTAATCAGTGCTTTTATATGCGATTTCGTTGATTACAAGAATCATAATTTATAAGCAAAATTGATAAGAAAAAATTTTAGTTTATAAGGAACTGATAAGAAAATTTGATATCAATCACCAATAATTTTTTGATTTTTGACAAAAAATAATCGATGATCTTTAATATTAGCATTTTCGCAATAATTTTGTAAATTGTTGATAAAAAGTAGTTGGCGAACGAAAATTTTAAATTTTAATTATTTTTTATCAGCAATCCACAAAATTATCGCGAATTGATATTAAAGATCATCGATTATTTTTTGTAAAAGATCACAATTATTGGGGAATGAAAATAAAAAAATTCAAAGTCGGATTATTTCTAAATAGTGTTAAAACATTATAATTATTAATTATTATTTAATTAATTATTAATACTTAATAATTAATACTTATTAATATAATTATTAATACTTTATAATTCGACGAGGGCAAATCTGCAAAATCTGCAAAAAAATAAAATCCGGGTTGGCGCTGGAAATCGACCTTTGCCCAAATGAATCTGTGGTGGAAGTTTTCTGATCATATTGATATGACGACGCAAATGATATTGCTAATCAAGTGGTAAATACTAAGTGAAGAGCCTGGTAACGATTCCTCGGTTTAAAAACAGAAAGTAATGAGCCAAAATAAACTTGGAATTTGAAATCTGGATGGTGGAGGCGACCAAACTTTGTCAATCCTCAGTTTCTCACATAATAGTTAATGCAACCAGCCAAATCAAAAATGACAAATGGATGTATAAGAAAAAGAAACAAAAAAATGCGGTGCATGATTGCATGATTTAACAAAATATTGTGGTACTAAAGTGGAGTAGAATGGTTCACTGAACCACTCTGGGATTGTTGCTTAATTCGAAACGTTGAGAGCCCGAATACTTCAAAAATCTTTGCGACTCGTCTGTGCTTGTTGTTTGTGCTCCTCTACCTGATATCCTTAAATACGACGAGGACCGATCAAAAAATTGATGCTGGAAATTCAGGAAAAATTCTGAAGGGATCAACCCATGTGAGAAAACAATACCATCTGTTACATTCATAGTCAACACCACATAATCGCATCAGACCAAAAGCAACGGGAAACTCCACACCTCTGTGGCCAGTGGAACCAGACCAATGAAAGAAGAAAGAAAAAGATTTATTAGAGCCGCAAGAGACGGAATATAAAAAGCGCGGTCACACCACGTATTCCCCACACAACATAGACCACTGTGCGCAACCGCACCTTTCGTTACAGTTGCGTTCATGTCTACGTTTGTCGGTGTGGTCTTGTTTGCGTTTGTGTTGACGGTTGCCTTTATTGCCGTGGTCAGCCGCGGTCAGAGCAATCGGGTGAACAGGAATACTTCAGACCAGCAATAGGTTTACCCTACGTACCTCCTATATATTCCCATCGACAAATTTTGCTAATAATTGGTCGGTTTGTCAGAGAAAAAGAACGAACCTTTTCGTAAACGTTATTTTCGAAAAGAACTTGGAAAATTTCACAATATTCGAACAGAGAGTCTCTCATTTTCTTGGAATACCAATGGTAAATGGTCATTTTGGTTTTTTTCGATCGGTTTTTATTCAGACAAATTTAAAAGTTGGGATTTTCGAGTTCTCTTTTCCGATGAAATCTTCGAAGAATTTATTTTAAAAAATGGCCAAATAGGATGAAAATCATTGAAGCAATGAATTTTTTTACTGAAAGTCTGTTAACTTCTTCGTTTCACCGTTTTGTATAACCTTTAGGAATATAGGAAAGCAAAAGAAATATCAATTTTTACTTAAAGAAGTACTTGAAGTTGTGACTGATTTGTGATATCAATAATAATAATAATTAGTATTCACATCAATTTTTCCTCTAAATAATTTGTATTATGAATAGTTTATCTTTTATGTATCGGAACTGTTTATATGAGCCACTGATCGTCAAACTGATTGGACTTCTATGGTCCATGCATGGCGAATAGAGAGTCTCATTTTTCTGCCTAAGGCAAATAAGGTAATCTGAAGGAAAATGAGAGCATAATTCTTCATTGTTCGACTATTTCCTGTGATGGTTTTTATATTTTATGCTAGGCACACTTAAGGAATTTATTTAAGGTTAGATTGGAAGTGTCCACAGACTTTTAATTTTTAGTTTTACCTATAGGATTTTTCTATCTTACTTCGCCCATTACCTTAGGTTCTCTAATGGTAGTTTATCATCTTTTAAGACGAAAATTCATATCCTGCAGTAAAAATGCCAATTTAAGAAGTCCAAAAGTCCATTCTATATATAAATTCTTCAAGAATGCGTCCAGTTTTGCCCTGCTATTAGAGATAAATTTATGCACCTAATAGAGACAATATAAAAGGAAAAGAAAATAGCATGATATATCATGTTATCCCATATCATATCATACCATATCACAAAAAAACCATGGATTTATTTTACAGCAGAAAAATTTACAATAAATTTGCAATATTTCGTACTAATATGGTTCATTTTCAAATTAAATAAAAACAAATTTTAAAAATTTTTTTGAATAAGAATTTTATTGATTGTGCAAATCTAGCAAATGGTTTTCCAAAAGAGATTTTAGGGATTTTAGGGATTTTAGCCTTTAGGGATTTTCAAAAAATAGTCGATTTTGCTGTAAAGATTTTTCTATTAAAATTCTTCTTCCATATATCTTAAAAAATGCACTGAAAAACGAAAAATTCGAGGCGTTTTTGCACTAGAAAAATTCAAAAATAAAGGAAAAACGAGGGGAACTAATGGTTATGAAAAAAAAGTTTCCCTTGCCTTGAATGAATTTTTTTTTGAAATCAATTTTTTGAAATATTCGCTCGCATTATTGTTTTGCATTATACGATTCGAGGGATAAGTTTGTTTTACTCATTTTTGGTGCTGAAAATGGTTCGTCACTTCTGATTAGGTTGACCTCTTTAAATATAAAGGTAAGCCATCCCAAGCTATTCAGTTTGATGATGCCATCGCTGATGCTAGTAGAAGCCATTCTTTTTTCCATTGTCTATAACTCGCTGCTTCTTTGATCAAAATCATTCTTTTTGAAATTGAGTGGCAGAGGGTTCTTCAAAAAAAAAACTGCAGATGGGCCCGGATTTATAGAAATGAACAAAAAAAGAACTATTTTCATAAATTTAAAATAAAGGTGCCAAAAATAATGGTAACGAATCGTAATACTGATAATATATCAATATACTAATAAAATATTTTTGATTTATATATGCTCGTATTTGTGATATATGTGATATAAGCTTTGGTTCATTGTCGCTGATATCCTTTATAATATTCAGATTGCCTGAGAACTTAAAGGCCCTCCTCCACTGATCATATAATCCAACTAAAAGTCTAGATCAAGCTGATATCAGTGGATAAATCAACGATAACGAGTTGCTTACGAAATTATTTAGTTTATCAGTTAAATTACTTTTTTTAATGTCACATTTCGAAAAACAAACTAAGTAACTAAGTGAAATTATTTTTGCATGAAAAATTTTGAATTTTAGCTACATGTTGAATTGATCAACATAAACGACTGCCACTGCTGCAATTTATTTCATTCGAAGTTTTGTGATGCGCTTGTTTCTCTTAAAGTTCATATTTTATTCTTGTGGAATAATCATTTTGTAAAGTAGTAGTTTTACTAGCTATAATAAGCGTCTGTGATTTCGTTTTTCTTTTTTGACCATTCATTTCAGTATCCGAATAAAACATTAGTAAGGAAATCAATAAGGAAAAAACTGGTTATGAAAAGTTTTAAACACTGGATTAACTTTAGAATACTTCCTGGATGATACGAAATGATGAAAATGCTCATGGAAAGTAAAAAAGTGCATGACTTAGCAGTCGGAATAAGGCAGTAAAATATATGCATAAGTATATAATGCAAAAATATGCATATATAAGTAATACCAGTAATGTAACGATCAAGGAAAAGGAAAGTGACTCAGTGCCTTTCTTTTGTTCGACTTTAATCTGTCATTAAAGGATGAAACTCTTCCCGAATCGGAATATTTTTGCATTATAATTTTTTGTTTTTCCAATTCAGTGAAGGCCAACTGTGCTAAGATATCGAAGATATTTTTCAGTCACATTTTTTATTATTCTAACTAGAAAATCTAACTTTTAAAGGCACTGTCTTTTGTTAATTATTGGAAAAAACGGGGATTGAACGATCGAATTGCTTTGTCTTCGAATGAGCGCAATCTTCTCTTAACACGAACCGTTACTGATGGTGGAATAGTTTTGGAAACACATTTTATCTCCTCTAGCAAGATTTCTAATTAGTAGCCAATCGGACAACAGCCCAATCGCAAATAATGAGTGCTGCAAAAAAACCGTTGCAGGCAAAGGAATTTCATGTCGCAGAACAAGTTATTTAATCAAGTGAAGTGAAAAAAAGAAGTATTGGACCTTATAATTACATTTTTAAAATCCAGAAGGAACTTTATAAACCACAATTTGCACTTTTTATGGAAAAAAGCTTTAGGAATATAATTTGGAATTTTTTAAAATATCAAACTTTCAGTATATAAACATTTTTTTCCCAATAAAGCTCACCATTTCTGGCTTATTGAAGTGGAACTAAAAATTTCGCTAGCGAATCATTTTGCAATAGAAGTAAATATGGAATTTTAAAGGCTAATTTGCACGTGAATAGAACCACAGCATTGCCACTCTCTCCACATAAATATTTAAGCTGAATTAGGAAGATATTTGGCGAAGCGAAATTTTGGAAAAATTTTTCGATTAATTAACGAGAGTTTATGACTTTTCTGTTTGGTGGTTCGTCATTCAATAAATTTTTTTCCAACAATTCTTTGAAGAGATCGGTGAATCGGTGATTGGTAAATTAATTCCCATTGTACAATATCGTAATTACACTATTCAAAAAAAGTATATCTAATCCTTTAAATCCATAAAAATTTGCAAAGTTTTAACAATAAATATGCAATTTTGTAATTTCTTTTTTATAAGTTAAATTCACATAATTTCAATAATTCAAAGTAAAGTTTTTAATAATTTCTGCCATCAAAAAACCTTAGATTAAATTTCTTCTAGTCCTTATAATGTATATTTTTTTAGTGTTTATTAAGATGAAATGTGGTTTTCAACGTTTACAAAGATTTGAAAAGATTTTGAGTCACTAAGTGCATTGAAGAACATTCAGAGCGAAGGGCTTTTTTGTCGTAGGGTTTCATAGAATCAAAAGTCTTGATAATTATAAGTTTCGTATATTAAAATCGATAAACATAAGAACTTAAAAAACATAAGATAAAATTTTTTGATTCAGAAGTAAAAAATTTATACCAAAATCAAAAGAGAGCTTTTAAATTTTTAGAGATTGAATAGAGATTCGAGGTTTGAGCAAAAGTAGAATTGCAATAGGTTTTTGGCAGAACACAAAGCTTTTGGTACTAAAATGATTACTTTATCATTCAAACTGAGTTATTAGAGTGAAAATTTTGGAAAGTCCTTGAATCATACATTGCGAATTATATGATATTTTAACTAATCAATTTCATCAAAAGATTATTAAAAAATTTTTAGAAAAAATTTGGATATTTGATGAATTATGGCAAAAAACAATCTTTTAAAAAATAATGAAGTTGAAAAGTTTCATTTATAAAAATTATAAATATTTATAAATATTTACTAAATAATTAACAATAATAATTATATTTATTAATAATATTATTAATAATAATATTTATTATTTATTTATATTTATTAATAATCGTTAATATTTATTAGTAATTATTTATTAATTTATCTTTTTTTAATTTATTTATTATATTTTTATTTTTTAATTATTATTATTTATTTCATTTATTTATATTTATTAATTTATTTATAATATTTATTAATAATATTTAATATTTATATTTAATAATTATTTATTTATTAATTTATTATTTATTATTTTATTTATTTATTTATTAATAATAAATATTATTATTATTTAATAAATAATTTAACAATAACCTTGTGGAATGAATGCTCGCTTTTTTTGATATTATTGTGAACACTATTATTTCTCATATTTAACCTTCAAAAAAATTTTTTAAAACTTTAAAACATTTTTTATAAATATATATTTTAAATAAAAATATATTTATGAACATGTATTATTTATTTATTATATTTTATTGCTAATATTGCTTGAAAATTATTAATATTGCGATTTTTAAAATCTTTGTATAAAATTAATTTTTATAAAATTTTTTCCAAAAATATTTTTTAATAAGAAAATATCTGAAAAAATTTTTGAAAGATTATTTAATTAAGCTCGACTACCCTCACTTTTTTTTATTTAATAAATGATATTTTTAATGTAATAATTTAATATATGCCAGGATGCTAAGCCTTTTTATGCCTTGCGGGTCATCTGCATTTCTATTGCCAAGTCTCTGGCAAAAATTTATTGTCGCAATTGCCAACTGCTAATGAAAATGGTATGCGCTACTTTTTTTTAGTCGAATGTTAAACTTTAGAGCCAACTTTCAATTAAAATATGATAAATATCTTATGGTACTATATCTTATCTTATATCTTATAAATATCTTATAGTAATATCTTATCAAAAAATATGCAAAGCAAAAAAAAATATCTGAGTTTTCCTATGCATTCATCGTGATTCTTGTAAAGAACTATGATTCCACGAGTGCTCACTCTTGCTCGTTAGATTCGCTCCAGGCAGATTTTTCAAGGAGTCATTTAGCGTTAGAAATATATCTGTTAGGATTTTTGAAGAAAACAAATTAATTCCTGTCGGGAACAGAACCCAGCAGCGGGACAATCCTATGAAATAGGAACAATAACCAACTGAGCCATTCTGTCCCTTTGTTCAACAACACCGTCGTCCGACGGAGCGCAACACGGATCAAACCTAAGCTGTTCTCGATATAGTCTTCTTACCACTAAGCCATCCACATTGATATAGTTGATATAAATAATCTGAGCGAGTTTTTTTCACTTATAATGTGATAAAAATTTAATTATATCCTCCAGTTAAGTCTATATTTGCTATAATAAAACGTTTTCATGGTCTCAAATTCACATATTTGCATTTGTTTGATGAAAATGACCTGTTAAGTGCCGATTCCATTTATTTTTCAAGCTAATATTTGACCTCTTAAGTGCATATATTATATATACAATAATAATAAAAATGCTATTAGAAATTGAAAATGAAAATTCAAATTGACCTTGATTATAGTTTATATAAAAATTAAAATAAATAAATTTCTAAGAGTGATATGCTTTTTAAATTTCAATTTGTAAAAGGAGAAACGTATAGACGACACGTTAAAAGAATAGTTGAAAACCAATTTTTTCCTTTTTTTTCAATAATACCTCAAGGTCCTTCAGTAAAATTAAGTGATTGAGGGGTCCATTATGCATGCATACATATATAGACAGATAGATTTGTGCATGCTCTCTGATTAACCTTTTCGACTAAATCGCTCGCTCTTCGCATTTTCTCTGTTCAGTACTCCATCCATATCTTTGCCTTGTAAAAATATTGGTCCGCCCAATATTATCTTACTTAAATATTTAAAACAAGATAGAATAATCGTTCGTCATTCGTCACTAGTAGTTAGTCACTAGTAGTACCATCGGTTATGCTTTATAAAACTTTCGTCTTAACAGTTTTTATTCAAATTTCTCTATCGGTACTTCTCGATAATGCTGTTATAGGTGATTTTTTTCATTTATCTTACCATTTTATTCATTGTTAAAAATTAAAAACAGCATTATGATAAGTATTTTCTTCCTTATATGAATCAATCCGAATTTAAATTAGTAAAATGTTAAGATTAATAATAAATAATTACTTACATAAATGTAGCAAAAAATTGAGATAAGCTCATAAGTTGTGAGATGGTAAAAGATAAATTTGAATTTAGGTGTGCCTGAAGTTGATTGCATGGAAGATCGAGTAAAGGTGCTTTTTCATACGGAGAAGCCATTTACTGGTAGAATATTCGTAAAAGGAATGGTGGATAAAAGTCAGTGCGTCAATTCGTTTGATACGAATTCGAAATCGAATGTGCAGTTTGAAATAGCAAATGGAGAATGCAATATGCGACGATCACGGAAGGTATATTTCCATGAAACGGACTCTACAGATGCATATTTGGATTCAGCCATTCCAATTTAACATCTCTAATAATATTAATCTATGTATTTAATGATGAAAATTTGATAAAATGATAAAAATTATAAAAATTTCCTATTTTTTTGTTAAAATCGTCGTTTAGGCTAATCAAAGTGCCGTGTTCATTGTCTTAGAACTGAATTCTTTAAATATTAGAAACCCTCACTTCTCATCTTCATCATAGCCTAAGGTTAAGAAACCCTCTAAAAGTTGTTTCGAGCTTCCAAAAATAAATCTGAAGTTTCTATATTTTATTTAGAATGTTTTAGATATTTTCTTAGATACTATCCTAGTTTTGTACCTAATAATTTAGTTAATTGAAAGTCTAACAGATGTTTTAATTGTATCGTTTAAGTCCTAATTCTCGTATGGATAAGAAATAGAATCATCGACTACAAATAATTACTCTCCTCTACTGGGTAAGTAAAAAAAAAGATAAGTAAGAAAGGGGTTAGCTGAGTTAGCATTTACTATCTGTGATTAAACTAATCCTGCTGGCTGGCAGTACGGTTCGAAATTTTTGCCAGGAATTGAACACTGAAGTATGAATGGACCACTAGCAGTATTCAGGTTCATTTGAGATAGCCGACCGTTGTCTCTCAATAGGACCGTTTCTTGTTATTTGTTTTTTTTTGTCATTGGCTATCATATTTTCATTTCTATAAAAATATTTCCAAGAAAAAAATTGCGCATTTTTTTCATAGAAGGCCATCCACGAAAGAAAAACGGTTTTAGTACTTTTTTATATTTTTAAACTACTATTTTCATGATTGATTCCTATTTATGATTCCTCATAACATTCTTACAAGTTCTCTTTGTTTTTTTTTTAGTTTTAATTGATAATTTTACAATGAAAATAAAATTATCAGTGGTTTTTCAGCTTGGACCTGAACACAAAGGTGTTGAACAGTCGATTGCAATAATCATATCATTTCATAATACATTTATAACAAAAATAGATCGTGCATATCGATGTACATGCTTTTATATGGAAGCTGATAAAGTCGTGACGAATCGATTTGATGTTAGGTTAGCTGCATTTTCTAAATATTCGAAGAACTCATTTTAAACGGATTTTACAGTTTCATTTTCGATATTCATTTTCAAATCTTCGTTTTCTAATACTTTTTCAGTTTTTCACAATTCTTTTGATTCTTTGATTCTCATTTATTTGAAATTTTTACGCGATTTTCTATTTTTTTCCACTTTTTTCGTTTGATTCAAGGCTAATGCTTTTATAAATTTTTATAACTACTTGGAACCCTTTTTCATAAAGAGGCTGTAAAATTCTATAACTCTTCAATTTTTTTAATTTTTGCAATTTTTTTAAAGAGCTAATAAAATTCAATTTGTGCTTTGAATACTTTTTGAGAATCCGCTCCAACTTCCTTTTTTTTCTAAGAGATTTGGTCATCAGGAAAAACTAACTTCTTTGAAGCATGTTGCCAACAACTGATTTGATTGACACGGCTCGAATGCCACTTTGTACGTACACCGTTCGACGTGGTTCGCTTAATGGCGCTGTTGTTACTTATGCTAGCGTTGGCGAACAAGTTTTTCACGTATGGCATTGTGAAAGTGGTTTGTCGTGATTTTAGTTTACTCCGAATGAAATTTTGCAAAAAACTATTGCGAAATTGATAAGATCGTTTCTGTATGTGAATGAATTTTAGATATGTTCTCAATGCTTGTGCATAGTTGCTTCGTTGATGATGGTAATGGAAAAGAAAAGAAGCCACTAATTGACGAATACGGGTTTGTGCATCTTATTCAGACCCTTGAAATGTGCATTTCCCACACTTCTTTCGTTTATCTTTCTGCCATCTTTTCAAAGAATTTATATTTTCATGTGCATTTTAAATTTTTAAAAAAGCTGACTTTTTCACTGTTATTTTTCGCTAAAACTAGACGAAAGTTCATGATGATCGATGCCGATTTATATTGATATGATGCGTGCGCATTTATCAGAAAATCACGAAATCAAATCCGTTTCTTAGCGTCAGCTGGCGTTTTCCAGGAACTTTTATCACCAGTCTTTCTATGTTTTCCATTTCCGATTTTTCCATTTCGATGGCGGTCGATCTCGTTTTCTTTTAAGTTACTTTGGGTTGCACTAGAACTATCTGTTGTCTGTTTCTTAAAAATTTGTTCAATTTATCTCAATTTTTGAATTCTATTTTGTAGTGCTTGTTTTTGAAATCTCGTTTTTCATTGTTTTGTCAATAATAGGATTGTAAATATATATCAAATTTATAATTCCATTAGATATATTTTTTCGATACATTAATTCAAAAAAAGAATAAATATGGCTTTTTTACAGTGGTCCCTTTCTAGGCAAATTTTCGATTCCTAATAAAGATTCATGCTCAATCCAATAGAACAATCCTGGCAATGCTGGGTACTCACTTATATTCCCACTCTCTTAATAACTCGATAGAAAAATTTCTTATCGTTCTAATAGCCAGTAGAGCCAAACTTAATAGGCACTAATCGCAAATATTCATTACCAATGATATGAGAAATACTCTCTTCTTAAAAATCTTAAAATATCGTAAACCTTGAATCTTGCCTTATTCGCAAGAATGATTATTTTCTAGCTGATAAGTAGCAGCAGATCAAATATTTTCTATTATAGTAAAAATTTTACAGTTGTGCAATTGAGCCAACAATTGTACCCGATATAACATACAATGATGCGAATAACTTGGCATTTTCTGAAATAAACATATTCAAATTTGCTGATAAAGTTACAACATATTTTCAATGTGCTGTATCTACGTGTATGAAATCAGAAGGCATGTGTGTCGGTAAAACGGTGATTTTTTTGCTAATTTTAATTATTTTATTAAAAAAGAAAATTTTTAGAAAGGCCTTTCAAAAATTGTTGGTCGATGATAGATAATCATTTCAACGAATCTCATTCGATGCAATTTTTGTTGCATAAAAGGCCATCGCTTTTATATAATGATTATTATTACGAATTATTTCTTAAAAGGTATAAAATTTAGTTCGAAACAAAGAAATATTTGTTAGGTTACACAGTAATAGGTGAAATTTTTTTAATTTGAGTTTTAGGCGAAAAAATTGATGCTAAATTGCTTACCATAATAGGAAAAATTTGTTCATAAAGCAATAAATTGTTTTTATCAGTGAATTCATATAATACCATAACGCTGTTGATGAGATTTATGATGAATTATCGATTAGCACTACCATTTACTTATCACTTATCATTATATATATCACTTATCATTATATATATCAGCTTTGCTATATGTTATGAACATATATGAACGCAAATCCAGCTAATCTAATGTTATTATGTGTTATGCAAGAAAATCGTAAAATAAAGAATTGTTTCGAAATCTTATTAAATTTCATTATAGTTTTGTTGCAAGAGAATTTTTCATAAATATATTTGTAACGAAAATAATTTTAACAATTTTCAGCCTCCTCGCTGTGGAAATAATATACAAAAAAGGGAGGAGAAAATTGATGAAACATATGATAGGCATCGATTTGCCCGTCATGTAAATAAGCCTATCAATAAATCTGAACAAATAGTTGACGATCAGAATACAATGGATTTATCTACTGATAAAATTATAGTGCTGGATTTAGATGAGGAACGACCGGGAAAGGAATCGTTCACTGCTTCCAAGTTAATGGTAGAAGTTTGTTTTTTCTTCCAAAAGTTTCTTACCATTATTGTTTTGGGTGGCTTTATTTGCTAAGACGCTTCCAAGCCGGTCGACCCGCTACCATATCTGAAAGTCACAGGAGCCACTTCTTCTAATCTAAGCCTGTCATACATCCTTCCTGGCTGTGTTAGCACAGGTCTTGATTGCTCCTAGCTTATCACTGGGCTTATCAGGTTGCGAGATATGTATCAATTCTTACGATGGGCTGCAAACAACATAGCCTAACAAGCTTAGATGATGCTGTATGATGATATTCTTAATGCAAATGATATTTAAGCGAAGCGAAGGTGAATGCAATCGCGTGGGATTTTATCCGCCCAGTAGGCATATCAAATGAACCTTGTATTATGTGGTAGATTTGTAATATCCTCCACTCTCATTCACTCTTATATGTTTCGTAGTTACTAACTTGAGAATATGGTCTAGTCCTTGAATATTCGGTCTGCACCTAATCTGAATTCAACTTGGTGCGTACGGTCTAATGCTGCCATAAATCTATTCAGCAAGAGGAAAGTGAAAATTTTCTGGGAAATATTTAGTAGAAATTTTTATTCAGTAGATTCTTCAATAGTTGTCAATAATTGATAGTATGCTACTATTGTCCCTGAAGATTGGAAGCAAGATGATGAATTGTAAATAAAAAGAAATTGGGCAGCACTTAGAGGTTTCGGTCTAAAAACCGCCTTCCCTGAGAATTTTATCAAAAATATTGCAAACTTCTGAATTACTAAGATTATCTCTTTTGAAATTATTTCTTTCTTTATATATATATATTTCTTTCTTTATACTGCAGCTCGCAGTAGCAAACGTACTACTTGCTAAGCGTTTCAGCTTTTGTCTAGAATGATAATTTTTTTTCAAAGAGTTTTTGCCATTACTGGTTAAACTCGCTTCGCTGGTTTGTCGAATTGGACAAATATGCCAGAAAGTCCCTTGGCGATAGAAATACAAGTGAATCGCCAGCATCCCAGATTTTTGGAGAGTTTTACTCAGGGAATAGAATCTTAGTATCGGCGTTCCGAACTGAGCAACAACCCATTAAACCATGCTATCCCCCCTATAATGATAGATTGCTGATCATAATTAAGTTTAGCCTCAGAGATCGTTGCAAAATATGTTGTTAAAGGCATAGAATTGGGAACTGAAGTAGATAAGGTTTAGGCAATTGCAACCACCTTTTTACCATGTGTTATTCACATAAAGTTCTGAAATTTTCTGAAAAGTTCTGAAAAAATATGAAATTTTCAGGATTTTGATAATGCAGCAAATGATTTCTTCCTACTAATACCTCAAGATAAGCAAATATGTTTTAACGTTATGTTCGCCGTATTATTCACATCCATTTGTGGATTTTTGATCTTAACAGCGATATTACTAATTAGTTTAATATTATTAAAAAAATATAAAATTAAAAGCAAATTGGAATGTTAATTTAAAAAGTGAAAAAGGTGAGCAATTTGTGAAAATTCATTCTCTTGATTTTGCATAAAAAGAAAACTAATTTTAAAAAGCTAATTTTCTCTAACCATTTCTGGTTAGGCTTATTCTGCTGATTTATTAGAACCAGACCAGACAAATCTTGCCAAGGAATCATTTGGCGATATGAAGCACCATTTTTAAAAGATACACGTTTAGGCTTACTCCCGCTAGGGAATGGAAATCCAGCATCGACGCTTCAATGTGAAATCAGCATCCCACCGAGCTATTTTTCCTCTCAAAATTAACTTTAGAATATTTCAAATATTTTTACAAATTTGTATTTTCAGCTTCACAAAATTAATGCTTTTAATTAAATCAAAATATGGTTCGAGTAAATCAAAATTTAAAAATTTAAAAATTTATTTGAATTTTTCTTTAAAATTATTTTTGATGAAACATTTAATGAATAAATGAATTTTATTAATTAATAAACCTTGTTAATTAATTCTACGTGAAATGTAAATCAATTTAGAGACCGTTAAATAAAAAAGGTAATGAAAAGTATGTTTCGATTTCAACAAAAAACAGAAGTTTTCAAGCAAGCAAATTCTTAAGATACAATCAAATTTCTAAATAAATTTGTTCGAGCCTCAGCAGAATCAGAAACATTTGAAAAACATTTGAAAAACATTACAAGCGACCATTGGTGGCAAATTCTAATTGCAGTTTCATTCGTTCAGAATTTTATCATATGTTAAAATGTTCAAGAAAAATGGAAATATTTAAATAAAAATCCAGCAATTTTTTGTCTCTGAATTTTCTCAAAATTATAAATCTAAAATTTTCAAAGTCGAGATTGGAGATGACTCACATCACCCACATGAGGTGGAGATTTTTCTTTTTTATAAATTTAAATTATTCATATTCATATATATGTATAATACGCAGTTTTATGTAACGAAAGCGAAATTGATAAAATAACACTGGTTCCACTGGCTATAAAGATGAAGCATTTCCAGGCCTGCGCCTGCTGAATCTGAAAGTAACACATTCTTTTCCCCACGTTCTAAGTCTCTATATTACTGGACCATATATCGTTCAAAATCTCACAACGCCATTTCATATCTTTGCTCTTGTAAGTGTCACTGTCGTGTCACAGTTTCTAACTCCATCCATAGTAAAACTCAAGAATATAACGAAATATGATTTTAATTCCTGAAATAGATGACAAGGAATATTCCTTGGGAAAAGTGACCATGTGTAGATGGCTTCATGGCGTCTACCACTCATCCTGGCCATGTTTCACTGCCATATAGCATATAATGAAAAATGTTATAAAAGAACAAAAATGACTAGCATTTAACACCTTCCAAGCAAGTTAAACTGACCCTAAAATTGCAAATTGGCAAAAAGTAGCACCGTAATAAACTATTTTTCCAAATTGATGTTTTCATAATACTTTCTTTTTCAACAGAGCCTCCTTAGCTCAGTCGGTAGAGCATCAGACTTTTAATCTGAGGGTCGTGGGTTCAAGTCCCACAGGGGGCGGCGCAGTTTTGAACGAGTGTTTGACACGAGGGAATAGTTTAGTCATCCTTTCAACGAAGGTTTATTTTGTACTTAATTTATGTGGTGGATTTAAAATAGTAGTAGACTATTATTTTCATTTGCATAGCGAAAAGAGTTCGCACGTTTTGGTTACTGCGTAGCCCTTCTAATTAGATTCAGTTAGTTGTTGGTTTGTTGGTTCTCTGGAGTTCTTTATTTGGCGGCCGAAACGTAGGATGGACGCCAGTGTGTTTTTTTAATGGTGGGCTCCTGTCCGAGCCAAAAGCTGAACAACTGACTCTCAAGACGCCAGTCTACTAACCACTGGGTTATGTTGCCTCCTAAAAGAATCACTCTTCACTCATCACTGATAAATCAAATTATGACTTTTTTTTTTTATTTTGCTTCCATATAAATAAAATATGGCTTAAAATAAAGCTCAGTGATCTGTTGTTTTCGGGGAGCCGATGCTGTGGTTTTAATTTTGAGAGGGTAAATCTTTTCTGATCTTTTCTGTTGCCACCAAATGACTGACAAAATTTATTAGCGGTGCGAGTTTTAATATAATCGTAATTGTGAGCCTAAAAAGGATGAACTTTTAAAAAACGATACCTAAGTTGCAAGGAAGCCATTTCATTTTTTTTTAAAAGTTTTAAAATTTAAAAGGTAAAATTTTAAAAAATTTTTTTGTAATTTTTTATAATTAAAATTTTTTATATTTTTTATAAAATACAAATTTTTTAAAATAGTTTTTTTAAAAATAACCAATCATTATAACCAATACAGTTAATAACCACTAATCACCAGTACAAAAAACTTAGATAGAACTTAGTGTTAAAAATTTGTTTCTCTATGTAAATGTTATTATTCCATTTAACCCTTTTAAATCTTTCCTTGTAAATATTGTGCTTTCTTTCATGGGTTCATGAGATTTTTTCACTGGATCCGTCCACCATGCTGCCTCACCTTGTCCAACAAAGGTAAAAAACCCCGTCGTAGAAATTATAACGCAGCAAATTATTAGTAACAAGATAGACCTGAAAAATTTTTTCATAGAATATTCGAAAAATTAGGAAATTATTTTGATCTAGTGTTAGTGGCCCAAAATCTGTGACCAAAAAAATTTCCAAAATTTTCGAATTTTCAAAAAATTATGGCGTCCTTGCGATTTGAACTAATAGACATCGATAATTTCTTTTCTTTTTCTATAGGTTTCTTTTTTATGCTGAAATTTTAATATCTTTTATTGTACCTCAAATTTAAATTAGTTTTCATTACTCTAAATATCTTTTACTAAAAATAAGGCTTTCATGTAGTTAGTTGGCAATTTCACTTAAAATTTTACTATTTTAAAATATTATATCAAGGCGAATTATCTACTGAAATATGTCAGAAATGCAATAGTACCACTGTTGTCGAGTATGATCTGGTGCAATAAAATTCACAAAATATGGAAGTATCAATAGTGACAAACTATTTTCAAATGATATTACTGCGAAAATAAAATGCGCATGTTGTCGGGCAACCTGAATATTGTTGGTTTGATTAGTTTACAGTTTTGTCTACGAGCTCTTTTTGGTTAAGATTTCCTTTGGACTCAACAAGTCATCACCAAGATTTTTTTGAAAGACAGGTACTCAAGCAAAAAAAAAAAAAAGAACTAGAACTTAGAACTTTAGCATCGGCTTAACAATTCATTAAACCATCTCCTAATGAGATTTCATGAAATGAATTCAACTCTTTCTATTTAATAAATCTATTAATACAATATTATAATGGCAGTTCTCGGCTATTATTGGAAAAATAAAAGAATGAAAGACTTACAAGAGCGCCGCTTTTAACCGCACCAACCCACATCATTCCACTAAATGCCACAGTGGCTATATAAGAAATTAAACCTAAGATAACTCGTTCCTCTGGTGTTATGGCAAGTAGGATGAACGATATTACCATCATTCCTTATATATATATATATATATATATTGAAAAGTATATCATTGAATAAATAAATATATTAGAAACTAATTTTAAAATAAAGTAAAAATTTACAATTTTAAACTTCGAGCTAAAATAAAAGAATAAGGTTAAAAAAATTTAAAAATAGAAATTATCTATAGTTTGCCTGCGGTAACAAATATTTTGCGTAATTGTGTATTATAATTTTTTCCAAAGTGTTACCCACGAGAGAGCAAATTTTATGAAATAATAGGTGAATCCCAGAATAAAGGCTAAAAATAAAATTTACCTTGTGATATAATTGTAAAAAGTTTCACTTTAATCGTAAGTGGTATACAATGTAGCAAATCACTTAATGGGCCGATTAGCACTTTTATAATGCACGATGTTAGATTCGATAACGCTGTTAAAAAGCCTATATTTTTTATTTCATAATTTAATACCTAAAAATAAATTCTTGAATTGAAAGAAATCTACTAAAATTATCACATTTTCTATTTATAAACTTATGGAAATAGTAGTAAAATAGTAAAAAAGAAGACTTTGTCAAGGTATGTCGGCCCATATTGTACAAATAATTGATAGCCAAAAGTACCACCAAGACAGCAAATCCATACGCCCCATATTGGTAAACTTTTAAGAATGTTCATGTATGGCACAACATCCTTTTTGCCTGTCAAAACTTTTCCTTTTTCAAGTATTTGTAGTTCCTTCGCGCTAACACAACTATAATAAGATAGAACTAGAAAATGAGCCAATTTTCAAATTTTCACGATATCAGTTTTTTCAAAAAAATCTCTTAGGCTATGTGGATTATATTAAAAGTTTTATGAGTTTTTGATATTCCATGTTTTAATATATTCTTAATTTAATGTACTTTTTAATTAACCTAATTTGATAAGAATCTATTAAGAATCTTTCAAAAGTTATGAAAAATTTGAAAAATTAAGGATTTAAGGAAATTTTAAAAAAATACCTGTGAATTCTTGGTGTATCTCTAAATATCAAAAAGAATATAAAAAATGAAATCAGTGTTAATGATCCTTGTAAATAATAAACTCCCTTCCATCCAAACGACGATGAACAAAATTCACCAGCCAAAGGCATGGAAAACATTGGTCCAATCTGAAAATCAGGCAAATATAAATTCCTTATAACCCCTTGTAAATACAATAATTGTATTACAATTGTATTACAATAATACAATTGTATTTATAATTCCTTCATTTGATTGTGACTTATGATTACGGGAGTTAAGAAAGAAAAAATAGTTTGTCATTTGTGAAAAATCCGATCTAAATATGTTTGAAAAAATTCTCGTCTTTAAATTTATTTATTTCATTCATCATTAATTATTAGTATTAGGGTATTCTATCTTTTAAATTAAGCGCTAATTTGCAGTAATTTTAATAGTATTTCAACGTCGTACTTATATGCTATTAAGTAAATGAACCTGCAAATTGCATGACATCCATGCAGTAAACATGCCAGTGAATTTTAATGATGACCAGTTACTCGATATATTTGCAATCACTGGAAAATTCACTGCCAAAGCAAATCCCTACAAATAACTTTCAAGATAAATCAAAATAAACCGAGAAAATATTTCAGCCTGACAATTTTTATCTAGAATCTACCCAGAAAGAAAAGTGAGGAAAAGATTATCGTTCTTCAAAACTCAATCATTATCCAACACAGAATTTCCCGAACTACATTCCACAAAGAATTATCTCCATTTTCTATTATTCTATTCGAACTAAAGTACAACAGTTCAATTTTTTTAAATTTTTTCTTCTTTAATTTTTATTTATTTTTTATTTTTATTTTTATCTGCATTTGCGTTATTGCGTTTTTGGGGCACAATATTTATTTGGTTTGAGAATCCGAACAATCAGGAATTCAATTCAAATGCCCCATGCTGAAAAAGTTTGGGAAAGTTTATCTAACATTCGATCCCCTTCTTTTTATTCGTACGAACAAATATTTCATAATATAATGAACAAGCACTTGAAGGAATCTCATCACAAAAAGAAGCCAGAAGTTGACCGAAGCGAATAAAGGTATGAGCGATGTTGACAGGCCAGATATTAGCCCGTATATCGTGAAAATATTTCTGGAAATATTTAGCATTATTATTTCGAGAATTTTTATGAGCGACAATTCGAGTGCTTCATAATTTTATAATCAAACTGTACACCTAATGCTTGAGCGATTTACCAATAATAGAAAAGGATATGTGCCCACAATAGAACCAATCGCAATGGCCGAAAATAAAAGGCTTTGTTGATAATTGGTGTAACCGCCAATCTTCGCTTCGTAATAGATATCTCCTTCAAAGCGAATTCAATAAATCTTCAGAAAAAATCTGAACAAATATTTATAGAAAACCTCATTACGCAAATCGGTGAGTCTTTGATATTCAAATACATTTTTTCTATACAAAGCTAGGAGACTCCATCGATTTATTCCTGTGGTGGCTATATGAGAATAAAAAATTAATATTTCCATGTATCTTCGGGGCATAAGTTTCAAAAGGTATTGAAACACCTTCTCTGAAACCGAATTATTAGGACTGAAGTGAAATATTCATGTCTTGGCATATCTTATTTTTTCAGCCAACTTTTACCTTTTAGAACAAAAAATAAACATCTTTTTTCACCAAAATGAAATTTTGAAAAAAACGAAAGAAGAAAATTTAGTTATAACTAACCAGTTTGTTTATCGAAATCATCGCTGTGATTTTTGTACGTTGAATGATCATTATTCATGCAAATTATCGTAAAATTAAGGAGTATAGAATTACCCATTAGCCAGGCTAAGCATATTACTGATATAACAAATATAAAATAACGTGTTCGATTAAAAAATGTGAAACGTGGAATTTTAGGAAAGTTAAGAAGAAGCTTCCTCAAAATCTCTGAATTCTCTTGGCGATTTATTACGTCTATAGTCATTTCTAAAAAGAAAAATGATTCAATTTGCAGATCTTAAAAAGCCAATTTTACCAATTTCATAAGGCCAATGAAAATAATTTGAATTACGACCAGAAATTTTTAAAATGCTTGAGGAAAATTTATTATGAAGGGCCGGTAAAAATTTTTGAAAGGTACAATATTAATATCTTTTTTCCATAAATTCTGAGCAAAGCTGAAAGAAGCATTTCCATGCTATCAACTTTGATACAATTTTGAGAAATTCGCTTATTTTATCACATCAATTATCAAAAAATTGAAAATAAATGATTTTTTTGATCCATAATTATAGTCTAAGCATCAAACAGATGTAAATTTTGAATGACCACCAATAAACGATATTATTTTGGCCAGAATTCTTGAAAAATTAACAACGCAAAGTTTCTGTTGTGATTAATATTTGTTAGTTAAAACAATGTTAAAAAAGATTCCACAATTTTTGCAAATTATCAATTTTTTTCCAAATTGCTTTATTAAGTAAAACTTTGGAAAAGATTTGATAAACATTTATTTACTTTAACTTAAACTATAATTATGCAAAAGTAAATCGAGCAGTCACAGCATTTTTCTTTAGATACTGTCAACCCAACTATTAATTTTACAAAAAATTTTGCAAGTGTGCAAAAAGTTTCCAGAGAATCATCGGCAGTTGCACCTGGAAATACAGATGAGTTCTGATGATAACCGGGCTTTTCAAAGGCAGGTTTGTAGGGTCACTGATAGTAGCGGCGATAAGCAACAAATGAGCTACAAGTGATACAAATAAGCTACAATAAAATTACAATAAATGGGAAAAGAAATAATTGCAAAAAAACAACAAAAAATAAGAAAGAAATAAAAGAAATAATTTAGAAACAAGAAATAATAAATAATTATTTAAATAAAATAATAATTTAAATAATTCGATTATAATTATTCATCAGTCAAAATCTGGAGTCCCATGATAATAGAAAATAGAAGGTTCCCCCGCAGTAAAATAAAGGATAGTAGCGTTTAGTAGAGAATAGAGAGGTCCAATTGCTGAATCGTCAGTTAATTAATCGTTTGGATTAAATTTATTTAATCACATCAATTTCGATTCAGAATAATTTAATCTGATTATTAGTTACAGTTTTATTTGGTTTCATCAATTATTATGAATAAGCTTAAAGATCGACGCTTCCAGTGGCAATAAGCTGTTCTTAAATCGAGTTGCAAGCGCTAATGTTCTGCTCCACAATCTCTTCGTCTACATTAACTACATTAATCGGAATCATTAATTAATTACTGGAACAAATTATCTAGCCGTATTGTTCTTGCTCCAGTTGTCTCTACCTTAGAAAAGAGATTAAAGTATAGTTGTTTGGTATGCTTGTAATAAATTGAACAAGCACAAAGCATTTCACAGGCCTTCTTGGCTGTTTTGTTGAATAAACTTATAACGTATCGTTTATATCATTATCATTGGTATTTTTATTATCAGCTTTGTTATCATTATTATTTACTACTAATATCCTCATTATTATTGTTGTTATTGTTATTACTACTATTATTAACTAATTATTATTGCCATATTTATTATCATTATTTATTTAATTATAAACCAAACAGGACATAAAATCATACACTGGAGTTAGTGATAATAAATAAGGACAGAACAGATAGATAGTGATAAAAATGGACAAAAAAATAAAAATAATAATAATACAATAATAACAAATAAAAAATAAAATGAAAAACAAAAATAAACAGAAAATACAATATTTACTAGATCGAGATTGCAAATTTTCATTTTATATTGTAGATGAGCTTGTCGAAATTCTTTTAAAATAAGAGATATGTGGGGTAAGAACAAGATCGAGTGGTAATTTGTTCCAGCAACTAATACTTCGAAGGAAAAAAACTCTGCAACAGGACTATGCGACATGTTTGGTCCTATAAATAGGCTGGCTCATCTTCAATCCATCTCTGGTGCCGTTTAAATTCAAGTTGAAGTTATACTAACAGAATAGCTTACGCAGGTATGACCGAATAAAATCTTGTGGTAATCAGATCTTGTTTAATTCTTCTTTTAGTTGTCTTATTGTTTAACTTTAATTTATTTTTATAAGTAGAAGAGAAGAGAGGATTGTACTTCTATAGGCTCTCGTTTGACTTATTTTGCCATATCTTTAACTATATTTGATTTGCTCTATGATAAATAAGGCTGGATAAATGTTTCATATTTTAAATAGGAAATTTTTTTCCATTTATTTCTGAAAATTCTAAGCATAAGACTCAAAATTCTACAGGGTTTTTCAGCAACCTAACTATTCCGTAGGTCGAAGCAAAATTTCTCATCAAAATTCATCGACCAAGCTCTGAAAAATTAGGCGAATTCTAAGCGAAAGAATTCTTTATAAATTCATAAGTTCATAAAATTCATAAAATACTGAAAAAGGAAATGAAGCAAAATGAAGTAGAAAATATAACACATTTGCAAAAGATTTTTCGAAATTCAAAAGATTGTAATAAAGTAAACTAATAGAAATAGTAAAACAAGTGGAAAAGAAAAAAAATGATAAAGGAAAATCCATCTAGGTGGGACATTTAAGTAGTTAGGCTGGATTTACCACACGCTCGGCGACTGTGGATTCTACAGCTTTATGTTAATAAATACAAAAAATAAAAATAAAGTGATTAAAAGGAAAAAAGCATTATATAAGCTGAAATTCTTTTTCACTTTTATACCTTTAAGATATTTTTATCGAATCCTCAATTTAGCAAATAATTATATTTCAAATTATACATTTTATAAATAAATATTCTGAACTATATTATAAATTATGAAAAAAATATTGCATGAATTACAAATATAATGAAATACAAACAAAAAAAATTATAAATATTATGGATTATAAATATTTATAAATAAAAATAAAATGAATTAAATAAATGTAAATATACGAGTCAATTGCAAAGAAAATGAAAAATATCTGATAACTGACAAAAATTGACAAAACAATTGAATATTTCCTGAAATAGTAAAATTAAAATTTAAATGACGAAAAAAATGAAATGAAATCGAGTTTCCAATAATTTGGCCTATTTATGCAAATGAAATTTACAACACTCAAATGAAATTGAAAATTTCTGTTAGACTGATTAATGTAAATGCAATATTTTGTATTTTCAAATGGATTATAGAAATCTATTTTTTAACGACATCGCTTAATCTCTAATTGATTTGAATTATTATAAATATATTATTTATTAACTGAAAGATTTATCGAGTAATGATGATTGATCAAATAAAAAGAGCACCTCGGAAGGTCAACTAAATCTAAATCTAGGCTGGCATTTATGGCTCAAAAGTAGACGCTCAGAAGAAATGGTTCATTGGCTCACTTTGTATTGCGATAATTGCAAGGCTCGGATTATTTGCCTTAAATGAATTTGAATTTGCTATTGCAAAGCAACAATGTGTGGAATATGCCTTTATAGCAAGAAAATTGAACTATCTTTAAATAAGTAAAGTTCCACATAATTTTATAAGCTTCTGTTCTATGATTCTTATTCAAAATACTCGTTTGGAGCTGGTATACTGGTACACTTATTGAAGATAATTTAGATTTTCATTAAGGCCTATGGTTATCCTTTAAAAATGCGTACTCTCAAAAATAAATTTGAAAATACAGTTGCTGAAATTTCTAAAATACAATGCAAGATTTTCAAGAAATTTGTCCAAGGTTTATTGTCCCAGTTGTTTTATGCCAAATAAGTTAAACTTGAAGGACTAATAGAAGCTTTCGTTGTATCGCTTGAATTCTTATATATGTAAATATTGTATGGTTTAGAAAATTTAAAAAATCCAAAAATAAAACAGGATTTGATAGGCATTTATAAAAATATTATCAGAATTATTAACTGTAACTGTAGTAAACATAAACAATTTTAGCTTAAGCACTATCATAGATCGAATTAATAGATCGAAATTCTTTAATCTAAATTAATCTGTTTAATTCAGTGAAATAATTACTGGCTAAAATGTCCAAGGACATTGGTTCCTCTGGTGCCTTGGTGCCACTGAAATGAGATTAATGAGATGAGAATTGTATCAGATGGATATTGGATCAGTTTAGATTAATTATTTATTTTTATCGCTATTTCAATATTTCGTTTTTTTTCCAAATCCACTGCTATACTATTATAATATTATTTTATGATTGCTGGTTCTTACTGATGTAGAAAAGAATTAATTATTAGAATTAATTATTAATTAATTAAAGCAGCATATCCTATTAAGAACCCCGTAATTTTTTGCGTAAAATTTAGGTAAAATTTCAAAACATCCAAAGATTTTCAGAATCCATATAAAAATAAAAGAATAAAACGTCATGTATATCGTAATAAATGGAATAATCTTTGCCCAGATCTAAGTAGATCAATTGTGAAATTATTCGAACAAAACTTGAAACAAATGTCTAAAATCGAAATTGTTTCGATTGAGGAGAAACCACGCTGGCCCAATGGTATATTGCTTCAACTAAGGCCAAGATATTACAACTGTGATTCCTATTTCCAGGCAAATACAAATATGTCGTTAAAAATTCATGTGATGTTGAGAATCTATTCGCACTTAAAAAAAAGGCTCGCTGAGGAAAGAGCCCTTATTCTAATAGTAATAAATGAAATAGCCAAATGAGAGCTGGTGAATGCTCCTAGAATATCAATATAATATAAATAAATATAAAAATAAATATAAAATTATAAATAAAATTAACATTGGCAAGAGAATTCTTATTATATAACACCTCACACCACCGCTGGTCAAAGCTTCTTCTGGCTAGTAGGGTGTGGGGAAATGAAAAATTTTTCAGCTTAATAATATAAATAATAAATAATAATAAATAATAAATAATAATATAAATAATGATCGTAAAAATGGAAAATGGAAAATGGACTAGCAGTTAGCTTGCCTTGTCAATAAATTAATTACCGATCAATCAAGGGCCATCGAAGAAAAGAACGTTGACAAGGCAGTTTTTATAAGCTCAAAGTGCGTCGTAGTTTAGTGGCATGCTAAAATAGCGAATCAGCAAAAAAGATTCAAATATATATAAAGATGATGACACTCGGAAAGAAAACGAAAGGAAAGTTGGTCAAGGGCCAATGGAGTACGAAAATTGCAAAAATATGATGTCGACGAATGGAGCAGTGAAGAAATAAAATGAACTCAAAGTAGTGAGAACGAACTTACTCCAACGTACTTTTTCATTTCGCGTCAGCATGCAAGTTCCGCAAAATGATAAGGAATCTTATGCTGTACATTAATTTTTACGATTTTTTGTTATTTCAGCCTTTAGATAAATTCATAATTTCATATGCATCTTTAATGTCAAAAAAGTATCCTTTAATTATTGCGCTTATCGCTTAAGATTAAAACGACCTTGCAAATAGTAAATTCTTTTCCATCCAAGCAATGGAGATCAAAATTTCCCAGCCAGAGTGATCGAAAATATTGGCGCAAACTGAAAATAAGAACATTTAAATAAGAACTGCTAACATTTAGAATTTTTTCCATGAAATGGAATTTTTGTTATAATTAAAAACAAAAAATGAAGTGAAAAATAAAAATTTCAAAAGCTCATAAATGATAAAATGCTATTCGAGAAAATACTGCCCTTCTCTACAAATTCATTTACTAGCGCCATTATTGTTTACGCAATGTGATATTAGCGAATCCCTGGCAAAATTTGCCTGCAGACAAACCAACCTAATTGCAAATGGCAACCAACCTAATTGCAAATTGCAAAGAGAAATGCTCTTACGAAAAAATATTTTTTAGTAAATTTCTCTTTTTCGATACTGATTTGCATGATCAATTACTCATATATTAGGAATCATTAGAAAATTTACTGCCAAGTCAGATCCATAACTTTTTCAGTAAGTTAGCTTTTTCAGATTACATTGGCTATCAAAATTTGATCGGATGATAATTATTTTTCTGTTCAAAATGTTTAGTAGAGAAAATGGTAAAAAAACTTCAAACAAATCATTTAATTCTTTGCATCTATTCAGTCATATCAATCATTCCAGTCTCGTCTTAAGTAAAGGCTAAAGTAAGTTTTAACTGCCTTACCTGTCTTAACTTAAAGGATTCTCAGGAACTGCCTGAGGAAAATAACGATATAAGTCGTTGATAAGTCAAGTCGTATTAAGCCGTACCGAGTATTTCATTTTATATTGTAATAGTGGCAGAACTTTGGGCTTCGAAAAAAACAAACTAAACCCAGTGTATGAGCGATTTATCAAAAATAGTAAGAGATATCCAGTCGCAAGAAATGAATCATAACGGTTGAACATAAAAAGCCTTTATGATGAATGGTGTAGCGAGAGATTCCAGTCCTTGCTTTGTGAGAAACAATTCACTCAAAATTGGACATCAGTCTTTAGAAAAAATCTTAACCAACATATTTATGGAAAAATCTTAAAATCTTATTGTGCAAGACAAAAAAGATAGGCAAATTCTTGGTGCTTCTTGGTGCTTTTTGTTTATTTAGGTGTGCTTTTTTCTTAGAAGGGTAGAGAGAAGGATTTAGCCGTTTCTTCTGTTTGAGCAAAAATTTAAAATATTAGAATGAAACTGAAACGTCAAAGGCATTTCAGAAGAATTATTGCATTCAGTGCCTTTTCCACTAAAACATTGCCAGAGAAATAGAACATTTTTTACAATTCCAATTTTAAAACAAAAAGCGAATCGGATTTCGAAAGAAACAAGAAGAAAATTGTGGACAAACACCATAAGAAAAAACTGACCACAGTTAACCAGCCTCTATTATCAGTCAGCAGCTTCTTCCACAGCCATTAATTTGGCTGACCGCGCTAGTGACTATAAGCCTCCTGATTTTTACCTCCCACCCACGCCAAAAATAACTGAAATCAACTCTATGCATGAACTCCTTCGAGCGATGAACATTGATTCTAAACAGCGTAGGCGACAAGGTGGCAGATTAACGACTGAATACTATCATCTGAGCATCATCTTCCTTATATCTTCCTTTTCTCACTGACAGCCGTTTAAGAAAACAGTCAAATACGTGAAATTTAGTTTTAAGCTTATTTTTTTCCCACCGATTCTATAAAGAAATAATAATTTTTTTGGCAGTTAAACACAAAGTTCTTAAAGGTTACAATGTTTTATTCTCACTTACAAAGAAATCAAAGTTGTTTTCTTAACATTATTCGGTTATTTTGAATTATGTTGCTTTACTACAAAAAATTTGATGGTGCATCGAAGGCTCAGTGGGTAATTGCTAACAAGAAAAGCAAAGGAGAGTAGAATGGCTCAGTGGGTTGTTGGTCAATTTGGAGCACAGTTTGATGCTGAAGTTCTACTCCGGATAGGAGTACAATCTCGACGAGATTGTCTAAGAATCCGGATTATGTTGGCGATTCATCGGTACTTCTATTGCCAAAGGATTCCCTGGCATATTGGTCCACTCGATAAGCTAATGGAGGGAGTCTAACTTTTAATGGTCTATACAAGTTAAGCAAGTTTATCAAGTTTTTTATCAATCAATTTTTATCAGTTTCAAACACCTTGAATAGACCATATTGCTCTTTGCAGAATCTACTGGGCTTGGCAAATAAGAAATATTCATTGATTGGCGCCAGAAACAACTCAATTCGTTAATTTCACCAATACAATACAAGAAATTTTAGATTTTATAGGTGGAGAAACTTTCTTATACCTCCTGGAATCATTAAGCAATCACCATAAAAATAACTTTAGACCCCAAAATCTGCTTGGTACAAAATCTTGTTATAGGGTTATTAATTTTAGCTAGTTGAGGATTCTGGAAGAAGTGGAAGATTGCATCGCCATAATATTGCACCTATATTGGCTGGCCTTCATCGCCGAACAAATGCAATTAATAAATATTTCCGAAAGTAATAAATGACCTCAAAAACTCAGAAATGGTCTAAGGTCCAGAATGATTGATAAGGCCTGGAGAAGAAAGACATGGTCCACGCAGCTATGTATGTAATTAGATGAAAGTGGATTATGATTTCGCATTTGGTTCAGCGACCTTAGCAGAATGTTCAGGACAGTTCAATCTAAACAAAGTGCATAGAGCTTTGATTGAAACTACCTGCCATTTTTATTGGTATTTTCATTTTACTGATTATTTGCAGCGAATTATACTTCATAAATTAGTTTGTTTTTTCTTAGGACTTGTAAGAGATTTCACCATTGCTGACTGGGCTTATTCGGCTGATCTGTCGGACCAAACGACTTTTGTCACGGGCAGTAGAAGTAGAGGTGAGCCATCCGGACATCATCTGGAGTTTCGAAGGTTTATTCATGCCGGATACACAACCTCAGCATTGATGTTGATGCTACGCTCCAAATTGAGCAGTGACCCGCTAAGCCATCCTAGCTCCTTTTACTTCCGGTGAAGCTTGAATTTGAACTATCATTCTCGATTTTCGGTGGTAGTCCTCTTGTCATTAAGACAACACTTTTATAATCAGAAATTTTAGAAATTTACGTTTACAATCTACTTTGTCAGTTGTGACTTAGAACTCAGAACTATCGGAAGCAAAATTCTCAGCCTATAACTCTAATTTGATATATTCCAGATATTTTATATCGTAATATTTTCAAAGGTTCAAAGATAATGAGGCTGAGCAGATGTCAAAACCCTTTCCTCATCTAATTCAGTTACTCTGAATTATTTTCAAGAATAACTCATCGTCACATATTACTATTTCATGGTTCCACAGTTAAAATTGCAAGAAAAATAAAAAAATAAACAAATAAACGCAACTTGCGGCGATTAATATTTCTTAGCAATAAGTAAGCAAAAATATAAATAAATCATATGAGTTTTGTTGGGTTCATAACTGAACAACTGTAAATTTTTTTAGTTCACCATTGATTAGTTTAATTCTTATACACCTTTCCATATATCATCATTTCCCGCAAGTTTTTTTCCCCTTCCCCTTAAATTTATCTTATTTAATTTCCCATTTATTATTATTCATTAATATTTTTTTCCATCCGAATTCAATGATTTTTTTTTTCATATATATATATATTAGATTTTGACTTTAAATTTTCTTCAACCACTCATTGAATTTCATTTAATCGCGATTCAACAGAAAAAAAGCCAACAATGAAGTTATTATATGGGTCAGAATCGCAAAAACCAATTTATTATATAAACAATTTATTCATCGAACAGATTTGCATAAATCAAAAAATTGACTGACTTGCCCAAAAATAATTTACAGGCTTCAATGAATTTTTATAAGGAAAATTTTCCTCCATTTACTCCATTTTCCTAGCACCAAGAAATCGAACCTTACTATTACAGCACATTTCATTTCAAGAGGCTAATTCAACATTATAATTTATAAATTCAATAGAAAAAAGTGCTGGTACCTAGTCAGTTTGTATTACACGAACAAATATGCAAACAAAAAAAAACAAACCTCAACGAACTATAAGAGAACAACAAAAAAATAAAAACTAATTAAGTCGTTTTTTGCTTCCAAAAATGGAGCTTTTTATTCGCTGGCCAAGTCCAGTTTTTTTATTTGCTGCAGCTGAAATTTTTAAATTTTTAAATTAGAAATTATTTAACAGAAATTCATTCGAAAAGTATTTATTTCTGGTTTTTTCTCTTTTTTTGTACTGTGCCTTTTCAATGCCAATGAAGAAAGAAAGAATAAGTGTAATAAGCAAACAATACAATAAATCATTGTAGTTTATGATTTCAAACCTATACTTTTTCCCATATCAAATCATTAAAATCATTTTTCATTTGTTTATTTTTTTTCATAGAAATTGAAAAAAAAGAAAATAGAATAAACTGGTAATGAAAAATATGCGATAAGATTGAATATTAAGTTTTAATTTTAATTCTAAACTAGTTTAAAAAAAAACTTATTTCTCAAAATTTATTCTTAATAATATAATTCTTTGGATAAATAATATGAGAATCTGAGAACAAACACGAAACCTTACATGCTTTAATTATCAGAAAGCATCAAAAGTATGAATATGAAACGAAAAATATCAATAGAACAAGTTAACCTGGAGAATTAGCCTTATCATTTCGTATAATGTATTTCCTCCAAGGTTCATTATTGAGGCTATTACTCTTCGTCAATGGCTTTGTGTTGCAATCATTTGTTACCTAAATAACTAATCATATGAACGATTATTTACTATTTCCAATAAAACCAATTTATCTATTATAAATGCACATCATTTTTAATGCACACTAATGATACACATCGATGACTATGTATAATAAGCAGAATCAACAGTAAATATTCAAATTTATGAAAAAATTCTTACTCTATTTAATGAAATCAACGATGCAGCACTGGTCGGAGTTTTTGAGGATCCTATTTTGCGGAAAAACTGTCCTAATCGATTAGTTGATTTAATAGTTGGGGGAAGTCGGTTAGTGATAACTGAAGCATCCAGCTCACTAGCACGAGAAAAACGTCGATCATCCAGCTAAGAAGTGAGAATCATCGACAAATTAAAAATAAATTTAAATCTAGCTAATAAAAAATTATTGAGAATCTTTTGAAATTTTTGCCTGAAGATTATCATAGAATCCATCATCCTCGTCATCTTCAATGCTTTGAGCATGCGATGAAATTGATTGTTTCCCAATTGGCGAACTTTTTTTCCCACACGAAGGTGGTAATGATGGTTGATGATTGGTTATCACAGAAGATGACTGGGCTTCTAATGAGCCAGAAGAACAATATCCGCCAGTTTGAGATGAATTTGCTGATCCTTAAATTTTATATGAAAAATAATGTTAAAAAATAATCGAATAGAAAAATACTTAATATTTAAAATATGAATAAAATATTATAAAATATAAAATATAAAAATGAAATATATACATACATATATAAAATATATACAAAATATATATATATATATATATATACGGAAAATATACCAGGAAGGTGCGACGAAAGTTGGGCACATGGATAAGTAAGATCACAAGGGGCAATGCAAGACCTCTGGAAAATATTGGAAGAGGTTGGTGATGGTGGTTTGCGAAGTGATTTATTATAGACGGACAAAGTCTGAAACATAAATTTTAAGAATTCCACTAACTTAAAGTCAGATAATTTTATTTTTTAAAAGCGCTAGTTTCCAGTTGATGTTTTGATTACTTCACTGGTTTATAAGACCATAAAAATTAGACCAGAAAGTCAATAGAAGTATAGGTTCACCGGAGAAATGTAGCATCGGTGCTCCGAAAGAGGAGCAGCAACCTACTGATCCATTCTATTCCCGAAGTTTTCCATTTGATTAATTGAAATTGAAATTTTCAAAGGAATAATAAAATGAAAACCTTTTTATCAGTGACCTCACCGATTCCGCAATGATTATCTCCTTCTTTGTTTTGCTGACTAACTTGATTAATGCCTCGTCGCCAAGGAATTCCTTAAAATGTTTTTCAGTCAATCAATTAATCAAATGGAAAACTTTGGCAAGCATCGCTAAGCAGCACAGTGTTGACATACCAGATTTAATACAATAAAACCTACAACCATATATATTAATCTTTAACCTTTCAGACAAAATTAATAAAACATTAAACTTTAAATTTCGATAAAACGCTTTTTTTCGAGGTTTATTATTTTGAAATAATTAATGTCTGAAATAATTATTCTCATAATTATTTAAGCATACTCTGTTTATTTTCGAAGATTGACTGTAGGGCTTCCACTTTACTCGGATTTAACTTTTCCATATTTATGGTTTCAAATGGTGATAGCACTGCACCTGATTTTGATTGATATCCTGAAGTATGAACTTAAATTCTTTAGTCACTCTAAATATTAAAGGTAGCTTCCTCAGTTATTTTACTATTCCTTTTGGAAAATTATTCAGATAGATCTGGCTATATTTGAATTTAAATGCTAATTTTTCGGCATTTAACGTGCGATAAAAATTACTTCTATTAGAATCAATTTCACCCGCAACACAATGCAACATATCGGCCATTTCATCGAATGATGACGCTTTTTTTTGAGATTGAGCAACCTGTGGCGATCGTTGCTGAACATGCAAACTAAAAACATAAAAAACGTTAGAAAAGAGGAAAACAGAGGAAAAGAAATCAGCATAAGCAAAACGGTATCTTAAAAGCTTCTTACCAACCGACAAAAAAAATTATTCGTGTATTAGCTAAGAATATTAATAAACTATTTAAAAGTTGTATGGAAAAAATAATAAGCGAAATAAGAAACTACTGAGTTATCGAAAACTTTTTGAATTTAAAAAAATTTTACAGATATATGACAATCCTATATTACCACATATCTAAGAAGGAATAATTAAGAACCACACAAAAGATTTAATTAAGCAGTATAGCGCTTAAATGATGGAAAAGGGAGTGGTTACTTTTATTTATTTCAGAAAGCATGGGGATCGGAAGATTTGGAAACATTTCATTCAAAATAAGAATTTCGATGTCAAAAAACTTTTCCTTATTCATAACTTTTACACCCATTGAAAATAAATTGTAAAATTAAAATTTTATATCATAATATATTTTAATATCACCTATTTTTTGAAGGTAAGCATTTAATTTTCTCCTTCCTGTCGATAGAATGTGTTAAATCAGCAGAACAATTATTATTATTATATGTAGTTGGAAATAAGCATCGTGCTTTTTCGCAATGATTAGTCTATAAAAAAAAGATAAAGATAAAAGATAACAGAAGATTATTTTAATGTTGCTTCACAAATCTTTTTCAAAACGAAATCCAGATTTAATAAAGAAAATATAAAAATCCTCTAAACATTAATTGATCACGATTTGGAAAAAATCGGATGCAAACCATACTTCATCGGTATTTAAATCTAGTTCAGCAACTAGAGCATCCATGGCAAGAAATGGATCTTGAGGACATAAATACTCAGTTTCGCTATTATTTCTAGCAGAATCTTGTGTCTCCTGCAATAATAGCTGTGGCTGATAATGCACGAAGGCACCACTTCTTCCATATGGACTGCCATCAGAGCGAACGCTTCCCAGGACATATCCATCCTAGAAACTTGCAAAAATATGTTCTTTCTATGAATTCTAGAGGTATAACAAACAAAGAAGAAAAATTTCAACTGACAATATAGAAAGAAAATCAAATCCTAAGAATAAAATAAAATACCTGAGATGTTGGTCTCCATGTAGGCATCTCATGTGATTGCTTCTTTTCGAGAAGACGATCATGTGAATAAATTCGCTTAAGTGGATAAGTATATTTTCGAATAGGGATATTCCTGAAATAAGGTCAAGAAAAATTAAATTATGGAATATATCTGTGACAATAAATGATAAATGATTAATTTTTATTCTAATAGGAAACAAAAATTTTTCAAGTTTCATGATCTTTTTAATTTTTTATTCAGTCATCTAATCCATTAATTATAAATTTTATCTATCTAAGCAAAATAAATGAAAAATCACCAACCCACTGCCATGTGATGTATGAGGAAAACTATAAATACTATCGCTTGTTGCAGAAATATCACGAATTTGTGTTGGTCTCAATGGCTGCGGTCTTATCGGCAATGTATTTGCATAATTTGATAATGTACTATATTTATGAGAATTTTTTTGAAGCCTATAAGAATTATATAAATTTTATGTAAAATATTACAATAATTTTATGTAAAATATTTATATTAATATTTATTAATATATTAATATTAATGCAATAATATTAATATAATAATATTAATATTTACTTTTTAGGTTTTTGATTAGCATTAACGTTTTGTATAAGATCAGGCGTATCTTTATATTTTTTCTGTCGGTCCAGTGAATTAATTGCTGCAACTTCAGCTGAACAACTGCCAAGGGAACGTTCATCGAAATCAGTCTATAAGATAAGTTTATCAATGCAAATATCAACTAAAAAATTCGAAAAATATTTTGCGGACTATTAGCATTCAAAAAATGAAACCTCTTCAGATGTGGATAAGAGTAGATCTGGCTTCATTTGTACTGTTGCCCATGATTTTATATCATCAGCCAACCATTTTTTCGTAAAATCTAATTTATCATTATCAAGTTTTCTTACTGGTCGATGCAATATAATTGTTTCGCTAACGTCAATATTAACATCATTAGTAGATGATCGATCGAAATTATTAACTTTTCTTTGCCCACTTCCTTCCAAATCCTTAAAATTTTGCATACACTTTAGAGAATATAGCTGAAAATTCGAATTCTCTTCTCTTATTCTTATCAACACCCTTATCACGGCTCTTTTTCTCTATCAATTCCTATGATAATTAATAGCAATCAAATTCACCTTTCTCTTTAGTTTGGCTTGAGAACATTTTAAATCGGGAACATTCGAAAATAAGCGATTATCACTGAAACGAATATGCGATATATTCGAAAAAGATTAATGTCATAATCATTTAGTTCCTATATGGGATTTAATTAGCCGTCAGATCAGCAGAAAATGTTTCAGCCCAATAGACAATATATTTAACTAAACAGTAAGATGTTTTATATTAATTTATTCTATTATATATATTAAAAAATGAAGAAAAAAAGCGATTCAGAGAAAATTTAAGACTTAAAAAAATAGTCTATAGTTACAATTTTAAAATCTATAAGCAATTTTCAAAACTTTGAAGTCCCAACTAACGTTCATAAGAACTTCCCCACGATTCCCTTATGGATCTCTTGAAACCCTTTTGTATTTCCTTAATAATCTGCCATAATATTTTTTATACTATTTTTTTACCATAATATTTTTTTGCCATAGGCAATTTTTAGCATTAATATAAACTATAAGATCTTAATTTTAGTGCCATTAATTTTAGTACCAACCACTTCCTTGCAACATGTTACAAAAGAACTTTCTTTTTCAAAAAGAAGACTGTCTTTAGAATTCTGATTATACTGAAGCTCTAATCCAAAATTTGCCATTATAAAATCAGTCCAAACTCCTTGGTATTTTCCAAAATATCACTATTAGTATCACTTTAAAGCTTAGTTTTAACTCTTCCAAGCCCAGCTGTAATCCTTGATATCCTCATCTTCACCTTTTTTATTGCTTCCTTAATGCTGACTGGAGATATATGAAAGTTTTAAGAAAGCAAGAAATTAAAATTTTAAAAGATATCAAGAAATATACCAGTGTTTGATTGGCTATGTTAGAAATGCTCAAGAAAAAATTTGAAGAAACTCATTTTCCAAAATTGTTCAAATTTTTTTAGAATTCTTTCAACCTTTATTAAACGTCCGCTATTCGTCTCAAGAACTTTTTCCAATTCTGAATTCTATTTTATACTCATTGGTAATACAATATAATTTTCTAACTTTTATAACCTCTGAAACTTTCGAACTTTACCATAACTCCTTACCAAAAACTTGACAACCCTTCAAATCATTCACATTCCCTTTCGTCTATTTCACCGATTTCTCTATTTTACTATTTTCTCGAATTATTTCATTATGCCTCATCACCTTAGCTTAACTTCCCTAAAACCATAATTCATTACTTTTATAATTCCTCAAAAAGTCGTTTAGAATTTTTAGAATTTTCCATAAAAAATCACCACAAATCCACCAAAATGCTATTTTCTATCTTCAAACTCTTACCAAACCATAATATTCCTTTTTTGAGGAAAGCAAATAACTCCTTCCTCAAGTCGCTCAAGTTATTTCAGCAATGAGGCCTTAACTCCCTCTTCCTCTACAATCAAACTTAAAAATCCGCTTACGAAGCTGAGGTCAGTAATATTTAAATCAGTGATTGTGGCTATTTAACTCCAATAATCCTCATTACGTTTTGCCTTAAATAGTTCCTATTAAATTCAGTTATCTCTCATAAAAGAGGCAGATTTTTGAAACTTCAGAATGGGTAAAATAAAAAAAAAGTCATTCAAAAATATTAAATTAATATAAACTATAAACATGCAAACATTTCATGAAAACAAAGATGAAAAAACAACTCAATCTCTTTGAACATCAGAAATAAATTTTTTTAATCCCTCATAAATGTCAAAGTCAAATAACATTTCCTCAATAAAATAAAACATAACAGAACAATAAAAGAAGGGGGTGATCTCCCCTATTTACAAAATTTAATAATATTATTAGCTGAAATAAATGGACTAGAAGAAAGAAAGAATAAATAATTTATGTAAAAAAGGCAGAATGATTCAATGGGTTGTTTCATTTCGGAATTTCGATGCTGGAATTCTGTCCTCGGTAGCAATGGACCTATCTTCTGTTGCCATATGTTCTATTTCTGATCTGACAAGCCAGAGTAGGGCAATCCAATAATGATCGGCATTCTCAGAAAATTTTATAAAATATAAAAAATTTGCTTGAAATAAGAAATTATCTATGCAAATAAAAAACATTACTTACTGGAAATCTTTATTTGTTCCAGCATCTATTCCATCGTTTTTGGTTAATAGCGATTGGCTTATATCTCGAGAATTTTGAATTGGTGAATTCAATTCCTAGAACCATAAAATATTAAAGGCCTGATTTTAAAATTATGCAAATATACACTCGCATAACCAATGAGAAATGCATTCTATTTCGTTCTGGCTAGTTTTTTTGTGAAATTAAGAGTCAGACAAATATTCGCTGATAATTTTCGTTTACAATTCAAATTTTTTACAATTTTTCTTGACAACCTCTAGCAAATGAAATATCCAATATCCTCATCAATATTTTTTATTAAATATCGAATTGACAATTTCATTTAACAAATATAACTAACATTAATATTACATTATCAATATTATATTAATATTGTAATATTAATAAGTATAAATATATTCAGTAAATACAAAACGTAAAAAAAATTATAAAAATATATATTACATTATAAAAAGTATAATATAATAGACTATTTGTCGATTTTCATCATTTATAATTTAATGATCTATAACATTTAATTTAATAAAATATATCGAAAAAAAATTCACCATTTGTGCATATCATTATCAACATTTTTTTCAAAATTTAATTTTAAAATATACAAATTTTGCAAAAATGAATCAAAATAATTTTAATGTACAAATAATATAAATTTAATAAAATAAATAAAATAAAGACGACTGACACTGTTATGTTCGCGTTCTTTGTTGAAGTCCTCGAATATTTGATCTAAATAATCAATTGCATCTTTAAATTTATTTCGTTGTTGATAATGCCGATAAAGTACTTTATCATTCACTTCAGTCATCTGTTGTTTTGATGAATCGTCCAATTTACCACTGAACGAATATTTTTAATTATTATTAAATTATTTAATTTTTTCAAATCCAAATGAAGTTAAAGATGAATAAATTAATAAATTAAAAAATGGAAAAATATAAAGAAGCTTTGCCTAAACTACTTAATAAAATCTCTTTTTTATGAAGAATGCGATAAAAATCTCAGTAGAATGTGTTCGTTTACAACGCAAGCAAATGTGATTTGTTAAAAATTTGTAAACAGCCGCGAAATTCGGGAAATTATCACTTATTATTCATCGCCTTCTTTGATAAACTAAAAAATTATATTTTCTTTGAGATTTTACTCCATTTAAATATAAAAATATTTGAAATAAATTTACAACTTTTTCCACGTTTCAATTTACTACTTCTTATAATATTTCAAATCTAAATGCTAGGATGATTTCCATTAATCGCCCAACCAAGATCCAATCACAAAAAAAGACTCGATTCCAAGATCCATTCACAAAATTTTTTTATATTAGGAATATTATTTCGAATAAATTTGTCAATTTTCTCGCTTGATTTTCATGAATTTTACTTTACAGTGATAATGATAACGACAATAACTTATTGCTTACAATGATAATTTATATGCTATCCTGTTGATACTATCTAAAGTGACTTGTTTCATTTCTGGTATTATTTATATTATTTCTTTCTAGTAAGAGGCACTTGGCTAGTTGTTTAAAGAACCAAGTATTTGAAAAAAGCGAAGCAATTATAAAATTTAATTTATTAATTTTCAAAGTAATTTTCAAAGTCAAAAAAATTAATTTTCAAAATTACATTTGGGAAATATAATCCAACCGGGAAATTTCAACTTCGAAAATTTTTTAAAAAATTGGTCATTTTATGCAAATTGATATTTAATTATTTATTATATAAAAAAATCTCTTCCTCCCCCCCCCCCCTCCCTCTCTAATGGTAATGACTATCCTCAACCTTGGGCCCACTTACAAAGACCTGGAAGATTGAAAGTCGTGTGCTGTCCCTAATACTACGCTTTTCTGGACAGAAATCTCTGATCTTATTCCTGGAATCTGTTGAAGCCAATTTTTTAATTTAGGAGTTAGTTATTAGTGCTCCAATTTTCACTGGGACCACTTTGGTCTTCAGTTTCTATATATATATATATGTATACATATGTTTGTGAATGAATGAAATTAAGGTGAATCCATGCAAGATTTTTTTGAATACCTTATAACTAAAGTTGCATTTGATTGTTTGGAATTCAAATTTTTTATTGGAATATGTGCTGCATACCGCTCATGGCGAGGCTGTGATGCTGCTGCAGCTGCGATGGTAAATCCAGATGCTATAGAAGTTTCATTATTATCTAAAATTTTAATAAACACTCTTAATTATTTTCTATTCGAATTTTTCCGAAGTTTGCTCAACCATTAATTAGGCAATAATATAGTCAGAATTATGAGTTTTAGTTAAAAGGAAAGATTTCAAGAAAAATAATATAAAAGCGTTCATAATTTCTGAGTTTACTGAATTAAATTATGATGGATTGGACAAAAACTTTTGTTGCAGAGGATACATTTGAACTATCAAAATTCATAGTATTTACAATCAACAGAAGTTTGTCGTTTCCTTGTTGATAGAGGGCTTGTTACTTCTGATATTGGCGTTTTCTAAAAACAAATGATTTCAGCAAACAGGGAAGAACAAATCTAATCTAAAAAAAAAACGCAAGAAGTGAAGACGAAATGAATGACAATATAGTTCAAAATTCTATAGCCTTTAATAATGCCTAGCTATAATGCCTTTTTCCATGTTCCGATTTATGGAATGCAGTGTCAAAATGAAATTATGGAGCTACAATGTGAACCCTGCTAAGAAGCTGCAAAGCCTCCTAGTTTTGATTATGCCTAAGGTACATTTTACATGCTCCTTAAGCAAATCGCATATTATTTTAGGTAAAAAATAGTATAAAGAATTTATATTAAAAGCAATTATATTATGCTATATACTAGTCTTGCGATGGATAACGCCAGAAGTGAGGAAAAGTGCCCGGACTGATATATCCAGGATAGATTTTAGACTCATGTTGGAAATGGCTCAGTGTATAGGCTTGGGCATAGAAAAAAATGATTTGTCTTATATTCATATGGCTTTGGATCGAGACACTTAAAAACCTTACCAGTGGAGTTGACTGAACAAACAATAGTGTGAGTTGTTAGAAGTCAATAATAAATCAAAGTTAACTCAGCATTTAAAAACAGAAGATGCTTAACTTTTTTTTATCTGTTTCTGCTTAAAACTGATTATGGTTCTAATTCGTTTGAAAAGGGAAACCATGCATAATAGATTAATTCTTCGTAAATATTTTCTAAATATTAAAACTTGTCTAGCAAAACTTTTCTAGTCCCAATGGAACGAACCTAATTAGAAAGAGAAATGGTTCAAAAAAAATTTATTTTCTAAAAGAATATTGAATGGGAACCTGGAATTTATGACGGTCATCAAAACTGGAACCATTTGAATCAACAGAAATTTTTCGTAAAGCTTTCGCTCTTTGTTGAACTTTTTCTTCAAAAGGTGATAAGGGTTGATCAAAAAACAATGGCTTTGTTAAAAATGATGGCTTTTCAGTTCTAAATAATTCATTTTTATGAATATTAAAGATGATAAGATAAACTAAAGATAAGTGAGATCCACCGTCCATTATTTTACCCATCTCTTTTGAAACATAACATTATATCAATTGTTCCACAAATTCTATCACTATCCGCAATTATCCCAAATAATAATATAGTGATTATGAATAAACTTGATTCTCACCTCAATCTATTAGAACTTTATTACCTAAAAAGTTCTTTTTTTTTTAGAAATCAGATGAGCAATAAATTTATTGATGAATAGTAATAAGATAGAGCTTATCAAGGAATTTCAGCAATTAGTGATAACAAAACAATTTGAAATCTCATTCACCTTGCAATAATTCGATTTCTGAGTCCATGAAAATTATTGGACGGCATTTCTTTGGTTATCACCTCGATCATTTCAAAATTTGTTGTCGTCTTATTTCTTTGCCCAAATAATTTAGGTTTTGCATTAGAATGCTTCAATATACCGCTATCATTTAATGTATCATTATTTTCGTTATCGAAGCTTATTAGTTTACGCGGTGCTGTTGTTATGTAAGGGAACTTTCTATCGGGTTCAACGACGCGCACTGCAGATTGAAATTATTGAAATTATTGTAGCGATGATATATGTGAATAATCTAGCATTGACAATAATAATATAAACAATAATTATAAAAATTACAAAAATATTATAAATATAGGCCAATTTTAAAAATTCTCTCATGTATTGATTTTATTAATGTAAACTGGAGCAGTAAAAATACCCATTTATCCAATTTCTTAGCTAAATTAAAATTCTTAACTTACGGTTAAAATTTAAAATTTATTTTCCGCAGATGTAAATTTGATTATTCGAACGAATATATATGTTAAAACTAAATATTTCTAGATTTTAAAATTCTATAAATTTCGATTAAAAACAATAAATATCCAAAAATCCAAAAATTTCAAATTTCCAAATTTTTATCCAAAAATAATAGTGAATTTACCTGCGCAAGGTGGGATCAATATAGTTGATAAGCAAAAATTATCATCAATTACTTCAAAGGTTTCAGTATTCAAATTAGTCTTATCATTAGATTTCTTATTATCACCAAAATTATTCTATAAAAAAAACATTGTTTTATATAAAATTAATAATAGAAAAAAATATTAAAAAATGAAGCAAGAAAATAACCTCATTTTTTAAAATTTCAAATACGAATAGACTGGTCATCTTTTTGGCTTAAAAATGACCAACTAATATAGATAAATCCATTTTTTATTTTTTTAAAATAAGTTTTATTGACTTAATGAAAAAAATTGGTTCAATATATTGGTTCAGTTAGTTATATCTAGAATGCACAAATATCTTTTTTGTCCTAAAATTTATTCAAAAAGAATTTGGTGAAAATCAGATTTGCAAATAGCATCAGATTTTTTAAAGATAATAATAATTAATTAGTAATAAAAACTTAGTAAAAATAATAGTAAATAATATCAATAAAAATAAAGAAAATATAATCAAATATAAAGAAAAAGAAATTCTTTTATTAATTTGTTAATTTATTTGTTAATTATTTGTTAATTTGTTAATTTTATTAATTTGCAGTCCTCCTTTATATTAATCTATTATTACCATTGCTAGAAAGCTTTCAAAAAAAAAATGAAATAAAATCCTTTGAGATACAAGGAGCGATATGATATCAAAAAGCATCTAAAAAGACAAGAGTAGATTTATAAAATTAAGCTAAAAACTGTTTGAAACCTTTAATTTATGGACGTGGATCTATTTTGAGGTTTAATATGCCTTATACTACTAACGCAAATATAATTTATACGTAAATGATAATAATAATATTATAGTATAATTAATAAAGTGGCGAATGATTATGGAACTTTTAACAAAATAAATATCAAATTTCATCAAAAATCCCTGGTAAAGACCGAAAGAGAGGATAGGATAGAGGGGGGAGATGTAGAAAGGGGAAAATTAGCAATTGGAACAGATTAACGATTTAGACCAAATAAAATAATAATAAACCAAATATAAAACGATAATTATATAGGAAAAAAAAAAGGAATGATTAGAAAAATTGGAGCGAAAATAAGTTGGGAGACGATATATCAAGGCGTTGCTGTAATATGAAATGAATTTAGTGATGAAGAAAGTAATACAAAGATTTCGAAGGAATATTTTGTGTAAAGTTATAAAACAAGTATATAATTCGATGTAATGAAAGACTGATAGACGAGGTTTGGATGCAAAGCAAATAGATTTATTTTATCCTAAATAATCCGTCCATTCATCCAAAAAATTGTATATTGCTTTTTTTTGCTTGTTTTCTAAATGTTCATTTTTTTCTAAATTTGTTTAAATTTAAATCTAAACTTTTAAAAGCCATAAACATGAAGTCTAGTCTTACTGTTAAATAATTATATTTATATAATAAAATAATATATCAAATAAAATATTAAATAATTATATTAAAAAATAAATTCCTTCTAATCTTACTTACCATAGCTTCTGTTACCACTTTCACATTTTTGTTTTTCGTTTTTAATCTAAAAATGTAATAATATTTTTAAAAAAAAATATTTTGTGAAATAAAGCTTCAATAATAAAAATTTTGGAATATCACAGATGAGAAATCCAACAGTGTCAGTTTGAAAAAGTTTCAACAAATGCTTCAATGTAAATTTTGTAACATTAGTGAATGTGAGAACGGAATTTTAATATAATAGAAATAAAAAAATCTTTACTTTTTATTTATTGTGTGAACAGTTAGTTCAGAAATAAAATAATTTTTGCCAAAAATCGATGTAAATATCACCAATACCTTAGAAAAATTAAAATTAGCAGTATTAAATTTCTTAAGACTTATTAAAAAGGTTTCCATTCAGTATTTTATTGTATATATTTAAGCGTTCAGGCTCACTCTGCTGGCTAATTGGATCAGACAAATTTCAGCAGGGAACCATTTGGTATAAAAGTACAGATAAATATAAAAAGTATTAGTATCACTCGGGTTTTCAAAAGATGGAATTTACTTCTGCCGAGAGTAGGATATGCATCGGTCTGAATTATAAGCAACAACTCCTTGAGTCATCCCCAAACGTACCATAAAGCCTCAAATTTTTCATTTCCCACTACAATAAAGAAAAAACTGCACAAATATAATATAAAATACCTGAGCACAACAATTTGTTCGTCTTGATGTATTTTTTACCAATTTTTTCAAAAATATTGACGTGAACGACGGAATTTTCAAATGAGAAATGCACTCCGTTTTCATTTTCCTATAATGAATTTTAATAATAATAAAAGTAATAATAGTAATAAATCGAATTTCAAGTCAATTTTTTATTTTAGATAAATAAAAATAACAAAGAATAAAATCGAAAGTAAGAAGTAGATATACTCATTATAAATATAAGTACAAGAAGCATCGCAACGATCATTAGAGTTGAATGGTATTAAAACTGTTATATTTAATGGCACTGATATTTTCACTCGACTTTTCTGCACTTTTTCATGTAGTTTATGCGCGACCGCATATTTCCTAAATTACCAAATGATTAAAATTTTCATCATTTTTTTTATCATATCATAATTTTTCATAATTATCATAATTTCTTAATTTTCATACCCAAAATTATCGAAACACTAGCTAATTGGAGAAATCTCGGGATATTATTTATTTACCTATTAGTTAATGAAAAGAACGCTTACTTGCGGCACTGCTTTAAAAAAGAGGCTTTTTCATTCGAATTATTTAATTTGAGTGTTTTATTGATAGTTATTTCTTCAATGTTTGGTATACTTTTCATACTTTCCGAAGAAATTTTTTTAAAGTATTTTTTAATAACCATAGCAGCATTATCAGTCACTGGTGATCTATAAAATAAGTGTTTAACGTTTATCAGTTAGGTCTACACAGCTGGCTGTTAGCATATTTAAAATTTTTTGCTAGGTACTTGACGATCAATTAGGTCGTCAATACCACCTGTTTTAATAATAGGTTTACTCCTATCGCAATTAAGATTCGAATTCCTCGTTTTCAATAAGATAATATGAGATATCCGGCTATCCTACCCTCGTACGATCTTTTTTCATAATATCAATGAACATTAATGAACTGTTTGCAGAAATTAATTTTAATTTGAATTAAATTTTTGTTTTAAAAACAAGATTTATTTTGTAAAATTTGTCTCAAAAAAATTTTTTTCTGATTAAACGAGTTTTCCTAATTTATCAGAAAGGTACTCATATGTTCTTATATAATTTCTCTATTAATAAACATTGCATACTTGTCAAAATGCTTATTGTGACTAATATTTATTTCATTATCACTCGACTTTATCCATACTCCTGGAATCGGTGCTGGAGATTTTTTATGTTGTCTCCCTATAAAATTTTCCATAATTTTAGCTAATATTATTCAAATTAATATATTTATCGTTTGTCAATTAGTCTTTCATATAAACATATGAACATACAAACATTTCTGTATTTTTTTTACAGAAGATCTCACAGAAATATCTTGAAATCTTGCCTGGCGTAAATCGTGCGATCACTGAGTAACCAGTATCATGTTTTTCCAACACATAAGGCTAAATTTAATAAATTTAAATATAAATTTAAATTTAAATTTAATAAATTTATCAATAAAAAAAGGATAATCATAAAGATTCACCGTTTTAACTACTTGTGAACAAAATAATTTATAAATTATAAAAAATAATTTTACAAAGTTTTAAGAAAATTTGCCAATTATACATATTATCACATATTGCAACTCTCAAAAATATTCTTAAAATTTTCTTTGCTCAGACTGCCAACCATATCTGGTAAGCCTGGCCTGTCGGACTAGATAAATTCTTGCCAAAGAATCACGTGGCGAGAGAAATGAAAATAAGTCGTCAATACCCGGTTTTTCTGAAAGAAAGGTTTATCCCTATTTAGAAACCCCGCAGTGGTTCCCCGGAATGAGAACATAATCATAAATCTGATAAGTTATTTCCTATTTCTTATTCTTAAAATACAATAAATTTTTTTAAATGATTATTAAAAAAGTAAAAATATTTCATAAAAAAATGTAAAAAAATAAAAATTACTTTACGCTTCTTTGATAATGAATCCAATTGTTCACTTTGAGATATTGATATCGACTGAGAAGATAATTCTTTGCTTAATGGTATTTCCACTAAATATTTCTAATATTTTAGCAATATATTCAGAGAAATACGATCATTTAAAATTTTCTTTATTCTTATTTTATTTTACAGCCACCAAGCGGTGTATTGCCTTGACTAATGACAAGTAATGTGACTTCCATTCCTCTCCACTCGACGAGAATAATAATTACGAATAAAATTAGCTATAGTTTCTATACCATTCAGTTAAATCAGCTAAGGAGAAGGCACGAAAGGCATCGCGAAAAAATGTGGATGCATATTTTTTTTTAAAAAAAATAATCGTTTATTGTTTGTCTATTAGTTGTTGGCAATAATATTCGTTTTAAATAACAAGATGAAATGGAAAAGAATACTACTTTATAAAAATGCACTGTTGACTACAACTTCATGCGAGCTTAAAAAAGTTCTATTTAAGTTCGCTCCGCTAGTTTATTAAGGAATAGATAAATCTCGCTAAGACCACATGACGATAGAAATAAAGCAAGACGCCAGCATTATCTGCATTTCTGAAAAACAGGTTCATTCCCGCGGAAAACCCAACATCGACGCTCCGAAACAAATTAAAAAAAAGTTGAGCCATTTTATTCCTGTTGTATTGTAAATATTTATATTTATTATTATTATTTCAATAAATGAAGAAAACAAAATTTTTCGAAAAAATTTTACCAGTGCTTTTTGAAATTTCTTCCGAATTTAGCGAATTCTCGGAGCAACTTTTGCAGCTAAAATTAAATTATTACATAATAACGATTTTAAAAAAGTAAAGACTAAAAAGTTTATGATTAATAGAAATTCATTTTTCAATTATATTTTAAAAAATTTTGCAAAATATTCAAGTAATTCTCAACGTTAATTAATCATTCAACAGCCGTACGAATTCGATAAAAAACACTGAATACTCGAAACACTTTTCCTCGATTCTTTCGTATTTTTTTCTACCAAAATTATGAACTATGAAAGGCCTTTTTTTAAATTAATAATCTGTTAATAATAATAATCTGTTGAGGAAGATTTATAAAATATTCAAGGAATAATGGAAAATCGAGAAATTTTTGAAAATATTTCAAAAAATAATTGAATCAATTGAATAACTAAAATAAAACGCAAAAAATTTTCCTTAAAATATAAATCTATAAAATATAAATATAAAATATAAAGTGATTTTGTTTCCGCTCCATTAATCTCGATAAATCTTCGATTTAGTGCACTGAACGATGGTTTATGCAAATTTTATAAAAAAACTTACCTGACAAGTGAATTAAAATCTTCTTGAATTTCGGGCTCAATCTAAAGAAAAAAAAAATTTATAAATTTTTTAAAAAATTCAGAATTCTTATGTTTATTAGTTTAAAAAGGCTTATAATAGGATAGATTTACGTCATAAGTTATTGTGATTTGGCTCCATTCTCTTATCAACCTTTCTTTTCCCTCATTTTTAAATGAACAATTCTGTAATGATTTCCGCAATACTTTTTTCTCAATTTTCTTAGAACTTTAATAGAAATTACTATAAATAAATAAATCCATATGGCTGCAGAAATCTGCTAATCACTAATAATCTTTAGAAGCTTTCGCGCATTTCGTGCGTCTTTTCCTGGTGATAATGCGACAAATATGAGAAATTAGCCTAGAAAAGACAAAAATATTGGTTCTTCTAAATTCTCAAATCAAGAGAAATATACTAGGTACGTTGGATAAATAAATCGGAAAAGTCGACCGTATGTGCTGGCAATTTTAGCCCTAACTGTGGGAACACTTACGGTCTTTTACAACAACTGTTCCAGGCGACAACTATTCTTAATTCATCCAAATATCACTTGAATATCGCTTGCATGTTGAAAGTTTTTCTTCTTAATTCTGGGTTTGGAGCAGTTATTATAGTCGAGAAACATTGGTTTTATAACTATCTATCGTATTCCTTATAACTATGATGGAGACTTATTAGTATGTCCGGAAAGACGAGCAATATCTCAACTACCGGTGTCATTATCTCAGTTTGGATTATGTAATATGGCGGATTATATGCAAAACTTCATTTGGTAATCTCTCAGATGGCTGCTAATCATAGTTACCAGAGATAACGTAGGCGTCATCGTGCCTTCTTGGGTCGGTGTTAACATCAGACATACCAACAGAAAAGGTAATCTTGATTTTACTGACAGCTATAAATTTTTTCTACAAATGCGTAATATTTCAGCATCTCGCATTGGTGAAAAGATCTTTTATTAGATTCTGGTCAGTTCCATGCAAAATTCCCACCCATATCGCATAGCTGAAGTTAGTTTGATTAGGATTATGTTAAGATAATGACAAAAATTTAAATGAAGCTGACAAGCGCATGAAAGAGTGAATACTTTTAAAAATTTTCTATCTGTTTCAAATTAAAAGATCACGGTATTATAGTTGAAATATTGATAATTCGACTTTAATAATTCCACCTCTAAGATAGCTGAAAATGCTTAAACTAAAGTAATTGAACACTTTATGATATGCCGTTAAAAATTGGATTTTAGATGAAAAAATTGTCATCAGAACAAATAACCAGAATCCTTATGTAAAGGGACCCAAGCTAACAAATTTGCTTCATGATTTCATTATATAAGAATTGACTGCATCAGTATGTGATAATTATTTAGTCTTCGTAAAGCAGTTCTCGAAAGGAATTCCTGGCTGAAAAATGTAAAAACTTCTTTGAACCTAAATTCAGCTACACTGCATTTCTTAGAGATACATTTTCCAATATGGATGAAATAAGAAGCAGCGGACATGAAAAAATCTAAGTAATCCAGGAATAAGGTTAATAAAACTTCTGGAGAATTCTATGAGCCTTTCAAATATTGCCCAGTATCTTCCGCAACACAAAAAATAATCCACATGGAAAAGGGGCTGAAATGATTTTAAGTACCATCAGTCATAAATGTCATATTTGCCATCATGTTTAACGATTAAATGAAATACGAAATTCCAATCAGAGTACTGCAACAATGAAAATATTTTTCCTCCAAAGAACTTCTTGCAGAATCGCAGAACCAATTTCAAAAGATAACAACTATCTGGCTGCAGAACGTGCAAGTCCATTATAAGATTGCGGTAAAAAATATATGCAAGCTACCTAACTTTGATTCTAAGCTACTACATCATATTAGTAGAGTGCAGATTAATAAGGAGAGATAAATAAATTCTCACAACCATGCTGGAACACCATGATTAACTCCCACATTCACCATCCAGCACAGAAAATAACGCTAACTGGTTGGGTTTTCACCTTACTATTAACTAAAGGATTAAAGTATGTGGAATATAATATCAGATATAAGAAAGGCCAAGCAAGATCGGTACAATCAGGAGAGATCTTGAACATAATAGCAGTTTGAAGGATTAGGCGTTTGGAAAAAGGAGACTTCAATTAATTTAGTATTTGAATCGAGAGGTTTTAGTTATTAAAAGTCTTTTACTCTAATGGATGGCCAATTAATATATTCGAATGATTGTTTGTAAAAATCCACTGAAAATTTACAAAAGGAAATCAATTTTTAACAAAAAATCTATGCCTTAAAATAATCTCAACGATAGATATCTGATAAAAAATCGTCTTAACTTCAAATTAAAACGTTTACAAACTTTTGGAGATTTGCTTAAATCTCTGAGTGTGTCTTGTTCCACGACAATAATGAGCAATTCGTTCGTATCACTCGATACATCGCTTTTTTTATTTAAAATTTCGATCTCATTAGCTATTAGGGAACTATCTTGTTGTGCTTGTGGTTCCTTGATATCGTCAGCGATATTACTGATTTCTGCATTCAAATCATGCTTGTTTGTTGAGTTTTTCTTATTTTTCTTATCTTCTGCATCTTTAGGTTTAACTCCAATATTTCGATTGCCTTCTATTGATATTTCTGTAAAAAAAATTATGGAAAAGGGGTAAATTTGCATAAATCATCAAAAAAAATCAGACATTCAGCACCATCCTACGACCACCAACTGCACCATTATTATTCTAGGTAGCACCAATTATCAATAGAGTTAGATAATTCGATGACCAGTGATCTATTTGAATATAAAGTTACAAGCGAGCTCCAAACAGCCATTCGATCCATCAGTCAACTGAATTTTAATGACAGGTTTTTGATATTTCTGAATAATCGATCTTCTGGTTTTCTTCATTGTTTTATCATTTTTTATCATAATAAAGGTGATTTTACCAATTTCAAGTATGGAACTAGATGATTAAGATGACTTTTCATCAGTCAAACCAGAAATGATAAACAGAAGATGTTGTAAATTATGCATCTGAACTTTTCAAATTTGTTATTTCCATGTCTGAATTTTCATGAAATGATGACATTTTTCTCAGTGAAATAAAACACATCTGGTTAAGCGAAAATTTACTTGGCTGAAGACCAGAATCGCCTTCGATTTTCAAGGAATCATCACTACTATTCACATCAAGTGTTGAAGCAGCAGAAGCAACTACTTTTTTCTTTAAACGTTTTCGAAGTCGCCTTTCTCGAGACTTTGCTCGTTCTTCCTGACCCGACGTTGAATCGGAATCTTGCGCTAATTGGTTCATTCTTTCCTTTTGATAAGAACGATGCTGACCAGCTATAAAATTATATTATAATAAAAGAATGGTAAAAATGATTTCTTTCTTAGTTTTTAATTTTTTCGTATAAAAAATTTAATGAAATAAATAAATAAATTTTAAATAATTCATTTTAAATTCATGAAATAATTTTAAAAAATTAGTTAAAACCAGACATATTTCAGGCATTTTTCTACACCTTCCATCAGTAACGGATTCGAAAGAATCACCTTTCTTTGAAGACTTTTTCATTGTTAATGATGGAGAATCCTCATTCGGTACCAACAAGCTATTAGTGGTTTGATACGATCCATAGTTTCTTGAAAATTTTTCCCAATAAATTATTCGGTATAATTAATTTATAAACGATTAAGCAATTAGATTACACGAATAAAAAATATGGAATGATAAATATTTTGAAATAGAGAGTTGATTTTCATTGTTTATTAAAAATGCAATAATACAAGATTTTAAGAAACAATTATTTCCAGCTGAATTAGTTTCAGCTGGGAAGGTCGAAATGATATTCTTATAAGTATATCTCATTCGAAAAAAGCGTAAAATCACATAAAAACAATTCGATTTTCATATATTTTAAAAATACCTTGAAGTGAATTCTGCCGCTGATGTGAATGGCGATAGAAAAGATTTAGGCCGAATCGGTGAGTAACTTCTTATAATATAATTTATCATAAAATGTGGTAAATTTAAAGATTAATTTTTAAAAAATTTCATAATCTTTCAATTCAATCAAAATAATCTTTAAACTTTTGTAAGCGAAATAAGTGTGGTATGCAATATATGGGATATACGGTAATATATAGGATATGATTTGAGATTTTTAGTCCAAATTTCAATATTTCTAAGACGGTATAAAGATATTTTTATTCGTATACCTGGACATTTTATTATTTACTCCTTGAGACAATCCAAACAGTTCATCATTTTCTCTACACAACCCTTTCGAACTATAAAATGGCTTATTATTTATCATATCAGCACTCAAGAATAATCGATTATTTCTCTGATAACGTGAAAGTGGTGTTTGCTGAAAAAAATAATATGAAATCAAAATAAAACAAAAATTATAAAATATTTTGTAAGAAAGTAATTAACTGAGCATATAACAAATCAAATACATTAAATTATCATAATTACTATAACAAATCAATTAAATTTAATTTAAATTTTTCATATTTTATTTTTTATGCAATTTTATTATTTAAATAATTTTTATGAATTACTTGAATGAATTTTTACTTATTTTCACTTTATTTTAATTTTGAATAATTTTTTGCTGATTTAAATTTTTTAAAATAAATGAAAAGAATCCGATTTTCCATTTTATTTTACCAGTTATATCGTTCATAATCCCGAATATAACTAACCAAAGTAGTTTTATCAACAAAGGAACGCAAAGCATGTAATGACGATTGTAATTCATCACCACTTGGATTATTTGTTATACTATTACGTCTTGTACGTGTTGCTGATATCGTTGATGATATTGCATCTCCTAACTCATCACCGTGCAAATGACGTAAACGTGCAGCGTCAGCCATACGCTGACGCCATGGTCGATCGGCTTTCTTAATCAAACTGAAAAATATTAGACCTCATTCAAAATCTTTCTCCTTCTTAGACAGTACTCACCAATTCTGCTTTGGGTAACCTCACAAAATTTTAAAACCTAAAATTTTTTTGTCAGTAAGTTCCAAGAAGTAATGAGCTATATTTTAAATACATGTATTTACCTCGATGGCGCATTTTGTAATAATAGTTTTTCTGATATATAACTTGTTTTCTCAGATGTATTGAACTGATTATATGGCAATGGTCGATTAAAACGCGCTTCTCCTTCAAAAACTATTTTATTAAATTCCAAGACTGTAAGCTTAGTTATAGAAAAGATTTTATAAAAATGATAAGAATAAATAATATCAATGAATATTATAAATATTATATTTATATTATTATAATGCTGACGAAAAAGGAATGATTTTTATTACTGTCAGGTACGGCATCGAATCGAGCGGCTTAGAAGCGCTCCTCCGCCCCTTGCAGCTATCGCAGCCAGCCTAACCAACAATGATAGAAACATACCTATCGAAAGAGGAACCTCCCCAGCATCGGCATTCCGAATTTATAGCAATATTCCATTGAACCATTTTAACTGTTTTTTAAGTTTATTTATTTTTAAAAAAAAAAAAAACTAGAAATTTCAAAATCAGCAATCAAAAATGTTCCATATTTTTAAGAAGCAAATATATTCCAGTCTTTTTTAAAACTGATCACCTTTTAAGATTTAATAATTTTAAACAAGATATAAAAATTTTAAATGAGCCAGTTTTCGAAATCAAATTAAATATTTAAATATAATTCGATTTAATATCATAACTTTTTATTCATTTTTGTTATTTTATTCATAAATAAACGAATCTATTTCATTAATTCTTTGTTCATAATGTTCTTATTCATTGCTGATTCAATATACCTAGCAACATGACTTTACAAAAAATTTGAAATTTTTTAGACATAATTTTACGAAAATAAATATCTCCTTCCTCATTTCATATAAATGCTATGAATTTTCCAGAGTCCTAGGTTTAGGGAAATGAGTGCTGCTCTCTTTGTTCAAGCACCGGCACTAGAAAGAAAGCTTTTGGCTGGCCTATATCACAAAAAGTGGGCGCAATATAAGGACATGGTTAATACAAAATTATATGCTAATGCGAAGTGAAGATACTAGCCGAATGATAAGACTGATAGGACGGACCAACGAGGCATATAGCAATCATAAAGACTAATTAATTACCTTTTCTATCATATAGTGAAGAGAAGACCTAGTGGGTTGTTGCTCGATTCGGAGAGCCGACGCTGAGGTTATTTCCCGCAGGAGTAAACCTATACAAAAATTCGAGTGATGCTGGCGACTCACCTGTATTTCTATCGACTCCCTGGTATTGCCCAATGCGACAAGCCAGTGCAGCGGATTTAACCAATGGTGAGGACTCTTAAGTATAATATAGTGAAGAGAAGGCAAGGGATATTCAAATACTACCAAAGAAAAAGACAAATCCTGAGCAGCTGGCATAGTAAGATGGTCAAAAGAAGGGAAAGCCACTTTCCTGAACGAAACCCACAGCCACACAGGAATAATACAGCTGAACCCACACTAAAATGGCACTAAAAGATGAAAGAATGTAGCACCAGCATCAGACATTGAACGAAAAGAAAAAAAAAGGCATGCGCCGTAATAAGAAACGACTTTCCATTCGATATACCATCGATAGATAATTGATGAAATGGAAAACATAACAATGGCTAAAAAAAAACGGATTAAAAAGTAGCAATGAAAAATTGATCATCATACCATAAGAACAAATATTAAATATCAGAGGAAACAAGGATCAATAAAACTGGATCAGAATCAATGCAGAAAAGCTTCCAGTATATAGTGATATGATGTAAGATGGAGCAGCATACACTGAACGGCACAATCTACTAGTCGCTAACATCTGCAATTCATATGGGCTATGATTAAACGGAAAATCGTGGATAATAGGTGGGTAAAGCTCTTGTGGTAAGTCATAACCCAGCCGCATAAGGATCTGACCAATTAACCAGATATCGTGGTAGTGCACAAGAACCAAAGAACAGCAGCAATAGTAGATATAACAATACCAAGTGACGGTATATTAGAAATAAGGAATATGAAAAGCTTGAGAAAAGAACTAGAAAAGACACAAAAAATGAAGACTAAAGTAATTTCAATGGCAGTAGTATCTCTGTGATCCATAAACTGGAAAATGGCTCCAACAAATTCCAGGAATTACATCAAAGATCTCTGCGCAAAGGAGCGGACTGCTAGGAAGAGTGCATAGAACCATCTCCTATGCCTCTATAGAGAATCCAAAGTTGAGGAAGAACAATTTGCACAGAGAATGAGAAAGGCACTTTAAAAAAAAAAAAAAACGAAAATTTGATAAAAATACGGACTAATAATAGAATTACAAAGCAAGACTGATGCTTTAAAACAAAAATAATTTTTTCTTAAAGAACAATTAAATTTGAAGATAACTTGGTTCTGAAGTGGAATATGATAATCGTTTTAATCTACTGCTATTCGTTGATAATGAATAATTATTCGTATTTGAATAAGCTGAAGAAGGATTATCATCGAGATTCAATCGAGATTTACGTTCATTTATCGAATATCCAAATTTTCTAAAAATTTCGCAATTCTCAATAAAAATGAAAGCTGAAAATTTATTGCAGTTATAAATTATCAAGTTTATTAAACTGAAAAATATCAAAATTATTATCGATTATCGCTTATCAATTATCAATTTCAATAATCGACTACCAAATTATGGTCAAAAACTAACCCACTGCAATAAGATTTTGAAGTATATCGATCAATAGGAGATAAAAAGTGACAAGATGGACGATTTGATAAAGGTTTATTCCATCTTATTGAATTCCAACTGTAAAAGCAATTAAATCTTAATTATTGCATAATATAACTCTAGATAAAGATGGATGTGGAAGGATAAAGAATTATGCCTCCAACTTGGGATTTCCCAATTGGTGCAACAATAAAATCACTCTTCGCAGGAAACCCAAAAACATCAGAGGATGAATTTTTGTCTCTATATGCTTATTATTTTTCGACTTTTTAGTTATCCATAAATTTGTATTAATCGCCCATTTAAAAAGTAGAAAAACCTTGTTCCAAAAGAATGTGGTTCAATCGAGGAGGTTATTTTATCATAAGTTCCAGTATTATTCAACCAATTTTTGCGATACTTCGACATTGCTTACTAAAATATATCCTCAAGAAAAATTTGAATATTTTGAAGGAAATGAAATTTCATAAATTTTGGACAAATGTGAACGAGGAATTTTATACCATCTGTTTGGCAGTCTTCGAGCCAAAGTGAAGGGCAACCTGTAATTTTATCGAATTTAAAATATTAATAACAAACCACTGAAAAAAATGAAATAACGTAAGAAAATAAACTTTCAAAAACCACAAAAACAAAATTTTTTTTAGATAAAATAACATAATTACGCATAATTTAAATAGAACGAAAAATAAAATAAAAATAAAAAAAGATAAAATAAAATAAAAAAATAAAAAAGATTACCCTGCAATTTTATGAAAATTCATAATTATGTATATCTTAATTTATCTTAATCTGCCATTACAAATTAAGTCTAGACGAGTGCTGTTAACTCAACTTATAAATCTATCCACTGAGGCAAAAAACTTAAACGATGCATACATATTCTATGGTACCTTTAATGATCATGCAAGCGTTAAAGCAAATCGAACATATATAAATATAAATAGTATATGACTTCTTGAACCTAATTGTTCCAACAAGAATTGATAATTAATTAAGAATTTAGAATATAGACAAATCTCAGTTTGGTCCATTTATACCAGGAGATCTCAGTCACTGCTGGGAGTGAAGCATAAGAAGAAATTATCCAGATATCATGGATATCGCTTATCGGTGGAAAACCTCCCTAATTCTCGGAGTAGTTAGGTTCGAGAAGTCATTCTACACTATATATAATTCGGAATGGAACAACTGAATAAGAACAACTGCCATTCGTAATGATGTTTGGGACAATTCGGAGCAGAATTGGGAAGTCATGATATTATCGACAGTTCCAATGAAATATATTCGTCAGAATTCGACTGGAAGAACATTTTTATTCACTTTTGATGTCTTATACTTGTTTTATGAACACTTTGGTTCAGATGTTCCAGCTAGCAGCATCTTTCTCCAAAAAAAAAACCATATAATTATAACCATATATAATTATAGTGAAATATTTTAACCTAATCGCGGATGGAACCAGCCAAAGTAATAATAGCGCGAAATATCGCTAAAAGAAGAAAGTAAAAAAAGGTTTTGCTATCAAACGTTTATAAAAAATAAATATCTCAAGTCTGTGTTACGAAATCAACAGCCACGAACGAAAATTGGTGCATACCATCAAAAAATTTTACACAAAAATAAAAATTTGAAAATAAAGTATGTTTTTAACTAAATTCACAGGCTTCTTTCGATAATATCTTAGGAATAGCTTATTGAATGGCCTATTTTTAGAGTTGGAAAAGAAAAATTAAAACCCGAACACCTTTAGAAACCCGAAATTCCGTAATAAGAGCAACGATGATACTTAAGAAATCCATCTTATTAATGGACGGAAAGTGTTCGTATTATATAAAATGGAACTTTTAATAGTTTCGAAAAACTTATTCCAAAACTTTTTTTGTGCAAAAAAATTTTAATAATTTTTATGGAATTTAAAGATTCATTCAATCAATTAAAATATAGAAAAATTTGAAAAAAAATTTTAAAAATTAAGCATAAAACATCGTAAAAAAGTGAAATGAAAAAGTAAGAAAGTAAAAACTTTGGACTCCTTTAATTTTTATTATTAAATTAAATTAAACATTATATAACATTATCAAAAATTAATATTATTTTAAAGTCATATAGGCTTATTTCGTTGATAAACGAATATAAATATATAAATCTTAAGAAAAAAATTGACTCAGTGGGTTATTTTCAATGATTAAAAAGTTGATAAAAAAATCTAAAAGATAATCTGGTGTTTTTTTTTAAATCTTCCCGATCTCCGTTAAGTAACATTCTCTGGCCCCTTGGATCCGATTAGTCTTCTCCTATATTTCCACTGATATGCCCTCGAGCCTAGCTACGTTTGCCCAATATACCAATCGCGATTAATATTTCGTCATACCAAATCAATAATTTTTGAATCTTCTCATACTATTCCGATCATTCCTCCACCCACCCATCCACCCCCTCCTATAATCTTTCATTATTTCCAATATCAAATAGAAATCAAGATTTTAAAAATCAAGAATTAGAACCAAAACCGCCCGAAGATATAATGGCAGATCTGGTTACTTTTCTCTTCAATTTCCAGAGAATCTATGCACACTAATTTCCCAGTGTTATCTCTTTATATGAAAACCTTCAAAACTTCCAGACCACATTTTATTTCCACTATATTTTTTTGGGAATTATATTTTTACACATCCATACATCTTAATGCACCAGCACATTCGCCTAACGAATCAAGTCTCTCATTGCAGTAACCTTAGCAAAATCAACATTTTTTTTTCTTATATTTTTTAATTATAATTTATACTATGTTATTTAACCTTGGTTGACACAAGCAATCTCATAAAGCCATTTTATGAGCACATGTCGGCGCAGGTCTGTGTATATGGGAAACTGACAGATTCTTTCGAAATAAAAATTGGTGTCCATTAGGGTTGCGTCCTTTCTCCCACAATATTCAACTATACGATAGACTGGATAATGGATATCGCTTGTCTGCATTCAAGAGGTGTCAAAATCAGTCCAGAGCATCATATCACAAATCTTAAATACGCTGATGATCCTTTTTCTGACAGTTATGACGAAATGCAACTAATGTTAAATAACGTTTAGCGACTGCAGCGAGAATCGGATTCACGGTCAATAAAACGAAAGCCTTTTCGTCTTATGCGTAAGAAGGTGATAAAATACCTCTTTTTATAAATTTATTGCCGGTTGAGGAAGCGCCCGATTTTAAATACCTTGGATCCACTCTAATACCGAATGGCCAGGCAAAAGACGATACAACGATATAATAACCCAGATCATGGCAGTTGGAAATGCGTTCTTCCGGTTGACGAAATCTTTATGAAACCGTCTTGAAATCAGCATAAAAATGAAAGTCCACTTCTATATAACCGTGATTCGTTCGATTATGCTATAAGGCTCTGAGACATGAGCACTGAAAGTGGAGAAGATTAAGAAGTTATCTGCCTTTGACCATTCTTGTCTAAGGTACTTTTTACGGGTCTATCGGGCGGATAAAGTATCACATGATCGTATCCAGCTTCGTTCAAATACCAATTGCATAAATAATGTTATTATATAGCATCGCTTTCGCCGGTTAGGCCACGTTTTCCACCACACGAGCTGACGCATATTTCGTTACTTGCTAAACGTGTGATGGATCGCGTCAAAAGCGAGGTGGGCCAATCAAGACCTGGACTGATGCGGTCAGAAAAGAACGTGTAGGTGGACCAGCAATATATGGATTTAGACGATGGAAAAAAGAATGGCTTCTATTACTATCGATGATAGCATCAGACGTGCCGCTTGGAAGCGTCTTACCCTTGTAGCCGTTGGAGTTAGCCTAACCAGTAATGGTGAGAGGAGTTAGAAGAAGAAGAAGAAGCAAGCAGCTTTTTAGTCCAAACTCCTTTAATCCTCAAATCATTCGATCAAATAACACTCCGTTCTTTTTTAGAAATAGGTAGCGAAATTCTTTTAAACTCTTTTATTCACTCTGTCAGTGCCTCATAGTATATATTAATTCACCATAGTTAGCATTTTATGGCGCCAAAACTCCATTCCAGTAACACAATCCTATATTTAAAAACACTAAAAAAACTTTTAAAAACAATCTTATACTTTAATACTTCAGTCCGTCATATTAGAACTATTCGCCTTATTTTCTAAAGATAACAGTTGACTCTTGTCGTCACACCTTATATTCATTCATCTTTTGCGAAAAACCTTCATGAGATCCGTCATATATACTTTTTACTTATTCAAAACCCATTTACATCATCTTGTAACAATTTATTTCATTATTTGTAACAATTTATTAGGATCAATATAAGCATTTTTCTCAGCATTCCTAATACCATTCCTAAATCCAACTTACATCACTAATCCCAACTTAGTTTCCTTAGAATCCCTGCAAACTCACACTGCGCTACAGCTATAAGCTGTAGTTGATACTTCAAAAATTTGTAATAGAATCAAACAAAAGGGAAAGAATAGCGCAATTTTATATATATAGCGCATTTTAAAAATACTAAAGGAGAATAGTTGAGATTAGACATACTAAAACAGTATAACGAGATTTGAAGACTTTTAGCAAACGTAAACAAATTTTGCTAATGTGTATACCAAGGAATATTCGAATGAAAATAAATACTAATTTTAACTGCCCGTAGGATGGATTTTCCATTAGTTATAATAATAATAGTTAACTAAAATTTATAAAATATCTGAGAAATAATGAATGCGATTGCGAACAGCTGTGAGAAATAATATCAATGACGATTCACATCAATTTTCTTAACATTGTAAATAAAAAATGCTTATGTATATTTAAATGAAAAATAAAAATTAAACATTAATAAAAACAAATAAATAAAAATTAAAGCAAATTAAAAAGTAATATTAATATTAAAGTAATATTTCTATGATAAACAATACATTAAGGGAAAGTCGACTGATTTATCTTAGATGAAAATTATTTTTTAATGACATATGTTCGAAAGATTATCGCTTACCAATCGATTCATTTCTTCTAATTGCTCAATGGCGATTAGGTGATAAGACTAGGTGATAAAATTTCCAAGCCTTCTGAACCGATGCCTTTCCTCTGAATAACTGAAATGAAAGCACTTCTTTTCCCTCCTCTATGTCTTCAGAATTTTCCCTGACCCTATCGTTCCATGTTCTGATTGGACCTTTTCGCTTTTGACGCCAACCATTATAGGTTTCAACAAGTTTCATCACAGGGGCCGTATAGAAGGATTGTGAGCACTACAGCTAAAGGCAAATTTCATTTCGATTCGTTGAAAATGATGAATTTTATATCGCTTGATTCTTGCATATTTCATTTTTTTATTCTTGTTATTTCATCTTAACGATCGTTAAAATATTTCAGAAGTATAAATCCAATTGTGCATCTGAAA